TCACAGATTCTCTCGAGGTCAGTCAAGGAAACATTAGCTCCCAGTTCGAGACAGTCGTCCCGCAGTGTATACTGCCGTAGGTCCTGTATGTCGCCGACATAGACGGAGGCACTATACTTCATAGCCTTGAATTTGATCTCGATCTGCGTCTCCGTGCTCCCTCCAATAATCTTAGCGTCGGGATGCACCGCCTTAATTTCCAAGAGCTGCTCCAGTGTAACTGGCCGGTACCACTTCTTCTTCTTGTTTCCCAGGGCCAAAGCACGGAACTGATGCTTCCGGAGAGAAGGCGGGAAAATGAGCTCCGTGTCCGGCCGATAATCGATGAACTCGGGTGGCGTGAATGTCTGTATCTTCTCATCCTTGACCGGGGCGGCGGAGGTTTCCTTGCAACACCCTCCCGAACCGCCTTTCTTCTCCATACAGCACCCTGATCCTCCGTTCGCGGACGACATCCCGCAGCCCTTCGGTGCAGAGAAGCTTTGAGCGGCATCCAAGATCGGTCTGTACCCGGTGCACCGACAGAGGTTTCCATCAAAAGCCTCTTCCACATCATGCTCCGATGGCTCGGAGTTATTGCGCAGGAGAGCATAAAGACTCTAAATCCAACAATTTAGCTCATGATTCATCAAAGGAATGTTGACAAGCCCTACCATCACGATTCCGGGGGTGCAAAATCCACACTGGCTGCCGTTACCAACCGCCAGCCGTTGCTGGATGGCATGAGGATTCTTCACGTCGCCGATACCCTCCACAGTGACCACATGCTTGCCATCCACACTAATCAACGGGGCCAGGCAGGCATTCACGGATGCGTGATAGAGCTTCTTTGTGGTGGGGTTGATATGGGAAACCACCTACGTTAAATTGATTGAACTTAGCAAATGACCAGATTCAAGAGGGGGCTTCAGAAGACATACCACCGTACAGGCACCGCAGCCTCCCTCCGCACATCCCAGCTTTGTTCCCGTCAGGCCGATCCCACGGAGATACTCTAATAACGTGATTTCGGGGTTGATCGAGTCGAGGACGACCTTGGTGCCGTTGAGGTAGAAGCGGATAGTGTCGTCCCATTCTTCGGTAAGCTGGGCCAGAGAGACGGCCTTGGATGGCACCGTCGGTGGTGATGAGCTCAGTATGCCGGGGGCCATCTTGCTGCGTTGGCTATGGTTGTTGACTCAGATAAAGTGTCTTGCGACGATTTTCCTAGAGGGTGGAGAAACCGCCACTCGGAACCAGCGTTGATGCGGGGTAACTCAACGCTGGCATGAAGTAGGACTAGAAGTTGTGGAACAGTGTTGAGAGAGGAACCAAAGAGAGAAAGGAGACTTGTACAAGACAAGGATTATACAATATAGTATAAAAGAGTAAGTCAACGATCAAAGATGTGAGAGCCAGTAAGTTAGTTAGTCATTAGTCATAGCTGTTGTATGAAGAGACGATGGGAGGGGGGGGTCTTATCGGCGTAACTAAGGGGGAAGGGGGGCAAATTCCCCACTCGGGCTATCGCTTTTATCGCTTTCCCCCGGCGATCGCCACTGTCCGATGGGCGGCCACCGTCGGCAGAACTGCCATCCCCTTAGTCAGCTGAATAAGGCTTCCCCATATTGGTTCAAGTTTCCAAGGTTCTAACCCTTCTTAATAGCTCTCCAATATAATTTAGTTAATTTACTATGTACTATAGTAACAATATATCGAAGGACTGTTTTACTAAATATTGGTTACTCTTCTAAGCTACTTCTGAAAATCAAATCCAGGAGTAGAGATAAAGAGGTGACTCAATCAGCCATTTTTTCCACAACTATGATCTCATCTTCGATCTCCTAAGAGCGTGGTAAACTTGATTTTTATACTGCCCAAATTCACCCCGACTGAAAGCAGTGCCGCATAAGCTAGGCCCCAGTTAGGTGATGGATGATGATCGATCTTTAAACCCAACCAGAATAACCTTTTAGGGTGGCAATGATCTTGCCGGTCCGTTGACTTAGGGCACATCCTAACGATGAGTAGAAAATAACTTCTCTCGTTTCTATGTCTAATTGTCTATCTATATATGTCTAATAAGGAATATCGCTCCCAATCGTTTCCTACAAGACAATCAAAATAAAGAAAAAAACTCCAACCAAGCAATACACCCACTCTCCAGTACACTCACTCAGTACTTCATAAACCCCCTAAAGTAGTCGGCAACACCCGCTACATCATCCAAGTGAGTCGCGAAGCCCAGGAGGCCGTCCGGGCGCAGCACCACCAGACCGCCATTATTGTCGGAGATGGTGTAGGCGGTATGAGCGGACCGTTCCGCATCATAGTACAACTTGCCCGCTCTCGGAGTGTCAAAGACATGGTCACCTCCACTGCAGGCCTGCGCGACCAGGGTCAGAAGACGAACGACCCCAGAGGGCAATGCCACGCGAAGCTTGCCCAGATCCTCCACGGTCATCTTGAGGGCCGCCTTCGTCCTTTCCGGCTGTCCGGCGAAGATCAGGATGGACCAGATGCCGGTGTTCTTGGTCAGGTGGAAGAGACGGGTGGGCAGGCGCGAGCCGGGGGCGTACACCAAGGCGTCGGGCGCTCTCCAGCCCGCGTTGTTCATGGTTGCTGTCGGCAGCTTGTTGATCAGGTTCTCGTCGTAATGGATCCCGAGACCGATGTTGAAGTGGATGGTCTCATCGAAGAGCTTGGTGAATAGCTCGTTGGCATCTATGCCCCGCCCTTTATAATTGTCCGGGACTTGGCCCGAGATGGTCGCCGAGAAGGCCTTGTCGAGCTCGATCAGGTGCTGGGCGGCTGGGCGACGCTCCGTGTTGTAGCTCTGCAGCATGTCGGCGCCGTACCAGCCCTTGACAACGCCCGCCAGTTTCCAGGACAGGTTCACGGCGTCATGGATACCCGTATTCATGCCCTGAGCAGCACCGGACGAGTGCGTGTGACACGCGTCGCCGGCCAGCAAGACTCGGTCGTTGAAGAAGAATTGATCTGCCACTCGCTGACCAATACTGCAGAAGGTTAGGGTGATGCGCAACTCGAAGCATAGCCAGGACATGATCATACCCATACAAGGTCCACCACTCGACCGATTCGAACTTCAGCGAGAAGGGCGCCATAGATTTGACGGCTTCCACCTTGGCGTCTTCGAGAGTGAAGTTATCGCCGTATTTGGCGAGCATTTCCTCTGTCATCGCGAAGCCAATGCGCTTGACGCCATGGTCCAGCTGGACCCAGAGTACATTTCCGTGAGCCTCGGACTCGATCGAAGCGAAGCCCACATCGGCATCAGGCATGTCGGTCTCGAAGTGGCCATCAATGCGAATCCACTTGTACACAGTTTGGTCGCCTTCGAAGGGAATATTGGCGAGACGACGCACAAGGGAATGACCGCCATCGGCACCGACGATGTATTTGCTAGCAGTTATTAGTCGGGCTCCATGGTCGGTCATCGGGTCATCGGTACCAAATACCTTCTCACCGTCAGACTCTTGCCCGAGCTGACCTCAGTGACATGCGCAGTCACTTTATAATCATCCTTCGCAGCGTTATCGACGGCGAAATCCTCCAATTTCCAGCCGATGTAGGGCTTACATCCGAGGCTCTCATAAGCGCCCCGAATCACGTCTTCGGAGTATTTCTGGCGGATGTTGAGGCAGTAGTCGAGAAAGGTGCCATACGTGCGTTGGAACATGATGTGCCATCCCCGGGAGGTAACGCGCTTGCCCTTGTGATAGGTGACGCTGTTGCGCGCCACGTAACCGATTTGGTTCAGTTCGTCGAGAAGATCCAGCTGATCTAACATCTCAAGGGTGCGAGGATAGAGAGTTGTTGCACGGCCATACATCGCTTGGTGGGCCTTGTCATGTCGTTCTTTTCCATTCTTGTTAGGCCATGTCTGTGACAGAAGAAAGGGTAAGGGCTGCTTTACCGACGAGTAGGGAATCCACGCCCTGCAGTGCCAGCGAGTAAGCAATAAGCAGGCCCACTGGGCCACCGCCAGAGATCAAGACATCTGTTTCAATGATCTCGGACATGATGCACAGCGAGAGGGTCAATGGTCAATGGTCAAAGAATAGGAGGAAAAGGCAATAGTGGAGAGATAAGATAATACAATATTGAACAGACAAGACTGAGTCTGAGGAAGATGATGACCATCTCTTATACCTCATCCCAGGCATATTCCGCATACTGTGAACAGAGGCAAAGAATGGCTTATGCTTGAGCCGTGGTGCATTCTCAAGCATTCTATGAGACGCCCGGCATCAGTGCGCTTCTCAAAAGGGGAAATACCGGATAGCGTATCGGGTGGTAATACACGGTGGGTAGAAGAAGATTCCGACCTGCGGAATCACGGTTCGTAGTCGGTATTCATGGTACCGGATATGTACAGTACAGACTTATCAAGCTAATTAGTGCTACGCGCAGCAAGCTGACTGCAGGGCGCATAGTCCGACAGAAATTCCAAATAAAGCTGAATAATGGGCATTCGGTTAACATGGAGGGCTAGAGGACCGTCGAGTACGTAGAAGACTTACTTGTTGCACTCTTGGGTGGTTGAAGCAGAAATCTTACTCACACATTACCAAAGGACACGCTACTCAAGTAGCTTAGATGATGAAACCATTCGTCCTGTAATAGAGAGAGAAGTTGGCTTCGCATCGCTTATAGTAGTGTGCTCTAGTGGGTGGATATACAAGAAGACTCAGCTCATCATACATGTAACCAGGGCACTTCGTCTAACCAGTTGTTCATCCTTGTACCATACATGACAATCCTCAGATCTGGGTTTGTGGTGCTCATACAAGCACGCATTGCATAAGTAATTCAGGCTTGTCCGGTGTAAGAACCCTGTCTCTGGTCAGAGTTATGTACTCTGGTCAGAGTTATGTACTCTGGTATCCCTTAGAGAGCATCTATATCATTCCATGTGACAGCCTCGAAAAGTCTAAGATGCGTCTTCAGGACGATCCTTGATGCCTCCCACCCTAATCGTAGTATCTATCTCGATTTCACAGAAACAAAGGTGCCGTAGGCCAAAGCTCGTCACCCATCGTTTTATCTATTGACCCAGCCAAACCTGGTTCACCCAGCAGGTAGGTGAAAATGTCGGAACCCGGCATACCGAGAAAGCACTGTTCATCATCCAAGCCGAGAAAATCCCCGCAATCCATTGCCGAAGGCGCAGGTAAGTCAATTACCGAAGCCTCGCAATGCATGTCCTGGCTTTGAGGCTGTGATCTGTGTTCTTGACCGATAGCTGGGTTGATGATAGATGGATCATGCTGAGCCTGCATAAGGAGGGACAAGACCTTGTTGAGACTCTGGCTGCCGATCTCAGCAGATCTTGTAAGTGAACTCATCTTTTCTAGGCACTCGGAGCAGCTTTTCCAGGATTCCTCCAAAGTCTGCTCTGCAAACTTGGCTTTGATAGCGGAGCATGTCCGAGCTAGGGCAAGAACGATTCCGGCGGAAAAGGTATCTGTAGCAGTGAAGTAAGTCAGCAGGATATCTTGTGTGGTGATGAATAATCTCCTGAGAGGTATTTACAGAATACACTATACCACCACACACTGGCCAGCTCAGTTGTCGAGGTATCATTCATAAGACGTATCAGCTCGATGGCCGCCTTGACGCAATTTATAGAGCAGCTGAGCCTGAAATCCATAAAGATCTCGCTCGGCAACTCTGAGGAAGACGCTTCCGGCAGTGCGGCAGCATGTGAGACTCGAAATTGCCGACAGAATCGGATCAAGGTAGGGCGCAGTAGAAGAATTCTATACTGCAGGAATCTGACAAAGAGACTCGGAATGAGAGAAATCAGGTAATTGTTCGCAAGTCACCCACCTCGCTCTTAGCAAGCAACTTTCGCGCGAATATTGCTTAGTGGTATTGGCCGGTATCTCTCCATTTCGCCAATTCAGTTCTACCGGAAGGCCTGACTTAAAAGCCAATAGCTCTACTTCTAGCTCCATCACATTTCTAGCTTGACTGCTTTCAGCCTGAGGCTGCTCCGCTAGGTTCTCCTGTCTACCTTCCCAGGGCGCAAAGATCCTTGCTAGGATTTGCCTTAGGATTTGATACAGTTGCAATGTGCGCACGTAGAATTCTGTTCTTGATAAGGCTGTGGGTGGTAACCTGGAAACTAGGTTCGGTTGATCGAGGGCCTCATCATCGATAGCGTCTGGGAGAGGGACCGCCGAATCCTGGATCATGGGCGGGCGGCCCAACATCATGCTACTCGCTCTAGGGAGAGTTGGTTAGCGGTTATCGAGATGGATCAATTCGATCCTTCTAACGTCAACAAAAGAAGAAGCTTACAGATCCAACATGATACACCCATGCCACACGCGTCTTCTGACTTGGATCTCCGCCGCCGATCTAAATCTATCCGAACTCAAGGAATGCATTCCGAGTGCTTGCGCCATTCTGCATGCAAAGCCAATGGTATTCCAGCACCGTGCCGGGGACTCGCTTCCTTGCAGATAAGATGACATCAGTAAAAGTGTCTGGACAAGAGCCAAAGTCCCTTTATCCATGGAGATGCCATTTAAGAACCTCTGGGAGCGCTGGAAGAACGCATCCGCGGTAGCTTCGCGCGTCACTCTATCCAATGAGGAGAATTGGCAGCCCAGTGCTAGAATAATGTTCAGCCCGGCATGAAATATCGGCCAGGGCACACTTGGGTCTCCTAAGCCGACTCGTTTTCCAAAGTCATTCGCATCCGTTGTAGGCCCGGGCGTCCATAAAGCGCTGTATGCGCGAGTAAAGGCAGGCCTGTGGAAAAACGGATATAGAGTATGAATTTTCTCATAGTAGCAATCTAGGAGGTAGTCCGCTAATTCTCGTGGCGGCAGATCAACTGCTTTGGGTGTTGGGGCCGCAGAAAATGACTGTGCAGCTATACTCGGCAGGCAAAAAGGAACAGTTTCGTTTTCTAGATGCACATCAGCCTACATTTGCGGAATTCTCACGCTAGACGTGGCACACCTGCAGCATCCTGAATCTGCCTCAAGAAGGACGCGATTGACGAGTCTCCAAAGAACTGATCTTGCTCAATCGAGTGACTAGCATGCCCCGCGATTATACCCGTTGCCGTAGTCCCGTTGTCGCTTTCGGCAAGTGGTTGCAGCAGCTCGGATTCCAGCAGAGATATTGGCCCTGGGTCAGTCGATACATTATCGGCTTCGATTTCTCCCTGTGCTTGGCGATCTGCAAGTCGAGCAGGAAGATGGTTTCCATCAACTCTATGATTTTGAAGCAGCTGCGGGCGGGGACTGGTAGATAAATTGTTTGAACTAAGATCATTCAATCGAAAATTATACCTGTCATACTCAGAGTCGAGCCAATCAAGGCGAACATACTGTTGATATTCTACTAACCGGTGATCATGGGTCTTTTTCGGATCCTCGCCGTTGTAAGAGCACCGCGCTTTCCGTCGCTCACACGAGCCACAAATAGGCGAAACACCATCGCAGCGGATCTTTTGCATACGGCATACATCACAAGCGCGTGCCACCCTTCTTCTCCTTCTTGAAGCTTGAAACTGGACAGATATTGTCAGGGTTCCATGGAACACACGCTAGGTAGCAAGCTGGGCTACATACCATATTTGCCAGGGCCCAAGATCTGGTAGCGTTTCGACTAAGACACGACTGACCTCTGAAGAGATGTCTGTTGCAGGCACTTTCAAGTGTTAGGTACTAAGACCTATATATGACATGGTTGGCTGGTTGATGGTTACTCTATACACTCGCTTGCGGTGCGTTACGATCGTCTTTTCTGCCACTGCGACCCGGTCGACCGCCTTAACCGCCCCATCCCCCGCTTGCTGATGTAGAACAATCCGAGGGAGTTCAATGATCTATCACAGAATCAAGAAGAGCTAATAGCGCTAGGTAGGTAGTACTGGGTAGTGTGGAAGTGAACTGATCTATGTAATTCTGTATGGAGACCTAATTGAGGTACATAAGTCTTGAATTCAGCTCTAATAGCATTTCTTGATAACAAACTATTATACCTTTTTAGAGTAAAAACCATCTATCTTGATAACGACTATGTGATCAGTGGATGATACCATTCTGTTCTATATAATCTAGCTCTACCAGTCACATTATATTATCATCCGCCATCAACAAGCAAATGTAAAAAGTCGTTTGTAGGTATCACCAAGTCCTACTGCCAACATTCCCCTGTTCCCCGACCAATGCCTCCTCGACTTTCTTCCTTTGGTATCTTCCCGTGTTGGTTGGGGACTGACTGTCCTTAGCTCTCAGCAAGATATGTTCGAGGTTCCTCGGCCGCAAGCAACAATGGTCTTCTCTCCGCATCATCATCACTACCGTCACGCCGTGGGCTCGCCTCTGATGCCGCTGCCGGTGTCGCTGAGAAAATAAAAATAAAAATAAAGGATAAGGCCCTTTGTCTCACTATATGTAGTATAGTCGTGGATTTCGGATGCTCCGCTGTTTTAGCGGCCATATAGTTAGCATTTTCGAAGCGCGATGCTGGACAAAATGAGGTACTATAGCAGAAGGAAGTCAGAAGATATATCGCTTATATTCTACTTAAAAGTTGCCTTGGAATACTGAGTGTACAGAGTGGGTGTAACACTAGTCCAACTAACGTTACGCATAAGCTCCTCCAAGACTAGGCCGCCTAGCCAGCAACTGGCAGACAACAACAGCCAGGATAGGATATCTTGACTGACTGAGGCAGAGAATAAGCTTTACAATAAAACATTATTTAGGGATCCTAAAATGTGCCCATAAGATCCCCCTGGTATCGAAAGTATATCCTATTCCGGTTAAAAGTACTTCAGAAAGTATTCTATAAAAATGGGTAACATAGCTTCCGGTATCTATGTAGGTATTATACTTCTTATGCTATAGCATGTCTATGGTAATGCAAGTAATATTGGATATCGTTCACGCGCACTGACTCATCCTACTGTTTTAGCTGAGCACCAACAAAGTCTTTCTCGTCTTCCTCCCACTTCTTGCGTTCAACCACGCTACGAGCTCTGTACAATAACCTGCGGTTAGCTCATGGTCCTCGGTTTCCAATGTTGCGTAGTACGTACCGGTATGCTCTCACAAACCGCCAGACCTCCGAGTCAGCCAGGTTCCAGGCTTCTGCAGCAGCCTTGGGGTTGGGTCGGTTGTTGGGCTTCTGAGCCTTGATGATTTCGCGAGCTTGTTGAATAATCTCATATTCCTTTGGAACTCCTTGCTCGCTCGGAGTGGAATGTTGCACGGATTCCTTCTTCTCGTCCTCATTCTTGGCATCTACCTTGCCGTCTCGAGGGATCTTGAAGCCAAACTGCCACTCAAATTCGTCCAGCAGCTCAGTCGGAAGGGATTGACCGGCATGAGAGGGTAAAGACTCAACAGTCATCCATAACGAAGTTCCAACGACAGTATCATCAGCGACAGCCCGCTTGAACACCGTAGATCTGGGTAATCCACCAATCTCAAGACCCAACTGGTCTTTGGTGACTTCGGTCAACCATACATCACGATCCGTCTCGCGCCGGATGTGGCGGATGCTCACGTCGGTGGAATCCTGCTGCAGACTAATCAATGTAAAAGGGTGAGGAAGTGTCCCGATGGTAAATACTCGAGTCGTATTCCTGTAGGTAGCCGGTTGGCTCAATTGCATTGGCTTCGCCGGATCACACGGGTGACACTTCGGTAAGTTGGGTGGGCATGACTGCGGTACAGGAGAGGTCGAACATTGCACGAGGGCTTTCGCAAGACGCAAAGCAGGCTCAACGAGAGCCGTCGTGTGCTTCGGAAATGGCTTCAAAATGGCGATACCTGCTGGGAAGGCATTTTGAAAAGTGTTGTGTAGATGCGAGTTAATCAACTCTGCCAATGCCAATCGTCCTGCAGTCGGAGATGAAACCATCTTCTCGGCAATCGTTGGGTAATGGGTAGTGATGGTAGAAGAGTCGTACAGAGCCAGCGAGTTAGCCTCCTCTACCTTGAAGAGGTCGGTCGAGGCCAACCCCACTAGGGTGGTAGACGTCTCATCAACTTTGTTCAGAGCCTGCTTGATCACTTCGTTGATATGTACTTTCTCCCCAGAATATAAGGCGCTTCCAAGACGGTCAAAGCGGGTGATGAAAGCTGGATCGGATCCACGGCGCAGGGACGACAAGAGCGCGTCGTCATACCTGGCCATGGGGAAACAATGCCAATCCGCAAGCAAGCCGTCGCCCATATGTCCCCAAGCTAGCCATCTGAAAATCTCGCTCTCGAGTTCTGGTTTGAAATTCACGCGCTGAGCCAGCTCGTAGAGTTGGTTGTTCATGGCTTCCCCCCGCCCAAGTATTACCGGACGGAAACCTTGAGCATACCAAGCTCTGCGCCATGCGAGAAGCAGCTGAGCATCAGCATTATTCTCCTCCACATCATTGCCCTTGTTCGGCTCGTAATATGTGTAGATGAACGGTCTGTCCCTTAAGGGGGGAAGCACTGATCGATTCTCGTCGAGAGTGATGGAGGACGAAAAAGGATTGATCCATGACCAATCGCTAAACCAGCTGGTTTCTCCACTCGTACTGTTCGGCTGAGGCTCGGGGGGAGTATGAACGGTGGGGCGGAAGGATGGCAGGTGCAAGTCGTTTAAGGAGGGAAGCTTGGGATGAGGGACAAATCTGGCCGGCCCGGAGACTGCTGCACCAGTAGAAGAATCGGTAGCTGGGGAGGAGGAGAAGATTATCAATATAAGAGCAACAAAAACAATAATGGTCAGAAGAGCCGTGCTCCGATGAGGAATCATGTTGACATAGGGATGTGGCCGTCTCGAACGGAGCGTCGAGAGCAAGAACAAGAACAAAGTCGTTCGAGTATAAGAGGTGAGAAAGTGAAGGCGGTGCGACAGGATGATGCGCTCTTGTTCCGCCTATCTGGACGCGAATACGAACAGCAGTACTTTTAGGGGAGGTGGGTAATGGCAAAGAGTGGAAGAGTAGGAAGACGTCACGACAACAAGTCGAAATTTCAAGCCATGGTCAACGAAGTCATATCTTGCCCTCAGGGTGGTATGTACAGTACAGTGGTGTAGTGGGTGTCAGATCAGTAGTACAGTACCTGAGCGCAACGATGCAGCGCTGGAGCTCAACCTGGAGCCTGGAGTTTCCAAGGATTAGGAAGACCCCAAACCGGGGGCACGGTTCAACCACTACGCTGCATGCGGTAAGGACGGTTCAGGGTCCGCTCCCGTCTTTTTTTGCTGGGCTCCAGGCTCTTTTGTGGTTTTTTGTGGCTAGGCTGTGGATGAGTACGGGGAGGTGGCTGGGCCCCGCCAAAGGCGGTGAGCTGGATAACAGCCTCAGGCAGCATCAGGCAGCATTCAACAAGCCAAAGAGAAAGCTGCCGACATCGGCACTTATTCGCCTGCCCCTCTTGACTCATCGCCCCTCGCCCTTCGATAAACTACTAAACTTCATTTCTTTTCCCCCCCCCCCCCCCCACCAACCATCCTGACTGCAATCATTGACTTGGACTGCAATCATGGGTGCTGAATCAGTCTCCTTACAAAAGCGTCTTGAGCGATGGGCTCAACGACTACAGAATCTCACTGTCTCTCCCCTCACTAGAGATTATCCCGACAACCACAAGCAGGAGCTTCCCAAGAGAGCAATTGAAGCCTTTGAGTCAATTAAGCTTTCCCAGGGTTCCCAATCAGCCCTCGAGAAGATCTCCGGTTCCTCCTCGAGTTTCACTGTCTTCCTCACTGCTTTCGTTGTTCTCGTTGCCCGTCTGACCGGCGATGAGGACATCGCCATCGGCACCAGTTCCAATGACGATGGCCGCCCTTTCGTTCTCAGAGTCCCAATTGAGGCCTCAGAGACATTTCTCCAGCTCTACGCTAAGGTCAAGAAGGTATAGTCTTCTTCTATTCATGGATTTTGCCCCCTCCCATTCTCATCCTGGTTTATGTAGGCCTTCGAAGAAGGAGCTTCCGAAATCGTACCTTTGGGCAGTCTAAGAAACTACATCCAAGAGAAGTCTGGCTCCGAGCGCTCCCCTATCCTCTTCCGCTTCGCTGCCTATGACGCACCCGCTGCCTCCCAAGACTATCCCGCCAACACCTTCGAGACCACCGATCTTGTCCTCAACATTGCTCCAGTCCTTGCATCGGATGACTCCACATCTCAGGCCGAGTTGGGAGCATACTACAACCAGAGATTGTTCTCCAGTGCGAGAATCTCCACCATATTGAAGCAGCTCGCCAAGCTCGTGGAGAATGCGGCCAGCAATCCGGAACAGGCCATCGGCCGTATCGACTTCATGACTGAGGATCAGCAGGCAATCCTTCCCGACCCGACCTCTGATTTGAATTGGTCTAAGTTCCGTGGTGCCATCCATGAGATTTTCGCCGCCAATGCGGAGAAGCATCCTGACAAGCTTTGTGTGGTCGAGACTAAGTCGGAGCGATCCCCCCACAGGGAGTTTACATACAGGCAAATAAACGAGGCGTCTAATATCCTGGGTCATCACTTGGTTCAGGCTGGTGTTGAGAGAGGCGAGGTTGTCATGGTTTACGCCTACCGTGGTGTTGATCTCGTGGTTGCTGTGATGGGTATCCTCAAGGCCGGCGCAACCTTCTCCGTCATCGATCCAGCATATCCTCCGGAAAGACAGTGCATCTATTTGGATGTCGCTCGTCCTCGCGCATTGATCAACATTGAGAAGGCTACCAAGGATGCGGGTGAACTTTCTGATGAGGTCCGCTCATTCATTGACAAGAACCTGCAGCTGCGTACTGAGGTTCCCGCGCTTGCCCTCCGCGACGATGGTACTCTTGAGGGTGGCTTGGTCAATGGGCAGGACGTGCTGGCCAGCCAGGTGTCTTTGAAGGCTCAATCTGTCGGCGTCGTGGTCGGTCCGGATTCTACCCCCACCTTGTCGTTCACCTCCGGCTCCGAGGGCAGGCCCAAGGGTGTCCGGGGTCGTCATTTCTCCCTGGCATACTACTTCCCGTGGATGTCGGAGACTTTCAAGCTCAACCCTAACGATCGCTTCACGATGCTGAGCGGTATTGCTCACGATCCAATCCAGAGAGACATCTTTACCCCCCTCTTCTTGGGTGCTCAGCTGCTTGTTCCTGCTCGCGAGGATATCCAGAATGAGAAGCTCGCCGAATGGATGCGCGAGTACGGCGCTACTGTCACTCACCTTACACCTGCCATGGGTCAGATTCTGGTGGGCGGTGCCTCAGCTCAATTCCCCGAGCTTCACCATGCTTTCTTCGTGGGCGATATTCTCATTAAGAGAGATTGCCGTTCCCTTCAGGGATTGGCTCCAAATGTCAACATTGTCAACATGTATGGCACGACCGAGACGCAGCGTGCGGTCAGTTACTTTGAAATACCTAGCTACTCGAGTGACGAGGGTTATCTGGACACCATGAAGGATGTCATTCCAGCTGGACGGGGTATGCTCGACGTTCAGATGCTGGTTGTCAACCGCTTCGAGCCGAACCGCATTTGCGCCATTGGTGAAGTGGGTGAAATCTACGTCCGCGCTGGTGGTCTCGCAGAGGGCTACCTCGGTTCTCCGGAATTGAACGAGAAGAAGTTCTTGACCAACTGGTTTGTGGACCCTCAAACCTGGACAGAGAAGGACAAGGCCGAAGCACAGGGCTCGAATGAACCCTGGAGGGAGTTCTACTTTGGCCCGAGAGATCGGTTGTATCGCAGCGGAGATCTCGGCCGTTACACTCCAACCGGTGAGGTCGAATGTTCTGGACGTGCAGACGATCAGGTCAAGATCCGTGGATTCCGTATCGAACTGGGCGAAATTGACACTCATCTGTCTCGTCACCCACTTGTCAGAGAAAATGTTACTTTGGTGCGTCGTGATAAGTTCGAGGAGCGCACCCTGGTCAGCTACTTCGTCCCAGACATGAGTAAGTGGGCATCATGGCTGCAGCAGAAGGGTCTTGAGGACGATGAGTCCGCCGAAGGCATGGTTGGCATGCTCAGACGATTCCGCCCCCTGCGTGACGACATTCGAGACCATCTTCGCAGCAAGCTTGCTAGCTACGCTGTGCCGACAGTCTTCATTCCCCTCAAGCGCATGCCTCTCAACCCCAATGGCAAGATCGACAAGCCCGCATTGCCCTTCCCTGATACTGCAGAGCTAAGTGCCGCCGCTCCTCGGCGCAAGTCCTCGGTGGCGCAAGCCCTCAGCGAGACGGAGCAAGCTGTGGCCTCAATCTGGGGTCAGCGCATTCCTAATGTGACCGCTCGTATGATTAGCCCTGATGACTCGTTCTTCGATTTGGGAGGACACAGTATCTTGGCTCAGCAGATGTTCTTCGACGTTCGACGCAAGTGGCGCGAGATCGATGTCAGCATGAACTCCATTTTCCGCAGCCCTACCCTCAGGGGCTTCGCTGCCGAGATCGACCGTCTTCTGAATCTGGAGTCGTTCGCTAGCAACGACGAGCGTAAGACCGCTGCTGCAGAGCCCGCAGCTCCTGCTGAGCTCGATGACGAATACTCAAAGGATGCCCGCAAGTTGGCAGAGACTCTGCCCGCTTCGTTCCCTACTCGCACCGAGCCTATTCTTGCATCCGAGCCCACCATCTTCCTCACCGGTGCCACTGGTTTCTTGGGTGCTCATATCCTCCGGGATCTCTTGACCCGCAAGTCACCGCAGGCGAAGGTTGTGACCTTGGTGCGCGGCAAGACTGACGAGCAGGCGCTCGGCCGCATTCGCTCTACCTGCCAGGCGTACGGTTTCTGGGACGAAGCCTGGACCAGCCGGCTCCAGTGCGTGTGCGGTAACCTGGGCGAGCCTCGGTTCGGTTTCTCCGACGCTCTTTGGGAGGACCTGACCCAGCGTGTGGATGCTGTCATCCACAACGGTGCTCTGGTTCACTGGGTGTACCCCTACTCCACCCTCAAGCCCGCCAATGTGCTGGGCACCATTGACGCTCTCAAGCTCTGTGCCAGCGGCAAGCCCAAGCAATTCTCCTTCGTCAGTTCGACCAGTACCCTCGACAGCGACCACTATGTCTTGGAATCTGAGCGGATCGTTGCCGAGGGCGGAGCTGGTATCAGCGAGGCGGACGACCTCGAGGGTAGCAGCGTCGGCCTTGGAACCGGCTATGGTCAGAGCAAGTGGGCGGGCGAATATCTCGTGCGGGAAGCTGGTCGCCGCGGTCTCAAGGGTACCGTCGTGCGTCCTGGCTACGTCCTCGGTGACTCCCAGACCGGAACTACCAACACCGACGACTTTCTCATCCGCATGATCAAGGGCTGTATCCAGCTCTCCGCCCGCCCCAACATCAACAACACCGTCAACATGGTGCCCGTCGACCACGTTGCTCGCGTTGTCATTGCCGCCGCCTTCCAGCCCCCTTGCACCCCGATCGGCGTGGCTCAGGTCACCGGTCACCCTCGCCTCCGCTTCAACCAGTTCCTGGGCGCCCTGCAGCTCTACGGCTACGAAGTGCCCCAGATTGATTACGTTCCCTGGTCTAAGGCCTTGGAGCAGTACGTCAATGATGGCCAGCACGATGACCCCGAGTCTCAGCACGCCTTGTAAGTTAACACCTACTTCCTTCTCCTCTTTCCTTAAAGCTTTGCACCCGAACAATCACTAATCTTCGTACTTCAGGATGCCCCTCTACCATTTCGTCACCTCCGACCTCCCCTCCAACACCAAGGCTCCTGAACTCGACGACGTCAATGCCGCCGCCTCCTTGCGCGCCGACGCCGCCTGGTCCGGCATTGATGCCTCCGCTGGCGCTGGTGTCACCGAGGAATTGGTTGGTCTGTATGCAGCGTACCTCGTTGCTACCGGTTTCCTTCCTCCGCCCACGGCTGCTGGCGCCCGCCCGCTGCCGACGGCGCAGTTGACGGAGGACCAGAAGAAGGCCTTGGCTAATGTTGGTGGTCGTGGTGGTGCTTCTTAAAAGTCGCACTCGCTTCTTGCTTTGTGTTAGCGTTTTGTATATCTTGGGGGAAGGGAGTATTAAAAGTTTCATGAGTCTATGGTACGATTTATGTATGGCATGGTATAGTATGCCGCGATGTTCGAGGCATTTTTCGATTATCTAGAGTTCGGGGAAGGGGAATAGATAATAAGGAGAAGAATTTTCTTACTGTTACATCGACCGTCTAGGCAGCAACAATTCTCAGTTGCCACAGCCTCATCTCCCTCTGACTCGACGTGACTCATGGTGAGCCTCAGTATCCGAAGCATAGACGTACAGCACAGCACAGCACCCAAACCGTGAAAACATTGTTCTACTAAGTATTAAAGGTCTGAGCCGCACCATCAATCCATCATGATATGCACCAACGCCATACTTCCCAACGATGGCACTCGAGAGAGTCGCCCAACCGCTGTGGGTGGTGACCACGACCGTCACCCTGCTGTTTGTCTTTTCGTCTTTTCTCCTCAACTACAAATCCAAGACGCACGTCAAGCCTTCAGTCTTACGCAAAACAGCTCTGCGCGTGATCATCTTTCAGTGCATATCGGCTTCTTACATCTCAGAAGTGATCATCCTCTCTGGCCAGCGTCATGGACCTGATCCAACTCCCGACCATATCTTCGCAGCAGTGACCACTGCCTCGGCATGGGCTACAACCTGCCTCCGCAAGGATATCCTCGTCGCAGAAGCTACTGGTCTCAGCGTGATTGCCCTCCTTTTTGGCATTCCTGGTCTGGCTCTCGATGCCATTGCCCTAGATCGCCATGCAGTGCACCGAACCCTGATCATCCTGGAGTCCGTCCGATTACTCTTGGTTAGCGGTGTGCTTGCGAACTGTCTATTCCACACCCGTTCACAAAGAAGTCCTCTCAAGAGCGAGGAAGACGAGGATATGATACCGTGTCTGGGCGAAGCCAATGGCCATTCCGCACCCAGCCCGATCTCCTACGGCACCACACGGACAGATGACCTCGAATCATCCTGCAGTACAGACGAAAGCGTTTCAGAAATCTCCGACGACGAGGAGGAGTCCGACGAGTCCGACGAGTCTCGCACCAGCCAGCTCCGCAAGACCGGCAGCTGGATAGCATACCTCCAGAACTTCAAGATCTTCCTCCCGTTCCTGATCCCCCGGAAGGATCGCAAGGTGCAGGCCTGCCTCCTGGTCTGCATCCTGTGCCTCATCGCCGACCGCGTGCTGAACGTCCTGGTGCCCCGCCAGCTGGGCATCGTCGCAGACAAGCTCTTCGCCCGGGAGTCGCCGACCACGGAGCTGGGGGTCTACATCGCGCTCAGCCTCCTGCACGGCCAGTCGGGCGTGGAGCTGGCCCTCGCGCTCGCGAAGATCCCGATCAAGCAGTTCTCGTACCGGCAGCTGACGACGACCGCGTTCAGCCACGTCATGGACCTGGGCATGGACTTCCACTCGGACCGCGACTCGGCCGAGGTGATGAAGGCGATGGAGCAAGGCGAGGCGCTGACCAACCTGCTGGAGGTGGCGCTGCTCGAGATCGCGCTCGCCGTGCTCGACACCGCCGTGGCCTTCGTCTTCCTGTATCGCAAGTTCACCTCAACCGCGGCGCTGAGCATGCTCGTCGCGACGCTGGCCTTCACGACCGTCGAGGTCATCACCGCCGACTGGAACGTCGACAACCGACGGCGGCAGACGCGCGCCGAGCGCGCCGAGGCCCGCGTCCTGCACCAGGCCATCCAGGGCTGGCCGACGGTGTTCATCTTCAACATGTTCCACCACGAGCGCGCGCGCTTTGGGGGCGCCGTCGACCGACATCTGCGCGCCACGCGCGCCTGGTCGCAGCGCGACGCCTACACCACCGCCCTGACCGAGGCCTTCTTCCCGGCCACCTTCGCCCTGCTGGCCACCCTCGTCGCCCGCGAGGTCCAGGCCGGCCGCGCCTCGCCCGGCGACTTTGTCTTCCTGGTCCAGTACTGGGACTACCTGATCTGGCCGATCAAGTATCTCTCCAAGGAGTACCGATGGCTGGTCTCGGAGGTCGTCAGCGCCGAGCGGCTGCTCGATCTCCTCCTCACCACGCCCAGCGTCACCGATGCCCCAGACGCCATCGCCCTCAGCCCGGCAACAGTCGAAGGCCGCGTCGAGTTTAAAAACGTCAACTTCTCCTACACGCCCCAGCACAACCAGCCCCAACACCACCTAAACCACGACCCCCAAACCCTGAAAAACATAACCCTAACCGCCACGCCCGGCCAGACAATCGCCCTCGTCGGCGCCACCGGCGCCGGCAAATCCAGCCTCACGAAACTCCTCCTGCGGGCCTACGACCTGTCTTCAGGTAGAATAACCCTCGACACGCACGACATCCGCTCCCTCACGCAATCCTCCCTCCGCAGCGCAATCGGCGTGGTCCCGCAGACCCCGCTGCTCTTCAACACGTCGGTCCTTGAAAACCTGCGGTACGCGCGGCGCTCCGCCAGCATCCTGGAGATCCACGCTGCGTGTCGCTCCGCCGCTATCCACGAGAAGATCCTCTCGTTTCCGCGGGGCTACGCTACGAAGGTCGGCGAACAGGGGGTCAAGTTGTCTGGCGGCGAGGTGCAGCGGTTGGCGATCGCGAGGGTGCTGCTCAAGGATCCGGCGGTGCTCGTGCTGGATGAGGCGACGAGTGCCGTGGATACGGAGACGGAGGGGGCGGTGCAGCGGGCTTTGTTTGCAGCGGATGATAGTGGAAGTGGAAGTGGGAACAGGAAAAAGAGGACGACGTTTGTGATTGCGCATCGGCTGTCGACGGTGGTGCGCGCGGATTTGATTTGCGTGTTGCATGAGGGGAGGGTTGTGGAGCGGGGGACCCATGAAGGGTTGTTGAAAGAGAGGGGGAGGTATTTTGGGCTTTGGCAGAGGCAATTGATCAGGGAGGAGGAGGGGCAAGAGGTGTCTTTGGGGGAGGTTGATGGGGATTAGGTGTCTTAGGTTAGGGCCTGTTTGGCGTTATCTTAGTCGGATGCTTTTGCTATACCATTTTTCTCTGCGATAGAGTTTTATTTACGGTCATTCAGCGGATCATAAATCATGCATAATCATCAAATCATCAAATCATCAAACGCAAACAAACCATCTAGCTACGGCGAAACAATCAACGCGAAAGATGCAGAAAAGCAAGTAAACTCAAAGCATTTTTCATATCTTGGTCCAACACACTGCGATCCATCTGCCCCGTGGCATCATGGCTGTCTGACACCTGTCTAATTGGTGTACCAGGTGGAATCACCAGTGCAGGTTCCCTGGAAGGTGAAGGAGGAGTTGGTCTGCACGATACGGGCAATTGGCTTCTCCGCCTGGTCGGTGGGGTAAAAGTCGATGATGAATTTCTGGGTCGGTCGGTCAGCAAGGATGCCCCCCTGATGTTACTGGCTCACTCACGTTCGCGTCCATGTAGACCTTGATGCTCTGGTTTCCTTGGAGGGTTTGCTGGTCGTCATAGTAGACGGTTGCGCTTATCGTTATTGTCAGACCAAGACAGCACAAAAACGGCGGGTTCTGCCCATTGCACAGAGAATCAATGGCGGTACTCACTTGATGTAAGCATGATTCACCCTGAAGAAGCCCGCCACCTCGCCCCGGACTGACTGCCCCATGCTCTGGGAGGTCAGATCGAAGCTCAAGTCGACCCGGCTGATGTCGACCTTGCCCCGGATCCGGTCATGGTAGTTCCAGTGGTAGCAAGAGCACTCGTGCGCGTCCCGCAGCGAGGCCTCCAGAACCTGACGGCCCAGGGGCCGGCTGATCTCCTGGTCGAAGGCCTTCTTGATCTGGGTCTCCGAGACATCGTGGCCGGCGGAGCCGCTGATCGTGACGCGGCGGAAGAGGGCCAGGAGCTCGTCGTCGGCGAGGCCGAGTTGAGGAGCTTGGAGAGTCATCATTGCGGATGCAGGAGCGGGAGTTGAGCGGGTTACTGCGGCGGCCATCTTGGTTGAATGAGTTGGAAATCTGGTTTAGTCTTCCGCGCCGCGATGAGTACGAAGTGCTTGTTGTTCTGAAGGTTGGTTGTTAATGATGATGAGGATGATGAAAATATCTGTGGAGATGGCGATGCGCGACTCTTATATAGACACTGATGTGACGGGAAGGCAGGAAATTGCTTTCGAGTCTTGACCTTAACCGGAACGTCTGGAAGAGGGTTAATTCGTGAGATGGTGTCGCAGTTCGAAGTGGCTCACATATTGAGTCCAATGGGTCTGACAAAGATGAGTTGACACAAACTGCTATCTGCGCGGCTTTCACACTGCAGCTTCATGTTGTCTAGTCGCAAGTCGCGATGTTAGGCACAAACTCACGCTCTTTGAAGGCCTGCTTCTCCTAGCACAGCTTACATTGCACGTTCTCCAGCTAGCCACAAAGCTGACCAGACATGGAACATGATTGCATCGAGGCATCTATACGCTTTTCTATTTGGCAATTGGCAGGCACGAAGAGCATTGACGGTTGGTGTGTATGTTGACCATAAATCCAATCACTTGTCGCTAGTGGGAATCATTCGTGGAGAACGCTGTTTGCACACGAATAAGGTGTGTGTTTGACATTTGTAAAAGCTGCAACTGCTGACTCTACAAGGCCTCCACCTCTTTGGCATCTGCGCCTAGCACAAGACTGGGCAGCGAGAGGATAGTTCATGAGGTGTGTAAGTTCTACCTCAATGCAGCCGTCCAACGGCACAAAGATCAATGAAGTGGCTTTGAAGTGGCTTATCCATAGCTATCAGTGCTTAATGTGATGAACGGGCATAGAACAAGTATGGTGTTGAGTTGAAACAACCCACGATAGACACGATTGTCGGTATAGGAAAACGCAGGCTGGATTGTATACCATCACTTATGGACGAGATGACCTTTCGAGGTGGCAGGCAGTACTACGACGTGAGTCTGTCCCAGACGAAGTAAGCAAGATTGCCATGCACTTCTCAGCTTCACTCAGAACAAGCCAAAGTGCAAATCTCTCGAGACTCGATGATTAGGCTGCGGTTCGCATTCTCCGGGGCAGTGGCTGAAGCCGAGCGGGGATATGCATCACACGACAGGGGTACAAGCGTTCCCTGCAGGATGTTCTGCAGAAGCTGGCCGAGGAACCAGTTGGGTTCAACTAATGAGCAGCTGAGTACGCTGCATTCAGGCCCAGTTTGCGCATGGACATGGATCATTTAGGACGAACCGTTCGTCGTGTCGGTCCTGCGGTAGCAGTGTGGCAGCTAGAGCCCTTGTCCCAGTGACAGCTGGCGTTGACGGCATGAATTTCAGCCAGCCTCTTGATCATCCCGGGCACTGACACAACCTTCTTGGGTTTGTGGTGTGCCAAAGGCAGTGAGTGGGTTGTCACACAACCCATTCCACGTGCGCAGGGCTACACAATATCGTAAATCATGGTCTTAGCACAGGTGGTGACTGGTCTCGTCGGTGGCCTCTTGGAGGGCTCTGTGATCTAGAAGTCTGGGGCAAGCGTCCACGTCAGCAGCGCCAGCAGCTCGTAGCTTTTTTGGTTGCTTTTTCCTCACTGTGGCGAGGAACCTGTTGGCAAACAGAAAAGGTCCTGCTACGGTGTGAATAGTTGTCTGTCATTGCGCAAACACATTTTTTTTTTCATCGAACACGAACGAGACATGCCCGAGGAGTAAGTCAAGGACAATCAAACATGACATCTAGGGATGAATGGTGTTTGCAAAAGAGAGAGGGGGGGAAAGATGAAAAAGAGGGAGAGGGAGAGAAGCTGAAGCTGAAGCTGAAACTAAAAAGGAAGGAGGAAGACGAGGTCACGGGACTTCTTTTTCTTCTTCTTCAACCATACACTTCTTCTTTTACATAGTAAGTTCCGACAAGACTACCGGCATCAACGAGCTACCTACTTCTCTCCGCGATCTACAAACACGTCCCGAGACGCAATTCCGACATACCCCAAGCCTCTGCCAAGCCCGAGGGAGTGGCCGGCAATAAGTCGGCTGAAGAACATCGCCGCCTCAGGATTTCGGCAGATCGGAGTGGAGAGAAGTGAGAGAAAGGATACGAGTCGCGGAGTACGAGCTCATCATAGCTTCTGTTCCGAACTATACCCAATTGATAAGAATCCCCTCCCCCTCGGTCCCCACTATGATTCATGTTCTTTTTCTCTGCTCTCCTATCTTATCTTTTGGCACTTTCAATAGCATCTTCGCTGAGGAGACCATTCTGAATCACTTTTGTAAGTGCCTGTGCACTCTCAAGGTATCCTCCTGTTCCGGTGCTAACCGCCATCTACTAGAAACAACTGCTCAATCACAATTACATCATGGCTTCTGATATGGAATATGTCCGGTATACCATCACTGTAGACTCTCAATTGAAAGCAATTCCCTTGCTAATGACATGGACATCGCAGCCTTGGCAACTCCGGCCTCAAGATCTCCAAGATCCTCCTGGGTACCATGTCGTACGGCACCAGACAATGGCAGGACTGGGTACTGGATGAGGAGGAAGCCCTGCCCTTGATCGAGCACGCCTACAAGCGTGGCATCAACACTTGGGACACGGTACTTTTCTCCCGCCTCGTTATCAGCTTCATTGTCCAAATCACCCAGCGCTGACAGCCAGATCAGGCCGACGTCTATTCCCACGGTCGCTCGGAGGAGATCATCGGCAAGGCGCTGAAGCAATTCAACATCCCGCGCGACCGGGTCGTCATTTTGACCAAGTGCTTCTTCGGTGTGGACGACGAAGGGGGCATGCCTCCCATCTCGGCCTGCGGCCGCAACGACGCCGGATTCGTCAACCGCGTCGGCCTGTCGCGGAAGCACATCTTCGACGCCGTGGACGCCAGTGTCCAGAGACTGGGCACCTATATCGACGTGCTGCAGATCCACCGGCTGGACCGCGACACGCCCCGCGAGGAGATCATGCGGGCGCTCAACGATGTGGTGGAGAGTGGGAAAGTGAGATACATCGGCGCCAGCACGGTAAGCACGCCCAGCGATTGAGACAACATATCGTGCAACGATGCTTTTCATGCTTAAAACACGTTGATACTAACGGGCTATCATCAAGATGGCCGCCTGGGAATTCCAGACCTTGCAGAACATCGCCGCCCGCAACGGCTGGCATCAATTCATCTGCATGCAGAACTTCCACAACCTGCTGGCCCGCGAGGAAGAGCGCGAAATGATCCCCTACTGCCAGGACGCCGGCGTGGGCCTGATCCCCTGGTCGCCCATGGCGCGGGGCGTGCTGGCGCGGCCCTGGGGCTCGCGCTCGACGGTGCGCGAGTCGACCGACGGCGCCCTCAAGATGCTGATCCGCAGCCGCGAGACGGAGGCCGACAAGGCGATCGTGGACCGCGTCGAGGAGCTCGCCCAGAAGAAGGGCGTGAGCATGGCCCAGATCGCCATCGCCTGGTCCCTGAGCCACCCGAAAGAGAACCCGATCCTGGGTCTCAGCAGCAAGGAGCGTATCGACGAAGCCGTTGCGGCCATTAAGGTGCAGCTGACCGCCGAGGAGATCAAGTATCTGGAGGAACCGTATGTTCCTAGAGCCGTGACGAGCTTGGAGCGGTGATTTGGAGGCGCGCTGGATTTGGTGTAGTGCTTCTATCTTACCAAAAATATGATTTCTAAATGAGAGCTTCAACTATGGAACCTTCCTGCGATCGGGACCTAAGCCCCCGACTTGGATTATGATACTACACTACGAACGCAACCCTTGACTATTAATTCGCCATGTATATCACGTAAGACCATCACTACTGGAAGTAAAGCAACCAGAACGAATATGATATGATATAAGTATATGCCATTGATAATCGTGTATTCATTCGCACAAGGGCTAAAGCGAGCTGAGATAGATAGATAGGTTTCGAACGGATGGAATCCGTCACACAAACAAGATATCAAAATATCAGACAACCGCACAGGAACCAAGAACACAACACAAGGATCAGTTGGTCCGATGGCAAATTAATGTTATCGACAGTAACGCTCAGCTCCTGGCTCTTATGTTACGAAGACAATATTCTGCAATGGTCGATGATATTCGGACATGGAACAAGGGAAAAGAAAAAGGGGGGTATTGCTCAACCTCTGCAAGAGGGAGGTGGAATGTATCGAATTGAAGACGGCCTCCTCGCTGCACTGGGTCGTTCGGGCTAGCATAGCCAGCACCCAGGTGGGACAAGGGGATTGGAGTGGAGGTGTGTGTGGTCAATAAGGTCATAGTAAAAGCACCAGGCTTCTGTTTCTCTGTCGTGGGACGTATGGATTTCAATGTGAATGGGTGCTTTTGCGGATGATGAAGTCGAATAGACTGCTGAGTCGATGTCGACGTTTGCCCTTTGGTGGTTGTTCGATGGATTTGTTGTTCGATGGAGACGCACTCCCGTTTGCTCGGTCCGGCTGTGGATGTTGTTGTTGTTGAGGCTGCGGGCGAGGGCTTCTTGTACCTTGCGACCGGTCGATATCCTTGTCGGGCGCTTGCTTCAGGACCGGCGCCTCGGACTTCCTGCGGTGGGACCAGCGTCTGCGCGTGCTCGAATCTTGTCGAGTCGGGGTGGGCGTGGCGTTGGCATCCGCGTCATGGACCGGCTCACGGGTGCTGGAAAGCGTGCTGTGGCGATTGAGGCGGCCGAGGGTGCCAGAGGCACGTCGGTTGGTCCGCTCAATAAATGCTGCTCCGGTTGAGTTGGAACGTCTCGAGAGACGACCGAGCGTTGATTGGTCGGAAATTGTGTTGGGTGGTGATGACATGCAGCTGGATGTGGACATTCGATGTCTGCGGTTCGTGGCGGCGGGACCTGTCGGGTTGCTGACTTCTTCCTCCAACGCCCGATCGTTTTCAGCCCTAACGGCTGTCGGGGAGCTCTGTCGTGACGGACAGCGAGATCTGGGGTTGAGCGTCGAAGCGGCGTCGTTGTAGCTGAAGGTATGCGACCAGCCCTCTCGGAAGGCCACCCAGAAGCTTGTAACAATGATCAACATGCGTAGGTTGTCGTCAACAGGCATCCTTCCGCCCAATGGCTCGTCCATCTCCGAGAGGTCGCTGATAACAGACATGGCAGAAGTAGGGGATGCGATCCCCGAGGTGGCCGGCATTGAGTACTCATGGAATACCTCCAGATGATTCCGGGTCATCGTGGCGAGGACAGGGTGACGGCGGGTGTTAGGGTTGATCACGCTGAATGTGAAGCGCTTGCTGTCTTCCTGGAGGCCAAAATCGGGGGGTGCCGACACGCGACGGTTCTTGCCTCCCCGCAGCACCCATCGCAGGACCTGGATACCTTCGTCGGTCTGGGCCACAAACTCGTATGAGCCATTGGCCAGAGGCGTCGCCTCCCAAACCGGTCCACAACTGAGGCAGATTTCCGCCTTGCCTTTCGATAATGCATCATCCGTTAACAGCTGGCATATCGTTGCGACCACTTCACGGTACTCTCCGTTCTCTTCATCGGAGCTCAGATGCCTGTCGGCGAAATCGCCTTGGCTCTGTTCATAGCGATCGCCGGTAACGACGATCAGGTCGTTGGGGCCTAGTCCTTTCTTGCCGCGAAAGATGGTTGGGAATTTGCGGGCCAGTCTAGGCAGAAACACACTTGACGGGAGTACGTCCAAAATGGGTAACGGACGCGGGGTTTGTGACACCTGTTGGAGTTGTAAGAGGAGCTTGGGTCGGAGTTTCAGTCGCCTGTGACGTGCGTGGGATGCGGGATGCGCTAATTGGTATGACGTTTTAGGTCGCGACGATTGTTTCCTAGTCGAATATGAGCGAGCGATCCTCGAGGAAGCTAGAGTTGGCCCGACGGTCGAATGCTCGTCATCGCTCGACAATAATATCTGGTCTACTGCAGGTGGCCTCGACATTGCACGTGGTGGTTCTTGCAGCGGCGGCTTGTCTGTTTCTGTCACTCTGCGCCGGCCGTACAAGCTTCCCAGACCCCAGGTTGGTAGCGTCGCGAAGGATACAGGCGGCGAGGAATGGCGCGACAAGGTCTGGGGATCGGACTGGGGACCAAGAACGTCGCTGTTGTGAGCTGCTGCTGCATCCGCGGTCAATCCAAGGTTGAATAGCATTCTTTTCTGGGCTTCAACCACGCCTATCGGTGCTCCCGGACTACCATTGACCAGTAGTACGGCGACAGAGGTGGGAAGCGTGTCTATAGTTGGTGGTGGCGGAGAATTATGCTTGTCAATAGCTGAATGTCGAAGCTTCGTTCAACAGAAAATCCAAGAATAGTAAGAGGATAGGAAATGGAGAAAGAAAGTGCATCAGCAAAGAGCTGAATGAGACTGAGTTCAAGGAAATGATGATGCTGGCCGCGACCTGCACGACAATGAACAGCTCGGTAGCAAGCGAGGCTGAGGCGGAGGCTGTGAAATCGGGTGGGGAAAGGGGAAAGGAAAGGAGTGAGGTCAGAAGTGCAAGAGGGGGAGAATAAAAGAATAGGAGAAACGAAGTCCCGGGAAAGCTCACGTCGGACAAACGTGGAGAAATCTATAGATCGTGGGACGAAGGAGGCAAAGGAAGAGTGGGCAAGAGAGTGGGTAACAAGTATAAGGAGGAGAGGGAGGAGGAGAATGAAGAAAGACGGGTGTAAGGATGGATTCTCAAGTATACGTAGTAGTGCTGCGTAGTGATGGGGAGGAAGCTTTTCAGCCTTTTTGCTAATTCAGCCTTTCGTTTGCTCGGGCAAGGAACGGTCGGCGTTAACAATTAGAATAAGATCCCACTAGGATTGACCACCTGGATGACTGCTGCATGTCAGACGAAGGGGATCGTGGATCATTAATGGAAGGAAGTGGATAGGAAGTGGACGGCGGTCAGGGTGAAGCACCGGAGGTTAAAGGAAAGGGTCAGTGTCATTCGGTAATTAATATAAGTATCATAGAAGTCTCATGAGGGGGAGACTCAGAGCAGAAAAGAAAAAAAAAATGAAAAATGAAAATAAAAAAAGAAGAAAAAAGAGAAGAAATTTGGTGATGGGCCAAGAATGAGCAGCAAAAGTAATGATCATTAATCATGGACCCAGTTGACTGGATTATTTATTCAGTTTTCCCCGATCTATCAGCATGATTTTTAGGTTCAAGGAACAAATCACGCTGCTGCATTGATGGAGCTGTGAAGCGACCAGACTAGACGGCGATCTTCGGCACCCACACTTAACCACTATTCCTCTACATTCGGTAGACGGCTCGTATCGATTTTTCAACATTTCAGCCCATTACGGAGCCTTTCCTCCGGTAGCTATGGGGCATAATGAGTTATGCATGGGGCGAAGACACAAGGCACAAGGAGGGGCAGAGCAGGGCAACTCAAGGAGGAAGGTACAGTACAGTTAGTTAGAAGGTATGTAGCAGATAACTACTACAGTACATACAGACAAAGCTACTACTGACTGAAAAACTCCGCTGGCGTTCGGAGGTGGAGGAGGTGCAGGCTGCAAGCAACCTCCGTGTCGTCCGTAACTCTGGGCGGAAGAACGGATTTTGCAAGACCTTCTCCGTCACGGAAGCCGGAAACGCCGACCTGCCGTCTTCCTCTCCGGAGCCTCGGCCTCTGCACTATCCATGATTCCATGGTTTATGTCAGAATTTGACTGCCCCAGAAGCATAAGGCTGAATTGGCCTGTTTCTCGGTTTCTCGGTTTCGACGATGAGCCCGGCTGACAGATCATCGCAGGAATCCCCTAGATGGTACGAGTACCGAGTAAGTACCAGTCAATTCACACTACTCAATCAAACTATTCTCTTCTTCTTCTCATTGATATCTTATGACAAATCCTGATAGAATTTGACTAATTAACAGAAGGATTGTAGTTAGTTGGGTTAGTTAGTCATTTCACCTGACTCATAGTAATCCGCATACTCGAAAACTTGCGAGAGAAAATTAGCTGCCACAGTGTCGACCAGGCTCGGCCAGTGCTTGGCATTACACCTAACCAGAACGAGGGTCTCCTTCCTAGCGGAAACTTCGATGGCAAATTTCTCTATTTCGCGCAAATCCCCCTGGGTGGTCTCATGGATCTGGCCGGAAAGTCGGTCTGTCCAAGGATTTCACTGGCCAGTACCTGAGTATAGATGGCTTTGGATGGTCAGCTATCTTGTAGCAGTCAGTCCACGAGGCAATGCGAGCCAACCTCCTCGAGTATAACTTCCAGTGTACGGTAACAGATGGGCCCATCGTATTTCTTTTCAATGGATTGAGGTGGCCACTGGTCGGTACAACAAGCATTCCGCGTGATCAAGCAGTGGGGCTCGAGCTCAGGAGGATCTTGAACAGAGGTTGCATAAGGGGACATATCCAGCAGAAATTGAAACAAAGGTACAGTAGTACACATGGACCAAGCGGACACTGGCCGAGTACATCATGCATTGAGCTTCTCATCATGAAAACCGATGAAATTGGCACGGAAAGTTCTTGCATCCAGTGTACTTCAAAACTGCTTGCTTCAGTTTCGACATAATGATGGAGAATGACTCAGGTTGGACGAGAATGGCCGTTGACCTTCCCTATCGAGGATGCCCTTGACGTGCTGCTTGCGTTACCGGAGATCCGAACAACAGAACACTCCAGATGAGAGGTTGACCCAGTCGATCCGATAGGGCTGATTTGTCTGAGGGGAGGTCCATTGGTCCTTGGAGGAGGGGAGTGCTCACTTCCCAAAACTGTCTCCGCGATCCGGAGAAACCTTGTCCTCTGACATCATCATTATCGTGAATGATTATGATGCTCACTATGTACTGTAAGCCGAGTAAATCGACATGGAACTCAACCCCGCTAGTCTATCTTTTGGGAGTCATTTGTACAGTATCACATGTATCAGTAAACTACTAAAATACTAGACTCGATCATACTTATATCTCTGAAATGGAAAGAAACGCCACCCTTGCCATCAGGATGCAAGGCATTACGTATTTGTGCACCGCCATATGCTGAATAAGACACGGCCATGCTTGCCGAACTTTCCGATCCGTTTAGCCACGGCTTGGCTCGACGCGTCTTTAATCATCCCTCCATGTCCAATTCTTCATAACTAATACATATTTACCTATTACCTCCACTTACCTCGGTTACTTGCCATCATCCCATGACTAGAAGGTGGTGTGAAGTCCTGCGTTAGACCATCACATCGGTTTCATTGCGTTGTCCTCGATCGAGGTCACAATGACAGCCATTTAGAGAGGCACATAAGACTACTTGGATAGAGAACACCAAAGGGTGCATGCATAGGTTGGATATGCTGATGCCTACGGACAATATGAGTTCATCAACTTACGCAGGCTCGCGAGCGGCAAATCGCCCCAGCATCCTGGATCCTGCCCGTCCTATTAGAGGCTTGACAATCGCTTTCTGTCTATGGAAAGTGCTGGTGTTCCTGGTCATCGTCTCGTGCCCAGGATTGGGCTACGATACTTCCACAAGCCATCTTTATGAGTATCAGGACCCCAACAGCTCTGATGTCATATCAGAGGACATCGAAGATCTACTTCTCACCGTTCCACGAAAGTTCGTCAGGTGGGACTCTATCTACTTCTTGCATATAGCTCAGCAAGGGTATGTCTTCGAGCAAGAGTGGGCATTTGGCTATGGCTACACTCAAGCCTTAGCCTACCTGACTTCCGGTAAAAAAAAATGCTTCTTTTCTCTAAGCAAACCAATGGTAGCCACTAATTGCCGATGTAGTTCTTCAAAACCTCACCGGCTTGGGAGGAGGGGTCATAATAGCGATTGAGGCGATCCTACTCTCTCACATTGCACACTACCTCTCCGTTCTTGCGCTCTATAGACTTTCTGTCAATGTGTTTGGAAACGACAGTACCACGCAACGACTCATCTGCCTGCTGTCTACAGCTTTACATATCATCTGCCCCGCCGGAGCATTTCTTTCGGCTCCATATGGAGAGTCACTGTTCTCGTTCCTGAACATAACTGGTTTCTATCTCTACTCTTCCGCTTACTTGGATAACAAGAATGGCAAGCGTCTGTCCGGCGATTTCAAAACGCTTTTGTCCGCTGTTCTGTTCTCTGCAGCAACGACTGTTCGCAGCAATGGCATCTTGAGCGGGATATTGTTCGCCTATGACGCTTTCCTCCAGCTTCGACGGGTCGTGTCACAGAGTATGTCATTGAACGCCTGTGCGCACCTGCTGGTTGCGATCGTGAGCGGTTGTATCATTGCTCTGGGGCTCATTCTCCCTCAATATATCGCACACACGGCATACTGTGGGAATGATCCTCATTCCCGGCCATGGTGCCAATGGTATGTTCCGAGTATATATGGCTGGGTGCAAAGCCATTATTGGTATGTGATCTTCTAGCTCTGAGCTGCACCAAGTACACTAATCATAGGAATAGGAACGTGGGTTTCCTTCGGTATTGGAGTCTCTCGAACCTTCCACTATTCGTTCTAGCAATGCCCATGCTGGCTATACTCTGTCGCTCGTCTTTCTGGGCACTTGACATGGCTGTCCCTTTCATTTATCCAAGGGCTCTCAGTGGGATTGATCACGCTTCATCGTCAGCTACCACCGCCTCATTGCTCCTACGGCTGGCTGCACCTCAGGGAATCTTGGCCTTAATGGCCCTCACCAGCTATCACGTCCAAATCATTAATCGAATAGCTTCAGGTTACCCACTGTGGTATTGGTATCTTGCGTACTTGGTTTCTGGAAATTGGGGTCAAATCCCTCCTTCAATTCAACACAGCCGCACGTTTACAAGTGCGGTGCAGGGAATGGTGACATATGCTTTAGTGCAAGCCACATTATTTGGATCATTTCTACCACCAGCCTGAGGGTAGAGCTTCAAGCTAGGAAGAATGCTTCCAAGCCACTGCATACCAAATTTATACATTTTTTAAATATGCGGCTGGTCGTATGAAGCTGTCAAACTTTGAATACGAATCATTGTCAAATGAGAAGGACCAAAAAAAATTAAAAAGAAAATCAATGAAAAGATTATAGTACTGTATAGATAATATTCTGTAAACGTGATAGAGTTGGAGGAAAGCCCTTTGGGCAGAGAAGGATGCCTGTCTGACAACAGCGTTGCTGGTTACTTGCCACCCCAATTCCCCCGCCTTTTCTTTTCTCACCTTTCATTTAACCTTTTACTTTAGCCCACTGATCCTAGCTGAGCGGTGGTGCACGGAGTCTTAATTGGGGTTCTATGTGGTGGTAGGTCGCTCTGGAGTCGGACCCATCGTTAGGCTGCCGGCCGTTACGTTATGTGAAATTATGTCATCACCGATCTGACAAAACTGACCCAGACCCGACTCAATGATGCCTCCAACTTCGGTCTGCTACGCGTGAGCTTCAAGATATCCTACACAACCTACACAACCTACACTATTACCATCTTTGCCCGTCTTTGGCTTCGAAGCTCGCTCGCACACGAAGCTCGTGCTCACAATCATTGGGCTTCAGGGTCTTCTCCTTCAACATCCCATACATCTTAAGCTCGTTCGTCGCTTCGATTCTAAAGCTTGGTTTCCGGTCGCCTTACTAGCGGAGCACACCTGGATCGCATATGCGAAACGAATCGACAGCAGGTCGTTGTTTGGGCATCGATTCTTGCACCTGAGCATCAAATCGCGGACCTCCATGTGCACTGTGCGAATATTCTATCTCTCTTCAATTTCTCCGTGGTTCAATATTGTGGATCAAACCTAGCTAACAAGCTCGAATCCCTAGAATCCGACCTCAGCTGAACCATCTTCATCATTATCATCATCCTCATTACCCTCCACCAGAACATAAACGCTTGACAGTCTATACAGCAATGGACCACTCAGGCTCTAGGCCCATCCTGACATCCGAAAACTTTCACAATACACAACACCTGTCTCGAGCCACCTCTCCAGGAGGTGAGCCTGCCGTGATGAATGGGGACGGTGAGCCTAAGGCGCGAGTTCGCCCACGCACATACCCGTACTTCAAATATCTACCATATTCGCTCGAGGACGAACCAGAGAGGGACAAGAACTTTCGCGAGATCCTCCGACAACTGTACATCGCAGTTGAAGCTGGAGATTTCAGTCCCGGCGCGGTGCACTGGACAAGAGAGCTCAGAGGGTGGCTGTCACTAAAGTTTGACCCTACTCGGACGCAACGGGTTAATCTCGTTAAACTGTACTATGAGCTCTCCCTCGCCCCCGGAATCGATCCCAATGTTGCGGAACGATTTGCGAGCATGTTCATGTTGCTCACCAAGTATGCATTCGTGTTCAAGCCTTCCACATACGTATCACTAATGGCATTCGCAGGCGCAAGCACTACCTGAGACCCGTCAAGGATCTAACGCTGGACTGGAAGCCTTTGTATAGAGAGCTGAAATCCTTTGTCCTGCCGACCGAGTCGGGCTTGGTGCACTCGTCGAATCTTAAACGGAACATCAAGACTTTGACCAAGCTCTGTGCCTTCGTTCAACTGTACATTGATCCGTGTGAACTGCCGGCGATGCTCGAAGAGTTCCTCCCTCACTATACGACTTCCTTCTCAGAAGGTGCTTTTGTTGTCGTCGGCCTGATCAACCTGATGTTGCCTACATCTCCTCCGCCCGAGTCAAGAGAGGATTTGCTTCCCCAGCACTACATGCCGACCTATTTCCATTTATGGTCGCTGGTTAGTCGGTCGAAGACATTCGATATCACTTTCTTGGACTATCTTTCTCGACTTGCTCGGGACTCCCTGCCAGCCAGTCATATACCGTTCTCGGAGCACGGCATTTTTACTCCTGATCAATCCTCGCTCATATTCACCGCTATTTTGCGACTACTAGAGATCCCGGTGGGACAGTCAACCTCTCCCTATAGTGCTCTTGTCGATATCTCTTCCGGGCTGGGTATCATGCTTGACCGTGACACACGAAAGCATCCGGTCGCACATCACATTGCCAGGTGGATTGTAATGTCGCTGTCACCAGCATGCCTCGATGCTCAGGAGTCGATTCTCACCCAGCTCGAAGGCCTTGTTCAGGCGGTAGAGACTTTTTTCCATCCCTCCAACTCTGGCGCCTGGACAAAGACCTTGTCGCAATTGGTGTACTACCTGGCAGATTTCTTTGTGATGCGTTGGAACCGAGAGCAAACCGGCGAGATGGAGGTCCCACCCGAGCGCAGGTTGACTGAGCCCCTGAAACGTCGCTTTGTGCTTTGCCTACGCGACGTGATATTCATGGGCATTTACGCCAAAAGTGGCACGGCCATGAGCTTCTCCTTGTCTACGCTGCAGAATCTGGCCTTCCTAGAACCCCACCTCATCCTTCCCGGGGCTCTGCAGCGCATTTACCCCTCGTTGCAAGGACTCGTAGAAGTTCATCGGACCACCTCGTCTCTCCGTGCTCTGCAAGTTCTATCGCGCATCATCTCCAGAACCAAGGGTTACCGCTGCCATATGACTACTCTTCTTGGGCTCGCATTACCAGGGATTGACGCCAATGATCTGGAGAAATCCTTGCACTCCTTGTCATTCATTCAGGCTGCTTGCTACAATATACCCATGGCCGACTTGACCCAAGGGAGAGACGATGTGAATTGTAACATGCTTGCAATGCAATGGATTACCGGCGAGATGGAACGCATGGAAGAGGAAGGTGTTGACATCAAATTGAACTATGATACCGAGCTGGACGATGAGACAGAAGAGATGATTCTTCGCTCGTCTACTTGCGGCTTTGGAGACTTCATTGTCTCCTTCTTGGGTCGTGTCTTCACACTTCTGGAAAACCTGCCAGACGTGAGTAGGGTTCGGAACGGATCTCCTGAGGAGAACATCGTGAACACCCTGCCGGCCACCTTCATGCCACTGCTGTCGTCTCTTTCCCCCGAATACTATGATATCGCCTTGTCCAAGGTTGTTGACTTCGTCTCCAACCATGTGATCCATCAAGCTCGGGATGCAATGGCCTTCATTTGTAACTCAGTCTGCAAAGTGAACCCTGCAAAGGCCTTGAAGCGCTTCATCCCAGTGTTGACGCAGGCCATCCGTACCGAGATTGACGACAATGGTGCAGGGTCGACCAGAACGACAGGCACAGATGTCCTACCTCGAGACCGTGGCCTGGTGTGGAACGTCAGCATGCTCAGCATGTGCGTCGTTCATGTCGGAGATGCCGTACTGGCTCACAAGAAAGAGCTCTTCGATATAGCCGTCTATATGCAGCAGAAATGTCGGGGGATACCCACAGTACATATCTCCAACTTCATACACCATCTTCTTCTCAACCTAACGGGTACATATACATCGGACTACTCCTTGTACGAGCCTGACGTTGTCGCTCAAGGCATACAGCCCAAACACTGGAGCTATCAGCAAGATCCTTGTAAACTGAGTGTAAAATGGCACGTGCCGAAACGCGAGGAACTTGAATTTGCTGTGGAGCTCTTCCAGAATCAGGCAGAGTCTGCTCTGAAGCAGCTTAAAGCATTGACCGATGAGACCTCCAGCGTGAAGCGCGATGGAAGCGGTAAAGACTGGTCTGATGAAGTGACTCGGAACCTGGTGCTGTTACGGCTCATCCTTTCCGGTATCTCTGTGCTTCTCGACCCTAATGCTGCATCTACGACTACATCGGCTGGGCTTTCCGACGGATCGACTGATGTGCAGATGGCGGACTCGAAGGAAGCTCCAAGCGACAATGAGGATCCTGACTCGGCTCTTGATAGCTCTGAGGATTCCGCAGTCAGGGATACTTTTACCTACCCTACTGGGTATCCTTTGACTGAGAACGATAAGCTGTACACAGCCATTCATGACATCAGAGAAAGGGCAGGTTGGGTCTTGCACGACGTGCACAGATTCCTGTCCGACAAGCAAGAGGACGATGTGCCATGCTTCGCAGCTCTTTACTCGGCGTACCGCTCTTGGTTCGTTGACGTCGGTATTGAACGTTCTGCTCATGTCCTAGACAGAGTCACTCGACTTCTTGCGGCCGACATTCATCCTTATAAGATGAGTGGCCTGCGAAAGGAATATCCCCGTCCATTGCTCGTACGAAGGGCGAATGTGTACCATCTGCAACGACTTCGGCATAACGCAGCCCCGCGCCGTCGTTCCAAACTTGATGAAATTCTACTCTTAGATATCGCCGAGTCCTGCGTATCTCTGTATACCGAAACTCGACGCAACGCTCAAAGTGCAGGAGAGTCGGCCCTCAAAGCTGTCTGGGGATCCCGTCTGCTAGTGATCCCCCCTCTTTTGAAGGCTCTTCAGAAGGGTATTAGAGAGAATGACCATGCTCGTATCAAGGGTGCCTTATTTTCTCTGTTATTAGGGAGTGTCGCGAAAACTGTTGGGCGCCACTGGAAGTACGCACCCGTTCTTATTCGAACATTTATCGACGCGAGCGCTGTCGACAAACCATCTGTGCAGAGAATCTGCTCAAGTGCCGTCTACCAAATCATGGAGTACGGACGTGCCATGGAGAGAATGGCAGTTCTCGATCGAGACATCATCGAATCGATCGCACCGGTTCAAGAAGTCCAGGGTGAGATTGACCAGAAGCGTGATGCCATCAACAAGAAACGCGTGCTCATCGAGAAGAAGAAGGCAGCCTTGGCAGAGGAATTGGTCAATCTTGCCCGGGTATCTCATTGGAAAGTCGCAAGTCGAGCAGCCACAATCGTGATCACTATGGGGCTTAGGTTCGACTACGTTGCAAGCGAAAACCTGGTTGAGCTCGTGACCCAAGGCTCGATTGATGACCACCCGGGACTGCGCGGCATGTACTCACAGGCTCTCATTGCGTTATTCACGATGATAGACGTCCGGGCAATTTGCAGCCACGATTACAAAAACTACATACTGGGCCACCAGCATTTCCCCTCGAAACTCAAAGTCGCCACCAAGCGCGACGATCCAAATTGGACGAAAGAATACTTGGCGAGCTTCGCTAACCCAGAAGCGGAATATTACGTTGATCATGATTTTCCTGGTTGGCTTGTTTGGGCAGATAGTATGCCGGCTTACAAGTCGAATGTGAAACGTGATATCGAGTATGACGAGGTCGAGTGGAAGGTTCGGGCGCATATGGGCAAACTATTCGACAGAGCATGGTTCTCCAAGTTCTTCATGTATCTGAAACAGGAACCCCGGGACCCTTCGGCTGACAAGTTCCGCATGCCCTGCGCAATGATGCTTCTCTACGCCTTCGAGCTGATGCTTCGTGACGAGCTAACGGCTGCTACGTTCAAAGACATCCAGGAAGAAATCGAAGCCGTCTTTGAGGACGGCAGTGACAAGCACCAACATCGCGCCACTGCAGAGATTCTCGGGGCTTTGGTGAGCTCTGTGGCCGATACCAGCGTGGAGAAGCGGACTTTGGTCTGGGAATATGCCTTTCCCATCGTGCAGAAAATCTTCACTGATGGGCTGACTCCCGAAAACTCCGGGTACTGGACAACCTTCTTGCATATGATCCTACAGTGCCGAGACCCACGCAGAGCTTGGCCTCTCGTTGACTGGCTAGCAAGTTTCCGGCTGGATATGGGCACCAATGCAGCATTCAAGGAAAGCTCGAAAATCAATCTCTTGCATCAGTCAATCATTGATGCAGGCTGGCATTTCCAAATGGAGAAGCCGATTGTTGAGGATTTCCTTGGGCATCTCGATCATCCTTACAAGGGAGTACGCGAAGCCATGGGACAGACCCTTGCGACTATCTTCCGCACCAGGTATCATGAATCGTACGCTGACCTGAAACGCCTTCTCGATGCACAAAAGTCCGCGTCTTCGGTTGGTACATATCCTTATCTCCCCACCGAAGATTTTACCAAGATGATTCGTGAAGTCTTCAGCCGTATTGAGACATGGCGGCAAGCCCGCACGCCCGGTCAACAAACGCCTTCGTCCTATACTTCTGGATGTAAGACCGTTTTGCTATGGCTGGATTCCACCCTTTCGTCCCATGAATGTACACAATTGGTGTCGTTTTTCCCTGATTTGTTCACGGGGCAGCTTCTGCATATGATGGATGTCAAGGAAGACCCAGAGCTCCAGTCCCTGGCTTACCACGTCTTCCGTCATCTGCCCAACATTCCATACCCCGCTGAGCATAACTCGGAGTTTATCAAGACCCTCATCCACATTGGGCAGACATCGCCTTCATGGCACCAACGTCTGCGTGTCATGATCAACATTCAGATCATATACTTCCGTCGTCTGTTCTTACTGTCTGCGGGCGATCGTGACAAGCTTTTTGAGTGCGTGGCCAGCATGCTCGAAGACCCACAGCATGAGGTGAGAGTGGGAGCATCTGCCACCCTATCTGGAATGATCCGTTGCTCTCCTATTTCGCTCCGGGAAGAGATGGTTGCCCGACTGAAGAAGCGATTTACTAAGGTCTTGGTTGAGAACCCTCTTCCTAAGAAACCCAAGGCCCTCCGCTCGGGTATCTCAACGCCAGTCTCCTCTGGAGCTGGTACTCCGACCCCAGAGCACACCCGACTTATCATCTCCAGACACGGTGCAGTCCTAGGACTGGGAGCGCTCATTCAAGCATTCCCCTACAACAGTCCACCGCCCAGGTGGATGCCCGATGCTCTGACCACCCTGAGCGTCCGAGCGGCTAGCGACCCTGGCATTGTTGGATCGAGTGTCAAGTCTATTATCAGCGAGTTTAAGAAGACCAGACAAGATACCTGGCACATTGACGCGAAGGTAAGCCATCGCCAAACCCTCCCGTAAGGTCTCTCTCGCTAACAGCGTCAAAACAGGCCTTCACGTCGGACCAGCTCGAGGATCTTTCTGGAGTGCTATGGAAGAGTTACTTTGCTTGAAGCAGCTGTCGCACCAAGCGTGAATGAACGAATATACGAAAATTGGCAGGGTTGTTTTGCGACATTTGGTTGATGGCTTCATCGTTTCCTTACAGGTAGTTGTAACAGTAGACATTTCGTTTCTGTTCGAAGACCGCATGGGCATTGAGTTGGGTTAAACAATCACTAATACTATCGATGACTCGTGATGTACTACATTTCCATTCCGAGTTGCGTAACAACGGACCTTGATCGATTAGTCACATCTTAATAATCGGCCGCGGTGGCTTTCTCGTCATGTGACTTGAAGCAGCCACGCGGCTCTCCGAACCGGGCTTGATCTCAAGTGCATCATCGAGCTTCTACCGAAGTCAGGCGTTGGGGCTCTTTCCATTAGCTCAAAGCTTCTTCGTTATCGTACGAAAGCTTCTATTGTTACTCCTTTCTATACATTCCCTGATAATAGCGCTACTGCGCACTTATTCCTTGCTGTGGATAGGTACTGCTGCCGGCAGCTTCTCCCGTCACCATGGCTCCAAGGGACACCTTCTTCCGGTCGTCGGACATGAGTCTGACCCAGCTTTACATCGCCAATGAAATCGGTAGAGAAGTTGTCAGTGCTCTGGGTGAACTTGGTCAGGTTGAATTCAGAGATGTAAGTTCCAACAATATTCTTCATCCACGGATGTCACTCAACTGACCGTCTGGCTGCCGCTAGCTCAACCCCGACACCAATGCCTTTCAACGTACCTTCACAAAGGAAATCCGTCGGTTGGACAATGTGGAGAGACAGTTGCGTACGTGATACAATGAAGTCAAGAATGGGAAGCTGGGCGGTAGACTAACTTGTTTCTCGCGCCAGGCTATTTCCACGGACAAATGGACAAGGCGAGCATCCCCATGAGGTCCTCCTCTGAATTCTCGGATACACTGGCAGCGCCCATGGCTTCAGAGATCGATGAACTGGCAGAACGGAGCGAAAGCCTCGAACAGCGGATTGCCTCATTGAATGATAGCTACGAGACCTTGAAAAAGCGTGAGGTGGAACTCACCGAGTGGCGTTGGGTCCTGAGGGAGGCCGGTGGTTTCTTCGATCGCGCCCACAGCCACACCGAAGAGATTCGCCAGTCTTTCGACAATGACGAGGCCCCGCTACTTCGTGACGTTGAACACCAAGGTACCAACGGCGACGCGCAGGGTCAGCAGTCCTTCCTGGAGATGAATATTGGCTTCGTGGCGGGTGTGATTCCCCGGGATAGGATTGGCGCCTTTGAGCGAATCTTGTGGCGTACCCTGCGTGGTAACCTCTACATGAACCAGTCTGAGATCCCGGAGGCTATCATCGACCCCTCGACCAACGAGGAGTCTCACAAGAACGTATTCGTCATCTTCGCCCATGGAAAGAGTATCATCGCCAAGATCAGAAAGATTTCCGAGTCTCTCGGCGCCTCGTTGTACAATGTCGATGAGAACAGTGAACTCAGACGCGACCAGATTCACGAGGTCAACACCCGCTTGAGTGACGTTGGGAACGTTCTCCGCAACACTAAGAACACGCTCGATGCGGAGCTTTCACAGATCGCTCGCTCGCTCGCAGCTTGGATGATAATCGTCAAGAAAGAGAAGGCAGTTTACGATACTCTCAACAAGTTCTCTTACGATCAAGCTCGCAAAACCCTCATCGCCGAGGCTTGGTGTCCGACCAATTCGTTGGCCTTGATCAAGTCGACCTTGCAGGATGTCAATGATCGTGCTGGATTGAGCGTGCCCACCATTGTCAACCAAATCCGTACCAACAAGACGCCCCCCACCTACATGCGCACTAACAAATTCACCGAGGCCTTCCAGACTATTGTCAATGCCTACGGTATTCCCAAGTACTCCGAAGCCAACCCCGGTCTTTACACTGTCGTTACGTTCCCCTTCCTGTTCGCTGTCATGTTCGGTGATTTCGGTCACGGTAGTTTGATGTTCCTGGCAGCCTCTGCGATGATCTTCTGGGAACGCAAGTTGCAGAAGACAAAGTTGGATGAACTGACGTACATGGCTTTCTACGGCCGTTACATCATGTTGATGATGGGTATCTTTTCCATGTACACGGGTTTGATTTACAATGATATCTTCTCGAAGTCATTCACTATCTTCTCCAGTGCTTGGAAGTGGCCTGAGGACATCCAGCAAGGACAAACTGTGAACGCAGTGCTGAAGGGCAGCGATCGCTATCCATTCGGTCTCGACTGGAATTGGCACGGAGCGGAGAACTCCCTGCTTTTCACCAACAGCTTGAAAATGAAGATGAGTATCGTTCTCGGTTGGACTCATGTAAGTACTTATGCTTATATCTATTCCATACCGACGATTGTTCTAACTCTTAGCAGATGACTTACGCTCTATGCCTGCAATACGTCAATGCGCGTCACTTCAAGTCCAAGGTCGATATTTTCGGTAACTTCATCCCGGGAATGATCTTCTTCCAGTCTATCTTCGGTTACCTCGTCCTCACCATCCTCTACAAGTGGTCTGTGGACTGGAATGCTCGTGGACAGTCTCCTCCGGGTCTCTTGAACATGCTCATCTTCATGTTCCTCAACCCTGGAACTGTCGAGGAGCAACTGTATCCTGGCCAAGCTGGTGTTCAGGTCGTTCTTCTGCTCCTCGCAGTCATTCAGGTGCCAATCATGCTTTTCTTCAAGCCATTCTACCTCCGCTGGGAGCACAACCGTGCTCGCGCTCTCGGGTACCGGGGTCTCGGCGAGCAGTCGCGTGTTAGCGCACTGGAAGATGACGGTGACCTGGATGGCCGCGCGCCCGGAGGCCGTGACAGCCTGGCCAGCGACGGCGAGGGAGTGGCGATGATCGCGCAGGATATCGGCGACGAGGAGCACGAGGAATTCGACTTCTCCGAGATCATGATCCACCAGGTGATTCACACGATCGAGTTCTGCCTGAACTGTATCTCCCACACCGCCTCGTACCTGCGTCTGTGGGCGCTCTCCTTGGCCCACCAGCAGCTGTCCATCGTGCTGTGGGACATGACCATCGGCGGCGCCTTCAAGCAGGAGTCCGGCACCATCCGCGTCCTCATGATCGTGGTCACCTTCTACCTCTGGTTCACCTTGACCATCGCCATTCTGTGTGTCATGGAAGGCACCAGTGCCATGCTGCACTCGCTCCGTCTGCACTGGGTCGAAGCCATGAGCAAGCATTTCATGGGCGAAGGCTTGCCGTTTAGCCCGTTCAGCTTCAAGACCCTCCTTGAGGATGATCCGGTGGATTAGTTTTCTTTCTTTTGGGTGGTTGTCTGGATCTGTTGATCACAGATTGTTCTGTACATGCCTTTCGTTTCTTTTTTATTGCGTCCGTGTGTTCTCGTCTTCTGTTCCTAGCTAGCGTCTGTCTTGGATTAGACCATTTACTCGCTCGGGTTAGTAACTAGAGCATACGATACTTGCAATCAGATCGTAGGAACTATTGCCTGCCCCCTGTTACGGTATATGTAAACTGGGTCCCGTATTGAATATCTGCGTTTCTGGATGGCTGTAGTGAACGGCTGGGTACATAGTGGGACAAATGACATCATTCCCCCTGGACTACCGTCGATCTCACTCCTGGAGACCAAAAACCAGATTGAGCCGCAGGCCAGAAGAGAGTGATCCAAATAGTACTGATTCCCTGGGACGTACAGTCTGGTCATGGTTGAGAAGGGAGACCAATTTTATCACGAGAGGGGAGGGGGAGGGGGAGGGGTTTATTCTTTCTGATCAAGGGGTTGCTCATTGGTGGAAATATATAACGGCGGAGGACGAAGGAAACACTCCAGACAGTGATAACAACTACGACCTTACCACTTTTCTACAGTCGACAGGGCGAGAAAACGTTGGATTTTTTGAAATGTTTTTCTTGAATTTAGATTGTTTTAATAGAGCGTATCGTTAATTACAACGTAACTCGTGACATGCTGAAGAGAACTCCCTGGCCAGCCCCGGAGCACCGTACCCATTCAATTGCAGTTTGGGGGTATTTACTTATTCCTTTTTTTTGTTTGTTTTTGAACGGTAATTCATTTCTTGTGCTGGTTGTAGGTGTCGATGATCTTCTGGACCTCGTCCTTGGAGCCGAGGAAGACACCGCTACGGTCGTGGATGTGCTCGGGGACGACCTCGAGGAGACGCTCCATGCGGGAGTTGACGGCAAGGCCGCCGGCGTTCTCGAAGAGCATGGCCATGGGGGCGCATTCGTAGAGGATGCGGAGCTTGCCCTTGGGGCTCTTCTTGTCGGCGGGGTAGGCGAAGACGCCGCCGTAGAGGAGGGTGCGGTAGGCGTCGGCGACCATGGAGCCGATGTAGCGGGCGCTGTAGGGCTTCTGGCCCTCGCCGGGGAACTTGAGGGAGTGGAAGTAGGCGTTGGTCCAGTCGTCCCAGTACATGCTGTTGCCCTCGTTGACCGAGTAGATGGCGCGCTTGGCGGGCAGCTGCATGTCTGGGTGGGTGAGGATGAACTCGCCCAGGGAGTTCTCCATGGTGAAGCCGTTGACGGTGCCGTTGCGCATGGTGATGACCAGCTGGGCTGAGGCGCCGTACATGGTGAATCCGGAGGCGACCATCTCCGTGCCGGCGCGCAGCAGGTCCTTGGCCGTCACCTGCTTGCCGGCGCCCAGCACCTCGTCGGGCAGGCGGAAGATGCCGAAGATGGTGCCCACCGAGACGCCTGCGTCCAGGTTGGAGGAGCCATCGATCGGGTCGCACACCACCGCGTAGCGCGCGTCCGGGTGCTCATCGAAGATGATCGTCTCCTCCTCCTCCTCGGACACCAGGAGCCGGCACTTGCCCGACCCCTTCATCGCCGCGATGAAGATGTCATTGCCGATGACGTCAAGCTTCTTCTGATCGTCGCCCGTCGTGTTGGACGATCCCGCCAGTCCCGTCAAGTTGATCAGCGAGGCGCGACGGATGTAGTAAGCAATCGACTTGAAGGCGAATTGCAAGGCGTGGCAGAGAAGTCTGTTACGAGTTTTGCGTGTTTAGTGTTTGGGTTCCCAAGGTTGCTGGAGGTTTTGCGCGCGCGCACGTGCCTGGAGGGGAAGAGGGGGGAAGGGGGCAGAACTCACGTGAAGTCACCGGTGGCCTCGGGTACCTTGGCCTGCTCTTCAGTGAGCCATCGGGTGAGGGTGACAATGTCGGTGTTGATGTTTTCCTGTCCAACAGGGGGAGCGCCGGCAGCCATGATGTGTAAATGTGGGTATGTATGTGGGGGAGTGAGTGAGATGGGTAGTAGAGCGAGAGAGCTGCGCAACTATAAACTTCCGATTCCGGCGAAGTGGGAATTGAGATTGTTTTTAAGTAAATTGCAACCTCGGTTCAACGGAGAAAGCAGGAAGATACGGAGATTGTCGTTTAGAGGAGAGCTCAAAGGGATTGGGAGAGGGGTGGTGCCGAAGGAGGGGTGATTTGGGGATATGTATATGTATGGAAGTGGGGTTTCGAGGAGAGAGACAAATTGGTAAGTCGCAGAGAGAGAGGAGTTGATCCAAGCAAGTGTTTTAGAAAAGAAGTAGAGTATGTGAAGGAGTTGAGAAGAGGAACAGTGGCCGGACTTTAAAAGGAGCAATCTTTTGCCGGGGAAAAGGAGTGGTTCTGGCTAACGTCACTCTAACAAACCGGATGGGCAAAGACTATCAATTGACGCAATGACTGAAATGACTGCAATGGGGATAGTTTTCGTCATTCCCGTCTCTTCTCCGCTTTCGGTCGCAGCCCGAGTTTTCCCTTCAGTCCCTGGTCCGGCTGCCCGAACGACCCCCGACTTTCCCCGCCTCACCGAGAGAGCATGTATACCCAGCTGGGAGTCCAGACTCGACTCTGGAGAGCCTAGAGGTGATCAGTGTATGTTAAGCTTCGCTATTGTTGACGACTGATACTTTTGTGTCAATCCCAGGGGCAGGACACCAGTGTCAGCGCAATTGACTCTCGTTTGTTGCCATTATCGGTGGTAGACTGACTCTTCCAGGAGGAACAACAGTTCGGTCAACCCGGCAATGGTTCGACCCAAACTAGTGAATCCATCAGTCAGATCTCAGACATCGAGAGACCAAAACAACCTCAATAGGTGGAAGGAAAAATACTCGTATCCTCGCGTTTGAGGAGAGCATTGAAGTGGGTTTTGGGCAGGTCAGCAGACACGCGGAGATTGATCAGCCCGCATCGAACTATTCCGAACTATCCAAAGGAAAAGAGTCGAGGCCCGACTGAGAGGCTCGGCTATCTTTCCATTCGGGATCCTCGAGTCCGGAGCTGACCGCTCCACGTTCCGCCTGCTGGGTCTCATGGTTCTGCCCGCAGAAAGGGCAGGGCTGACCTAAGCAGCCAACGCGTTTCTCGCTTACGCCGACTAACCGCATACAGCCTAACTAACTCCTCGGTAAAAATTGGCTCCGGGCGGGAGAGCTTTAAAAAGTTCGACTCACTTTTCTTTTTGAGCTTTTTTTCCCATCACAACAACATTCTCTGTTGCAATGTCTGTCTGCCTGTTATGATCGTGGCTTCAGATATGACACAGCTTGTAGAACTATTTGCTCACCATGCACATTTGGAACTGACACGTCTGGTTCTTCGCTGAACAGGATCCTTTTGGTAAGTGCTACTCCAGCATCGAGATCACCCCTCATCCCAACCTCACATCATCCTTCTATGATGATACCTACAACCACATTTCAAACTAGAGTCTTTGACCCCCATCCGGGGAATGAAAACTCACTTGTTTGCACGTCAGTCTGATGCATTTGCGAAGGACTTGATCTTGTCTCTTGACCACAGTCGAGTGGTTGGCAGGGTGCTAATCAGTCTACAGAACACTTACCTTTTAGCTTCATCTCGACCATGACTCGAGATTCAACCCGTCACTAATGGTATGTGGATTCCCCCTATTCCTGGCACTGCCCCTTCACTTCACTCTTCATATGATGCTTCAAACGTTTATATACGCTGGAAATTACCGACTGAGGCCTTCGGGTCCTGGACGATATCAAATGGCTATTTCTGATTTAATTTACACCGCTTCTGCTTGTCAAGCCTCATGAACCAACTTAGCATTGGCTAACAGTTCAAAAGATTTCCACAGGTTTTACATCACAGACAACGCTTGCGAATTCAGCCAAGAGGGTAAGCCATCCACTTTTCCCTTGCCTCTTCAGATGCGACTTTCGAAGATGAAACGGCACTGGGCTCCGACGGCGTTACGACATAGCGTCCGGTCATGATGGATATGCCCTTTTTGTGGCAGGCCTAGAAAACCTCGCCCACTGAGATACTCGCTCGAAGCACACTTCATGTCAGCGTTGATGTATGGCCTGAGGCTGATCATCATGAAAGTAATCACAGGCTACACACAGTAATCCCTGCTTTAGAATATCAAAAGGTAATTCTATTTTGTTTTCTGTCCATCCTCCACCCAACACAATGATGATTCCCTTAGATGACGAGTCTTATTGGAGTTATCCATGCAGACAACATCTTTTTTTAACCATTCATGCATTTCTGACATGGTTGTTGCGAGAATCTTTGCATCTCGAATCTCTAATGGACGTGGCTGACTCGCAACCTGATAGATATTGTCAATCCCACTGTGTCTGGGTTAGCTCTGACTGGGAGAAAGAGGTCTAAGTATGTCACTGCCTCTTTCCTTTGCCTGGCTTCCTTGAATGATGATACGACATAAAACAAAGACAAGCATATGTCCAAGCTTGCTTTGCGGGCCGAGACGACACCTGTCATGACTGACTCGTCGCCATGCTTCATGATCATCTCATTCACGTACCACTCTCAGTACTAATAAGCTGAGCAGGTATTGGTGTATCCGTGATCACAGCTCTTGAACATCAGGTTGGAGCTTGACTTGGTCCTGATGTTGGCCAAGTACGAGCTCCAACCTTTCACAAGATGAATGTAAGCTGAACCTGATTTTCTTTTTCGTTTGCCTTCCTCTTCTCCAATGATGATTTATTCTTTATTTATCACGACGGTCAACATAAAGAAATACCTTGATGACCACCGCCTGTGACAGGGCATTTATCTGAAATGGAGAAGACTTGTTACTTCCTCTCTTTTGTTTCTTGCATACCGCATGAGTGAGATGATCAAATGGCTAATATAGCTTCCAGTGACTTCTAGGATATGCAATCTTGAACCAGCGTAGCCACCGAGCAAGAGGAGAGGGCCGTCAAATGTCAGATTCATCTAGATGTCTAGAGTGCATTAGTCAAAGCTTATGATTTGAGATTAAAATAGAATCTTCTTTTGACGTTTACTATACCTAATTTTTCCTAATGTGTTTTCCCTTGTAGTACTTAGGGTCGGACGAAGAGTCGGAACTGACCAAGGAAACAGACCCTTGGCACTTGATCCCTGGCTCTGAGTGGTTGTGAGGGTGCGAGGGTTAAGCGCCAGTGATCGCGCCGGCTGTGATTCAACCCGCCTCAGCTGCATCTCTCGTCACATTCATGCTTGTCCCTGGACCATGCGTCTCCTGATGTTCTATTCTTGTCCTTTATCTCATCTTCTTGCTTTCTCCCCCTCCTTCCAAGTTCTCAGTGGTCCCCCAAACCCACTACAGCCCACGATGGCGGCCGCAAATTGGACCGGTCGACGAATCCCTGCCATTGGGACCCGCGTTTGGGCTGGAGAATTGTTGCAAAGAATAGAATTATCCTGTGGCCCTTCAGCCCTTTGACTTTCTCTCCACCACCTATCGTATTCTCTGGTCGGCTCGCCTCCTTCGTGTCTACGCTTGACCGTAATCTTGCCTTGCACGCAGCTCCCCCAGCCATGGCTATCGCGCTCTTGATCGGTTACGAGTATGAATAGGTGTGCTTGGCTTCTCCCACTCTCCTCACTCACTCATCATCCCGCGGTTTCCTCCCTTTGGCAATCTCCTGCTGCGAGGGTCCGAGGGTTGCTGATCACAGCCTTCTCGATAGTTGGCAGTCTTCGAGCAATGCTGGCGACGAGCTGGCGTCTGGTGTACAACCTCTGAGCAGCTGGCCGAGTCCCTATCACAGCAACAGCAACCAAATCTCACCCCGTCGTCGCGAGCATGCGGTGCAGCCTCCCCCTTTGACAACAGCCTTGAACAGTAGTCAATTCCAAGGCCTTGGACTTGGTTTAGGGGCAGCATATTCCCCGGCGCCTCTTTCGACGACTTCTCTGTCGAGCCCATTCACCCACGGCCAGTCTCCTGTAGTGGCTTCTCCTGGAGGATTCGCCCTCGGATCTTCGCCCATGTCGTCCCGACAGTATAACGTGCCCTATAACCCTCAGGATTGGGGGCCGGTGGGACATACCTCAGTCAATTCGGGGCAACAGACTTATTCTCAAGCAAATAACATGCTGAGGATTGTGCCCCAGCCACGTTCATCGGGGCCTCACTCAGGTCTGACTCCCGTTCTATATTCCATGCCCCTCTCCATCATTATAGCTATAGATGTCGTGGGCGATTCCAGTCCGGAGTTGAAAAGTGCCTAATGTGATCGTTGCAGATGTATCGTTGTCACCCCCACCTCCTCCATACTCGCCGCCCAGTCATCAGCACCAGCAGCAACCCAGAGATAATGCCAGCCATAACACCTCCTCCTTGGGCTCGACATCCCCGAGTGCCACCTCTTCGAATACAGGAGCATTGCGCTCGAGCATGGATCAAGCCTCGGAGTATCAACAGCGTCGTCTTCCACGGGCGCGCCCGCTATCTATGTTCGTAGGAAACGAACCCGGCCGGAACCGACGAGTTTCACTTCCTCCTCCACCCCCGCTACCGCAAAGTCTCGCAGGGTCCAGATCATCGTCTCGTAGTAGAGGAGAACCTTACCAGGACCAGGCCACCGCATCGATAGGGTCGAGACCGTATGTCGTCGTCTCATCGGAGGGTCTGCGGGCCTCGCAGTCAAATAATGGCAGTCATATGCCAGCATTTGATGGCATGGACGATACAGGCCGTCCTCCTGCTTCACGAAGAGCCGTCTCGGCGGGACCCGTGGTGAGCAGCACGAGCTCATCCCGAACTCACAGTCAAACCCGGAGTGGATCACTTCCAACACAAGGCTGGGAGCCAGGAATGCCCCTTCCTCCACCTCCTCCGGGTCCTCCGCCGGGCACAAGGTCCCAGAGTGTGAACGGGCTGTCTGATACGTCGCCTGCGCGCACTCATCAAGTCCCTGCGAGAACCGGGAAAGCACGGGCGCCTCCGCCCCTGGGAACCACCCTCGATAGCATACCACCAACACCTGCTGGCTGGGTGGATGAGACCATCTCAGTAGTCAAGCAGAAGCACGATAAGATGCCCCTGAGCATAGACACTATGAATAATGCATCTGGCAGCAGTTCAACATCGCATGATACTTCTCAGACAGCACAAAGCTCTGTCAGCGGCGGCCTTTTTCGAAGCCCGGCTATCAAAGATCCCAACGCCAAGGGAATTCGCGAGAGACGAATAGAACGCAGAAACCGGCAGAGTCAAGTCTTAGATGATCTCAGTGCGGTGTCCATGAGCAGTAACCCATGGGCTGAAGCACTGGAGAAAATAAAACCGTCCAACTTGGTCTTAGAAGACACAAATGGTGAATCGGAGCGAACACCACATCAGGTTTCAGCCAAGATCACGCCGCGGAGTACGCGCAGTGTGGGCTCCGAGATGCAGCAGCAAGTTCCGTCAAGATCCAGAGCGTCTTCTGGAGGCTTGTTTTCGAATCGATCCCCATTTTCGACCCCTAAAGCTGAGCCGAGCCCGCTAGGAGCCCCGGCTGGGTATGCACAGACTCCGCCATTCTCACCGGGTACGGCAAAATCGAAGCGAACGTCGCCGGCGCTCCCTTCCAAAACCCTTCCAACACCTCCACTCCAACCGAGACAGGAACGATCGCCATCTCAATCGAGAGTCAAAGACGAGCGCCCAGTGTCGCATATCCTGCACTTGCCTAATGACAGTGTTCCCGCCGTATCGCCTCTGGCACCGCGCCGCCTCTCAGCCCAGCAAGGCCCCTCTCTTGACTCGGTCATCAAGCGCGATGATGAGTTCCTCCGAAACGCTACGCAAAGGCATCAGGTTTTCGTTGAGAAAGAAGCAGATGCGGTGGACGAGAAGGAAGCACTCCAAGTGTTCACGGAGTTCATTATCGCGGAATCTCAAATCCGACGCGAGAAGTATGCTAAAGTCTGGAACACAGGCTCCTTTGACGTGGAAGAGGTAGTCCGGCAATTGTTCGAGTTGCCACCGAAGACACCGCAGACTACCCAAATGGCTTCTGCCATTGCTCCTGTAATGCCCCCTAAGAGGGCATCCAACGTAGCAGTCCCCAAGCCCAAGCTGGACATTCCTCAATCTCGGCCCGAGTCCGCTTGGTGGAATAATTACCAGCCGTGTCTCTCGCCGATTGCAAGCCTGGGTCTCAGCAATGATGAGATGAGCTCCCGAGGACGTGCTCCCAGTCGATGGTGGGAATCAAAAACTGGCTCTAGTAGTGAAGGGGGGGAGAGAAGAGTGCAACGCTCAAAGAGGGAAAGCAAGTACATGGGTCTGCCGCGTGAGGCCCTGCTCCTCGAAGAAAGCCAGAGTCTTTCCGGGAGTGGCATTGGTGGCGACCAGGATTCAACCGGCCAACGCATGACTTACGGTCCAGATGAATACCCCCCCGAGAAAGTTGGGTGGCATGAGGAGCCTGAAATACCGGTTCATCCGACCCGCAATGGCATCGGCCGCCTCGAACGGCATGAAGAGAGGTCGAAGATGGATGTTTCGAGGCTTATTACCCTACCGCCACCCTATCCCAGACATTATCCTGCCGTGAATAATAGTCACCCTGACCTTGTAACGTATCGGACGTTGGTTCGTTCCATCACTGATATATCCGAGATCAAAGCTACCCGGCAACGCCATGAAACCGATATGGCGGTCCTATTTCAGAAGCATCAAAATCGAGTCAAGGACGGTCGCCGACAGTTTAAGGCCAACATCCAGAGCGAGATTCAGCAAGGTAGTATCACGTTCGCGGAGGCCGCAGAAGCCGAAGCAGCGTTGTTAGTGGAGGAAGACGCCCTCGAGAGAGAGGTTATGCAGAGACAGTTAGATGATTTTCAGGAATCAGTTTTCAAGCCGATGCGCGCAATACTGAGAGACCGAATTGAACGGGCGACATCCTGCATCGACGAGCTACGCAGCAAGCTATTTGACGACGCACGGTGTGGGACGCCTGACCAGACACAGGAGGAAGGTGATGAGAAGCCAGAACTGCTGGAGAAACTCACCCAACTCAAGTGGCTCTTCGAGGCCAGAGAAAACCTACACCGCGAAGTCTTTGAACTCATCAGTGATCGGGATGAGAAGTACAAGGCGGTGGTTCTGCTGCCATATAAGCAAGCTGGGAATGACGAGAAGGTACTTGAAACCCGTGAGTTCTTTCAGAAAGATGCATTGGACCGTCGAGTCAATCATGAGGCCAGTGCCTTGGCTCGTCTGGAGTCGTTCTTGGACGTGATCGAAGAGAACGTGGCCCGAGGGGTGGAAATTCAACTGTCTGCCTTCTGGGACATTGCTCCGCCTCTTCTCGCCCTGGTCCAGCAGATCCCGGAGGATGTCCGTGGCTTTCTCATTCAGATCCCCAGCAATGAGTATGATGAGAATCCCAGTTACCACCGGCATCCGCTGCAATATCTCTACACGCTGGTCTCGCACGCGGAAAAATCCAGCTACCAGTACATTGAGTCACAGATCAACCTGTTCTGTTTGTTGCACGAGGTCAAATCGGCGGTGATGAAAGCGAACTGCAGTCTTGTGGAAGCCGAGCGCATCTGCCAGGGCGAGGCGGAGACCAAGGTCCTACAAGAGCTGCAAGCGCTCAGAGCAGACGAAGAACGTACATTGACCGGTGACCTGAAGGACAAGGTCGCTACAGTGGAAGGCCAGTGGGCTGAAGCGCTTGGGAGTCAGATCCAAGGATTACGGGAGCGGGTAAAGGAGCAACTCATTGCAGAGAATGGGTGGGATGATATTGAGCAGTTGGAGCAGGCATGAGAGTTGAAGTGATGGGCTGGATCAAAATTGCTTGAGTTTTTTTGTTGTGTTTCTCTGGTTCTGCTTTATTGCTATAAGATACCCCACATTCGCTCGTTACTGAATTGATTGATTGATTAACTACTTGATATCTGAGTATGAGTGCTGAGGCAGAATGACAGCAATTAGGCGACGTGGCCGACCGCCTTCCCACGTGACTCAACTACCCACTCTCCGGCATTGAAATTAAATCTTCTAGAGCTTTCCTTCCGAATCCTCAACCTAAACTCCTCTCCGTAGAAAAACCAGGCTGTTCCCCTCCCACGGTACCTTTTCTTTGTCACTCTCGCCTACTTTTCATTGCTCCAGTGGACTTTGATTGATCTATCATCTCTACAGCGTCTTAATTCTGGACGTTTTGTCTCCTAAACTGTGAGTTGCACTGAGTTTTTCACTCTTTTCCTTCAATGCACTTCCCCCTCCTTCACCCCTCCGGCCATTTGCCTCGTGGTCAAGGACAAGGGGCACAAACTTTTCATGATGAGACATCATAGCTGGCACCAGTCAGACGGGGATATTTACTCTATCCTCCATGCTGATTAGCTTGCGATCCGGAAACGCTAACTGGATCCTGACATTCTTTCACACCGTTCATGCTCTATGCTCTTGAAACACTGGTTGGAGATATATGCTAATCATTGTGTCTCCTCAGAACCCTAGCCTCCCTCCATTCCAGTGGGAAATCAAAAACCAAGCAGTTTGAGACTCGCTAAAATTTCCCACACTAGCGAAGTTTTGCCCCGCAATAGAAGCAGCTTCTTCCTGCAACCCAAGTCATTAGACCAATCCTTAAATAAAATAAAACAACCAACATGGTTCTGCACAACCCCAACAACTGGCACTGGGTGAACAAGGACGCCTCGGGCTGGGCCAAAGACTACCTTAAGGAGAAGCTCGTTGTCGTCTCCGCAGAGGACAATGGCGCCTCCGCCAAGATTTCCAACCTGCTGTCGATGGATGGCGATGTAGACGTCAGCCAGCGGAAGGGCAAGGTCATCACCTTGTTCGACGTCAAAGTACAGCTGGAGTATGAAGGTTCGTAAATGACAACAAGAGTGCTTTCTTTCCGAGGCGCGACTAAGACCTTTTGACAGGTAAGACCAAGGACGAGGAGTCCGTTAGTGGTACCATCACCATTCCTGAGGTAGCCCATGATACCGAGGAAGATGAGTACGTCGTATGTTCCCTATCAGCCGCCCCCATTGCCGTCCTGAAGGGGGTTGACTGACCGTCTGGGCTACTCAGTTTGAAATCGAGAACTACTCCGATTCCCCCTCCAAGCAGGCCGTGAAGGACCTTGTTCGCTCCAAGCTCGTCCCCCAGCTCCGTAAGGAACTCGCCACGCTTGCTCCGGCTCTGATCACCGAGCACGGCAAGGACCTCCAGCATGCCCCTGGTGTCAACCCTTCCAGCGGCTTCGCTGCGCCCAAGTACCACCCCCAAAACAAGAAGGAGACCGCCGCCCCCGTCGCCACCACCACCACCACTAGCAATAAGGTCTCGGTCAACACCACCACCGTGACTGCCTCGGACGAGTTCCGCACCACCGCCGAGGAGTTGTACAACACTTTCACCGACCCTCAACGCATTGCCGCGTTCACCCGCGGTGCTCCCCGTCAGTTCGAGGGCGCCCACGTCGGCGGCAAGTTCGCCATCTTCGATGGCAATGTCAGCGGCGAGTACGTCAAGCTCGAGCCCACCGAAATCACACAGAAGTGGCGCCTGGCCCAATGGCCCGAGGGTCACTTCAGTACGCTCGACATCAAGCTCGACCAGAACGACGTCGACGGTGTGACCCAGATGCGCGTGACCTGGACCGGCGTCCCCGTCGGCCAGGAGGACGTGACCAAGCAGAACTGGGATGTGTACTACATCCGCAGTATCAAGCAGACTTTTGGGTATGTGCTATGAGATTTTCCCCTCCCTGTTTCCCTTCCTTACAAGGTCCTGTGTACACCAGGTCCTCCCCAGCGACCTCTCCTTCTGGAAAACAGCTACTGATCGCCTTGGTTGTCCTCTTGCTGGGTTTAGGTTTGGCACTATCCTCTGAGCACATGCATGAGTTTGTGAAGAATCTTTAAACTTCTCATCTGGGAACACTATAATTGGGTAGAGAGCGGATGATTTAAAGCCATAAACCTGTCCATATCAACGCGCGTCGTCAATTTTGTTTTTGTCGTGTTAGGGCGGACCGCTGGGTTGAGGCGTTTGGGGGGTTCCTGGGCATAAAGCAGGCATTATGCGCTGCGGCACCGTCATCATACCTTGATCATACCTTCCTTTCTTCCGGATATATACACACGTACCCTGTACCGTCGGCGGCGAAGGGGGGGTTGCGCGCACGTGTTCGACGAGTCCACGATAGACAGACAATGACTAGTACAGTACATCTTTCCCTGGCATTAGTTCCTTGTAGTAAGGTACCTAAGCTTGATATGCAGATACGATATCCTAATCCCCAATGCAAAATTTTATATGTTTGGATATATTTTATCACTACGTGTAGAAGGAGAAATATAAATTTGACTGCGTTGTATAGTATTGTTTTTCTCTACCCTAGCCTTTTGTTGCCTTATATAGTCGGCCATTTTCACGTCATTAATTGGATTCGTAACACACAAGCGAGAAACTCTGTTCGAGATGTTTACAGAGTCTTCTCGATCATCTCGATACCGTAGTCGTCCTTGAGGGCCTTGATGAGAGGGGTGCAAATATCCATGGTCATGGGAGCGATGACACCCTATCAAATACCGATTAGCCTCCACTCAGCTTCAAAATACTATACTCTGCATCAAGTGCAGAAGGGGGAGGGAAAGGAAACAGACCTTCTGGTTAATAGTGCCGTCGAGCACCAACTTGACAGCGACACCGCAGGGGACGCCGACCGTCTTGGCCATGGCGGAGTAACCGCCGGGGACGCCGTACTCGCACAGGGTGCTAGTGCGGGTCTCCTTGCTGCCGTCCTTGTGCTCGATCTCGAAGCGGTGCTGCAGCATGACGAGGTCGCGCTCGTCCTCAGCGTACTGCATCTTCTGCTCGAGGGTGGCGCACAGCGTGTCGAGCGGGTTGCCGCGGGGACTGGTGGCCTCGTCGGAGAACAGACCGATCCAGCGCAGACCGGAGATGATGCGGTTGCGCTCGTCGTTGTTGGCGAACTGCGTCTTGCTGGCGATCGCCCACTCCAGATCCTTTTCGGCGGATGAGGTGGCGCCCAGGATCTTCTGCGTGGCCTCCTTCCAGCTGATCTTCGCGCCGGGGGCCAGGTATTCCTGCGGCGTGTCGTCCAGGAACCCGATGTCGACCAGCACCTTGATCATCTCCGGGAACCCCTGGTACCGCAGGGTGCCCCGGATCACCGTCTGCGCTTCAGGGATGCTGTACCGCTCGCGGTACGGCGTCGAGTCGCGGTTCGGGTACGCTACGAAGGCAAAGCCCGGGTAGATGAAGTACGGCTTCGCGGTTGCCATGAGGTCTGGCCCCGCGACGCTGAATTCCTCCCCGTCCCGGTAGAATTTGGCCGCGTTGCGCAGGGCCAGGAGCACGCCCCGCGAGGACCAGGAGAATTTGTAGCCCAGCGGGTTGTTGGAGCACTCGGGGGCGGGCAGCCCGCCGCAGTAGCTTAGGAAGCTCGTGATCTTGCCGCCTTCGGCGTGCACTTCGGAGATGGTCTTCACGGCGTAGAGGTGGTCGATTCCCTTTCAACTTTGTCAATACTTGGTCGATGGAATGATGATGCCGATGGATGCTCTGGCAACGATGCTCTGGCAATATTGGAAGGGGAGGGATGGGGACACTGGGTCAGGGTAAGGGCCGGGCAAGGCAAACGTACAGGATCCAGACCGATCTCGTTCATGACGACGATGCCGGCCTCCTTGGCGGCCGCGTCCAACTCCATCATGGCCGGCGAGACGTACGAGGTCGTCACGACGTGCTTCTTGGTGCGGATGGCCGCCTTGATGACCTGCGCGTGGAAGGTGTAGGGGATCAGCGAGATGGCCAGGTCGACCTTCGCCAGCGCCTGGTCCAGCGCCGCATCGTCGTTGACGTCCAGCGAGATCGCCGTCGTGTTCGGGAACCCTTCGCTGAGTTTCTGGGCCGATTCGAGCGTGCGGCAGGCTTGGAGGGGTTAGTTCTGGGGTCTTTGGGTTTGGGAGGGGGGTGCATGGGGGGATGGCTTACCGACGGTGACGTGCACGTCGGCCTTGCTGAGGACCTCGACGGTGGGCTTGGTCACTATTCCCGGGTGTCAGTGTCAGTGTTCATGTCCGTGTCGATGGCAAGTACGTGAGTGAGTCACCCCGCATTGCGGAGAGGGTTAAAGCATACCGAAGCCGGAGCCCAGCAGGAGAACCTTGGAGCCTGCGATAGCCATTGTGAGAGAATAGAGACGGTCAGTGGGAAGGGAGGAGATGATCAGGATGGAGAGAAAAGATAAAAAAGAAGGAGAAGAAAAGTCAAAGTAGGATCGCCTGGTCATTGACCTCAGGGTTACTACTGTAGCTGCCTTTCCCCCGCCGCCGGAAGTCACGTGCCACCCGGTATCGGAGCACGGCGCATCCACGCAATTCTATTTGCTGGTGCCACTGACTCAGGCAGATAAGACCCGCCCTATTTCTACACCGTATGAGTGATGATTTGCACCGAGTCAGTGGATCAGTGGATGGCTTGTACATGCTGCATGTGTACTGTATCTTTGGTGTATGTCTGGTCTGTCTGTCTGTCTGTCTGCATGCGTATATCCACGCCACGCCCATGATTCACTTTTCTACCTCTACTGCGCTATAAACGAGTACAAAACGAATGGGAATGAAACAAAGGGGAATATCAGTTCCAACAGCTGCTGCTGCGTCAAAGAAAAGCAACTCCAAACTCCTGAGGGTGTTTTTGATGATATATGTGCAAACCGCAAATTCGACTACAAGCCCTTGACCTTGCCATTGCTCTCTTCGGTGGGCTCATAACTCTCCCCGTCGAAGTCGCCTTCCGCGTCCGGGTTCTTCTTCGCCTTGGAGATCCGACGCTGCCAGCCCAGTAACACCGGCAGGAAATGCCACAGGTCGAAATCCGGCCACAGGACGTCGAGGAAGACGATCTCCGTCTCCTCGTCGCATTGCCAGAGCATGAAGTCGCTGAGCCGCTCCACGCCCGACGTGCGGACCAGGAGATCCAAGGGAGGATTGTCGCCCGTGAACATGTGCTCGGTTAGCGTCTGCCGGGTGATCGTCTCGGGGGACATGTACACGGCTTTCTCCTTCCGCGGCGAGTCCTCCCTGCCGTTGGCTGCGTCCGTTTGCCCGCCTAAATGCAGGGTGGAGGAGGACGAGAATGAAGAACCGGACTCGTAGACCTGGTTCGGGAGGTTATTTGGGGGGGCGCCGTCCTCGTGGGACGATTCCGACGCTGTCTCGACGTCACTGGGCAGATCGTCCGCTTTCATGGGCTGCGCGCGGGCTCGGATAGTCTGCGTGATGTGTGTCTCGGAGAAGGGCGTACGCTGGCTGGCGTTCGATGGGCGATTCGCCGGCAGCGGCTGGCTGTATTCCGATACAGTATCCCGGATGGCGCCCGTGATCTCGTCGCGCGAGGTGTACGGAAAGCAGATGTTGAGGATGCGCTCGCCGTTCCCGCTCGTCATGTCGACCGCCCGGTTGACGGCAGCCAGAACATCGGGCTTCAGCATGTCCAGTCGGCCCAATACTCGCACTTTGGCGCCATACCGATCCAATATCTCTCCGTGCTGGGCCATCTGGGACAGCTTGACCCGCGCCATCTCCATCAAGGCGTCCACCTCGAACTTCGACCGCTTGAAATTCTCGATACTGAAGGCATAAATCGTAACTACCTTAACTCCGCTCTTGTAGCACACTTCGAGGATCTAGGAGAAACCGAAAAAAAGTCAGCGAGAGATCAATAGCATGGATGAAGAACGGGACGACTCCGGAGCAAACGACTCACTCTTGCCAGGGCCTCGAAACCCATATTGTGCCCCTCCACGGTCTCGATGCCATGTGACCGCGCAAATCTCCGGTTCCCGTCCATGACGAACGCGATATGCTGTGGAACTGGACCCTGCTTGATCGCCCCAACCAACAACTCCCGGAGCTGCGCAATGACAAACTCCATTGGCGGAGAGGCCAGCAGCCATTTCCTGAACCGCGACAGGTGTATCGAGGTCGACATGGTCGTCTCTATTTCTGGCAGCACAAAGACTGGTACGACGGAAGGAAGAGGGCCTCGGGATTTCGAGTTCGCGACACGGACGGAGAAAGGGGATGGCCGAATCGGTACTTGCGGCGTGTGGTCAGATTTCCCACAATTGACGTACGGTACACGGAGAATCAAGTTCGGAATCAACGGGAGAGAGACTGGAGAAACTGCCAGTCCGCAATAGAGTTCAAAAATGAGGTAGAAGAAAGTGTCACGATGTGGTCCTGACCGATAGGACCGTGCCCGGCAGGCTACACACTGTTTCTGTTTAAAGTGGGAAATTTCTGGTGGCAAAGCAGGCGGTCATCAGGCCACACAACACACTCAATTGAGAAATAATGATGGAAGTCAATCTCGGAATCAAACCAGGGAGGAGGAATCTGGGGGGGGTGGGAACCAAGCAATTGGAATAAGGCTGACCGACCGACCGACCGAGGCGAAGATAAATGACCAGCCTGGAGCCAAGGGGAGAAACACCGAAGGGGAAACCGGAAACGTAACCTGTAGGTAGGCGTGTGTGGGTCGGCAACATACTGGAGGATCCGACGGCTTTCTCCACGTGTAAATCACCATCACCCTTCTTTCCGCTGTCCACTTTCCATCTGCCTGTTCGCCCCCCCCCCCCCCCCCCCCCCCCCCCCCCCCCCCCCCAAGCCACAAAAAAAAAAAAAAAAAAAAAAAAAAAAAAAAAAAAAAAAAAAAAAAAAAAAAAAAGTGAAAAAAAAAAAAAAAAAGAAAAAAAAAAAAAAAAAAGGTCAGCTTAAGACTTCAGTAGCTCTCCCACCCAGGTTGTGTGCCACTAAGTTGGGACTGATGTGGGTGGCTGCTTTTTCGAAGCTTCATCAGAGACACTTCCGGTAGATGGAATGCCTTTCTGAAACCCTTTTAGTATAGTGCATGTATCGTAGCATGTTTAGTTTTAGTGTCTAGGATGTAGTATGTAGTATGCAGTCTGCAGTCTGCAGTCCCGGTAAGAAGGGAAGAAGTTCTAGAGGATCACCAGACAGATACTAACTATAGCATCGAACATTCTCTGCAGGATTAACTAGATTGCTAGGTGCAGCTCAGAGGCAACCTTGGCCAGGTTAGGGATATAGTATATCAATGCAGTGAGTAGGACAAGGCAACTGTAGAAAGCACACTATTTATACAATCTGGAAAGAGTTAATATTATTCATATGACTTGGGACACAGACAGACTCTGAGATTGGGAGTTTCCCCGCCTGACGGCCGCCCCGCGGACCCAGTATTATTAGTATTACATGAACAATTCCCACCGGTGCTTTCACTGCCCGCACTGCACTTCCACTCATCCTAATCATCAATCATCACTATTGATCGAAACTCTACTCAAGTTGACTCTCCAGGCCTTTGAAAAGCAGACAAGCTCAGGGACCTCCTGGTCATATTCACTGGTTCATCTAGGCTCACTGTTCACCTATCTTTATTGGTGGCTGTTTGATCCGGTCCGGTCCCTGTCCGCAGTTTATCCTATCCTATTCGATCGGACTTCTAGAACTCGGATCTGATATACACTACCACCAACCCACAGACTGTTGCATAACTGATCGGGGATCACCAACCACACACCCTAACTCATCTGTTCACCGATCTCAAACCCGCGACCTCAGGATCAACGGCCTGCCCCTGTGGCTTCCCGTCTGTCGGTTGTTTCAGCCTGGGTTGCCCTGGAGCTGGCTTCACATCCTCAGTCCTTTCTCTCAGTTGTTCCAGCTACGCAAGTTGCTACTGTCACTTGTCTGTACGTCCGAGCAACACCATAATCTGCAAGGTTAGCCCTGTACATCCAGCCTTAATACTAGGCAATTATGTCGATCAAGTATGTATATGACTTCCTCATTCTCCGCTTGCTCATAGTTCGCTGTCAACGTATGAGGGTTCGCTAGGCTTGACCCCAGCACCGGTCGCCTCTGCTTACCATCGATGCTACTGCATTTACTGTTGAATCCTGTGTTATGATGTTCTTAGTCTGACCTGTGATTGCACAGCTGGGTGATGCTCCAGGACCAGGATGGCTTTGTCCGCCTGCCGCATGAGCAGCTGATCTATACATCTCCGCCTCGCACCAGCCTCGCACTACAGCCGCTGAGCTCATCCGGAGGCAAAAACTCATTTTCCATCCAAAGCAGTGCTGGTCGAATCTTCTTAACAAACCAGCGGGTATTGCCATCTCACTTACCCTGCAGGGGTTTGGTCTGGGATTCTTGACTGACATAGGTTGGCAGGTTGTCTATATCCCGACACAGAAATCGCAGACCTTCCAGTCGTTCTCTGCGCCGCTGCTAAATGTTCACGATACCCACGTCACTGCGCCGTTCTTTGGGCCAAATGCCTGGATCGCCCTGGTCCAGCCCGTATCGGGAGGCGGCATCCCTCCATCCTTGCCTGCTGTACAGGCCAAAGTGACTTTCAAAGAAGGAGGCGCATTCGACTTCCATAACCATTTCGAGCGAATCAAGGAGCGTCTACAGCAGGCGGTCGAAACCTCGCAAGCAAGCAGTCGCGGAGCCCGGAACGTTGACCTCTCCACGATTCATTTGGACGAGCTGCCTGCCTATTCTGGCCCCTCAAGCAGCGGTGCTGGGGAAGGTCAAGTTAGCCAGGACCAGTGCATGAGTCCACAGAGTCAGCCTCATGCAGCAGAGGCGGATTCCAGCCTAGTGGAGCCACCGCCAGACTATGAGACGGTTCAGCAGCAAAGCGTGGCGGATGAATTGGAGGCAAGACTGCGCCGTGCCAGTTGATGAAGGCTTATAGCTGTGCATACGAGAACAGAGGAGAGAAAAAGAAACAATCAATTCCAGATGGCTTGTATACTAGGTATCTTCTGGTTTTATGAGTTATGGTAGTTCCATTCTGTAGTTCAGCGATTAGTCATCTCCCTTCCGACGCGGATGGGCCAATCATGGGTGCGATAATTGGCCTTTCGCCGGCGGCCGGGGCGTTCCGATTTTCCCAGACGGCAAAGGAAGTGCCAAAGCTCAAAACCGCCAACCTCATCCAAACTCGCTCGTTGCTGCCCACCGCACCACCACCACTACCACCCCCACACCCTCGCCCACCCTAGGCTCTCCCCGGTAGTCATCAATTGACCAGTTTCCTCCCCCCGCACACGAACACAATGGGTCTCGCCGACTTCTTCTCCGACGTCATCTCCTCCTTCGGCTTCCCCGAGGCTCAGGCTGAGGCTCCCGCCGAGTCCGTCGAGCAGACCAGCAGCCAGGAGGCTGAGTCTTCCGAGGAGAAGCCCGCCGAGGAGGCTGCCGCTTCCAGCGAAGAGTCCACCGAGGAGTCCGCTGAGGAGACCCCCGCTGAGGAGTCTTCCGAGGAGGAGGAGCCCCAGGAGGAGGAAGAGGAAGAGGAAGAAGAGGAGGAAGAGGAGGAGGAGCCCGAGGACATCAAGCCCAAGCTCGAGGAGGGTGAGTGAAGTTATCCCTGGATCGACTTGATTACTGCATTTTGTCTGCGTTGAGGCTCGATGTTGGATCGAATCTGGAATTCCGCCGCGGCAATGGCTTGTCCTTGACATATCAGACAACCCCCCAATTTCTGCCATCCACCAGTCTTCCTGACGGGAATTGGCCAACCCAATACCCGCTGATTCAGCGTCATTGGCGCTGCATCAACCTCGCGAAACTCAATGCTTGTCCCAGTCTCAATTGGACAGGTTTGCTGACCTTTATGCCTCCAAACTACAGAGTGCGCCAACTCCGCCCAGTGCGCCCCCTACAAGCACCACTTCGATGAGTGCATCGAGCGCGTAACCAAGCAGGAGGAGGATGAGGACTACAAGGGTCCCAAGGAGGACTGCGTTGAGGAGTGTAAGTCCATCTGTCTTTCCAGGATCCCATTCAATGCGTGTGACTAATCATCTTTTTCTCTCTTTCACCCAACAGTCTTCCACCTCACGCACTGCGCCACTCAGTGCGCCGCCCCCAAGCTCTGGAAGCAGCTCGCCTAAACGGGCTACGACTTGCGAAACGATTACCTCCTCTTTCCCCTCCGCCGCGCGATGTGTCTTTTCGAAAATTGTCATGACCACCGCTAAGCTCAGTCTCGATTGTATAACAACGACGGAATGAAACCCTCGCGCGGGGCGAAATAGGGGAGACCGATCGCGTACTCAAGAAAGACAACCGTTTCCGTTTCAGGTCTAGAGTGTTGTATGATGGCTTTGATTTTTGTTGTTCCAGGGTGAAAAAAATGTGTCTGTCAACACTTGCCGCTGAAACGACAGGTTTTGGAGATATTTTATTGTTTTTTCACCTGCTACATGGATAGATGAACACGAATAGAAGGGGGAGAACCTACCTCTTTTCCTGTTCTTTTTCGTCTTATTGTGAGCTGGGGAGGAGGGAAACAGGGATTCTGGATCAAGAATCCCTTGCTGTGTATGTACAGATAGCTGGTCTCTGCCTGTTTGAACTGTGCTTTTATTATTTACTTTGGTCTCCTTTGTTTTTAGATGAATGTGAATTGTTCTTTCTGGATCGGGTTGGTGTAGTTTGATGCCCTGGCGGGCAAGACGTGTCTGGTGTCTGTTCAGCCTACCTATCTCTTTCCTGTGATGCCCATCCACCTCCGCCGACGTGGCGCCTGTCTCTTCTCCGCTCATCGCCGCGGTCAGTACCACTGACAAGTCTCAGCAGCCCGAAGCCTTGTCTCTATTCACCACAGTACACCTTCAAATCATCCAAGACAGCATCCATCCAGTCGCAATCGAATATCAGCTCTGCCCACGCCGGACGAATAGCGGGCGCTTCTGCTCCGTGCACGCCCACCAAGACAGAGGGGAGCTTGGCAAAGCCATGGCCGACTGAGCCGGGGCCGGGGGGCTCATGGAGAACCTGCTTTAGCGCTGCTAGGGTATTATTTTCTGGGTGCCTCTACTGGTGTATCTCTTGGAAGGTAGGTCATTAATCCCGGGGCATGGAAATACATAGCATAGCATTGCAGGCTCGCAGACTAAACTAGCACTATACACTGACGGGGATTTCCAGATCCCAGGGTTCGCAGTCAAAGTCGGGTATCAATCATATATTCATCATGGATCGTAGTCCACCTCTTCGCGGTCCATCTGCAGACTCCAAGCTTCAAATTCAAGGGGATCGTGATAGTCACCGGCAATCCCACCTCGTTCCGGTCAATCTGCTAACTCGAGGCTTCAGATTCGAGTAAACATGGCGACAGATTGGGTCATGGACAGGCTCTGTGCCAGCAATGCGAGCACGGCACACACATACGCACGTACACAACCCCTACTACAACCGCTTACTCCGCCAAATCACTGTCTCGAGGAGACCGACCACTTGAATCGGGACTTTCCTTTCTCGCCCGCACTGCCGGCTGTATCCCCGCGACGGATCGCGTCCGCGTCGTTGCCAATGGTCTCATCATCGTCCCCGACGACCTCCCCCAGATCCACCCCGCGATCCACATCCAGCCGCCTGCGGCGCACGTCCCGGCCAAACAACCCGATGCACAGCGGCAGCGGGGCCGCCACGGCCGCCACGACGGCGGAGAAGATGAGCGCGTTCCGCATGTTCTCCGGCGGGGTGGCGTGCTTCCCGGCCTTGAGGGAGTCCTGCACGAGGATGAACACGGCGCCCAGCAGCTGCCCGCCCGTCCAGCAGAGGGTGCTTCCGACCTCCGGGGAGAACGGGTAGGTGATCTCGACGAGGAATTCGAGCACGACGGGCAGCAGGCCGAACGAGGAGGCGCCCAGCAGGGCGCACACGGCGTACGTGGGGCCGATGCCCGCGCTGCTAGCCGGGGCGAAGATTAGCCCGATGTACGAGGCGGCGACGATGGGGACCAGGATACGGATCGTGGCGAGGTAGTGCTTGTACCGGTCGGTGATCGGGGAGATGAGTGCCGAGACCAGCAGGCCCACGACGATGAGGATGCCCCCCGCGATCCCGGCTTCGGTCTCGCTGGCCCCGTAGGGGCTGAGGATCTGGTTCAGGAGCGAGGAGACGCTGTTGAAGAAGCCTACGTAGATGGAGAAGGGGATCAGGATGAGGTAGAATTCGAGGGTGCGCAGGAGCTGCGTGACGGTTGGGAGGAGTGGGGTTGGCTCGCTTGTGTTGGTGTTCTGGTGGCCGGCGGAGGAGGCGCTGGGCGGGGTCGGTGGTGCAGAGGGGAGGATGAAGGATGGGAGTGCGGCGATGGTTGCCTGTTGTTTGTGGGGTGAGTGTTGGTCACGAGGAGGTTGGATAGAGAGTGAGGCTCACGATGATCGAGATGTACAGCACCATGTTGGGGACGTCGTCCGGCTCGGTGGCCCAGAACGAGTCGATGAGTTGACCCAGCGCTGCACCGAGGGGGTTGGCGAGCGTTGCCACGGCCGTCGCGCTCGTGCGTCCTCGATCGGAGAACCAGAGGTCGCTGTACCGTGTCGGTGCACTGAGACAGAATGGCTGCGCCAGGCCGATCAGGATTTGGCCGAACATGGCCACCACAAACATCCCGCCGCGAGCTCGCGTGCCGGCATATCGGATCCAATTGCCGGCCAGCAGCAGAGAGGAGGTGATGATGATCGCGGGCTTGGGGCCGCCTTTGTTGAGGGTGAAGATGACGACGCTGAATGGGAGAGTCCTGAGTTAGGTGCGTGCTGTTTGATGCCAATGATGAACTATGAGCAGCGAACTCACGGGCTGGCGGCGCAAAAGGCAAAGAGATAGCCGGTGCTCATCCAGTTGATGGCGCTCTCGGAGACCTTGAAGTGCTCGGCAGCGGTGGTCGATATCGCGGAGAAGGTCAACCACTGTCGCGCGATGTTAGAGCGTGGTTTCTGTACAGTTCCGCTCTTGCAACTTACATCCCAACTGACGACAATGTTCAACAGTACCAGCTGGATCAGTCCCCAGAATCGTCGCTTGTAGACCTTGTAGACCGGTCCCGATGGAGGGAGCGCATCCCTCCCAGATTCCACATTCCTCGTGGCCATGATCTCGTGTGCACACAAGAACCGACTGGAATGAGGAGCGGCGAAATGAGGGGAAGGGAGAATCCGGGGGGGGGGAGGGGAAACCCAGCGAAGATAAATGGCTGATAGGCTCGCTCGTTGGCGCAGTGGTTGATTCCACGCAGTTACTTTATATTAAAATCGCATGCTCGGCTGCTTGTGATCATCCAGACCGATGAAGTTGATCAACCGGCTTTGGGGGTTTGGGCTGTTTCAATTGAGCCGAAAGTCAGGCTGATTGTGGTTACATTCTGGAGACGGATGTTACATCTTCTTCCCATCCCAATCTTGAGAGCGTAGTTCTGGGGATGCTCTCATGGATGCTATGATGGATGTGGTTGGGCTGGTAGCCTTGGATAGGTTAGGTTGAACCACGTTAGATAAGAAGTTGAGTTGAGAGTCTATTGCAACAGGTTCATTCCACAAATGGAGCAGGTGATGATGAGTTCGGGAAACCAGCGCACACGGCCTTGTTCTACTCTCGGTTCATACTCGATCGAGTACATCGAGTGTGATATGATATGTAACTTATCACAATCTGCGCACGATATTTCCCCCGAAATTCCCGAAAGGCTGAGTGAGTGAGTGAGTGAGTGAGTGAGTGAGTGACTGGGGGACCAGATCATCGGCCGGCCCGCTGCGTCATTCTCCCTCCGGTCTATCTTCATGGTTCATGTGGTTGAGAATTAAGGATGGCGGCAGTGGAGCTCAACCGACGAACCCGTTGTTTCAGGGGGAAATTCCGGGGCGGTTTAATAATAGAAATCAATCCATGTCAAGAGGAGTTCTTCATTGTCCGCCTGTCAAACTCCTGCCATGACAGCGGCTGGGAGGGAACCTGGGAGGGAACCTGGAAGTGAAGGGATTCCCCCAAACCCTCCAAGGGGCCCAAGGGAGACAAAGGAATGAGAGCTGTCGAGGCGGATGGCGTGAAGAAGAGCGATCGCTCGCATCGCATCGCATCGCATCGCATCGGAGCCATCCATCTCTGCACCTGCACCTTCCTGACTGATCACAGCGTAGGTAGTTTAAATAACTGAGATGCAGTCCCGCTGAGGGATGATCCGTTTAGTTCTTTTCTTCTACTGTACTTGATATGCTCCGGTCGGCTGGTGCTGATCTTTCAGTATTCTTCTTTTTACTCCGTCCCTTTCTCTCTCGCTCTCTCTCTCTCTCTCTCTCTCTCTCCTTCTCCCTCTCCTCGCCCTCCATCTCCCTTCCTTGTACCAATTTAATTCGGTCGTATTGAGCGTTGGTCTCTCCCTTACCTTGATAGTATCAATTATCTATTTTCCCTTCATTCTGTCAATTTCCAAAGCGCACCCCTCCCTCCCTTCTCTGCCTTTGGGGGACGGTGTCCACGGCTGCCACTGCGGAGGATGGGCCTTGCCTGTTGATCCGCGAAGTCTCCAATTTAAACCCCCCGACCTGCTCCGCAAGTCCCTCTCCCCAACCTTCTTCGACACTCGCAACATATTATCACCATGAACGGCCTCGATGTCAGGTCTAGCCTGTCGTCGTACGGCGACCCCAGGCACTCAGCCTCCTACGGCGCTTCGCAACCGCCCCCAACCGGACTGCTGATGAACGGCTACCGCGATGCGTCCGGACCCCAGCAGCCACTGGGCAAGTCGCAAGTCAACCCGGTTCGTGAGACCCCTAACTTCTAAGACCCGAACCTAATCGCATACTTATTCTCCATTGTCTCCCTGCAGCTGAACACGAACCTGCCCCGGAACTCGGCCGTCCTTCACACTCATGACCCCGTCGCTATGTACCTGCTCACGGAGACCGCCATGAGCGACAGCACCCACTACGAGATCCTGTCGCTGGAGGAAGTGGAGGGACTGAAGAAGGAGCAGAAGTTCGTCAACAGCCGCCTGAACGCCGCGAAACGCAAACTGGCCCTGGAGACGAAATTGCGCGACGCCGCCATGTCGCTGAGCCGGCTGTACACGCCCAAGAGCCCCTCCTTCAACGGCCGGGAGGACCCCGAAGCCTCCTCTCCGCGGTCCCAACGAAGCCTGCTCGGACACAATGAGACCACCATGGACAAGACGGACGAAGAGCTGGCGCTGAGCACCCGCAAGTGCGAAGAGCTTTCGCAGGAGATCTGGGACCTGGAGCGCCGGCTGCAGCAGGTCAATAGCAGGCTGCTGGAGCACACGGCTGGGATCCTGCAGATGACGCATAAGGGCTTGAAGAAGAATCTCAAGAATAATGTGCCCCACACCCCGGAGAGTCTGTCTAGCCATCACACCCGGGATAGTATCGATGGGTTTGATGATCGGAGTTTCTACAAACCGTCGGGACATCTGGAAGAGCACACCGGACAGGGGCTGCATGGACTTGGGTTGGAGGCTGTTCAGGATACGGAGAAACGGTTGGAGCATCTGAGTGGGAGGGTGTATGACTTGATCCTACAGTCTAATCCGGCTGGAGAGCTCGAGCCAGTCCCGCAGCCACCCCCTGGGGCTACTCCAACTGCAGCGATGGAAGCGTACGTAGCTTATATCGAGAATGCCCTGGAAAGTCTTGGTGCGCACCCCGCAGGCAGCCAGTCTCAGACACGGTCTCTGGACGATGAGTCCGGGCAGCAGCTCGGCGAGCTCAACGCGCGACTCCATCAGATTGTCCAGCAAGCGGGCATGCCGGGCGCCCAGACTCTTCCTCCGCCACCCGACTCTTCCAGCGCAGACCAGACGGAGCAATTCTCTTACCTCCATGCTGGCCTCAATGGGCTGGAAGACCGACTGGAGAAGCTCTTCGAGCAAAAGAGCATCTTGACCACCCAGATCCAACAGCAGCGCGAATTGAACTCCAAGTCCGACGCGGAGAGAGACGCACACATCGCGGACCTGATGCAACAACTGGCGCATGTCCGGAAAGACCTCGAATTCTCCGAGAACGAGGGCCAACGGACGAGAGACGATCTGGAAGACGCGATGAAACAAGTAGCGACTCTGCAAAAAGAGCTGGCAGACCATCAAGAACAGCACGTCATGGAGGATACCTCGAAGGCTCTGACCACGGAGCAGGAAGCTCGTGCGCGCGCCGAAGCCGAGGTTGAACGCCTGGAAAAGGTCCTGGAAGATCTCAAGAAGGAGCAGGATGCTCAGGCTCAGGCTCATGAGGCCCGTGCGCACGCCGAGAGCGAGGTCGCTCGTCTGGAAGCCCACATCGGAGAAATCCAATCCCACCACGATGCTCGCCTTGAAGAGCTCACCACTGCACGTTCCGCGGCGGAGAGTGAAACGACACGGTTGCAGGCGGCCATTGACCAGCATCAGAGTGAGGCTACCCAGTTGCAGGCGGCGCTTGAGCAGCACCAGAATGAAGCCACTCGGTTACAAGCAGTGCTCGATCAACATGGGGAGGAAGCCGATTCCAAGAGCAGAGCGCTTACAGAAGCCCATCAGGAACAGCTCCAATCACAGGCTGACGCTCACACGGAAGAGTTGACTGCCTTGCGCTCAAAGACCGACGGCGAAATCACGCGTCTTCAAGAAATTATTGTTGAACTTCAGAGTACGGCAAACAATCAAGCGGAGGCCACGGAAGCCCGTCAGCACGCCGAGCAACAGGTTTTGGAGTTACAAACTACGCTCCAGCAGACCCGCAGTGAGGCAGATGTTCAAGTCAAAGAGGCTGTCGACGCCCGAGCACAAGCCGAGAGTGAGGTTGCTCGGCTGGAAGAATCCCTGGGTCAATTCCGCGTCAGTGTGGAATCTCAGCTGAAAGCGGCCACGGATGCACGCATCAACGCCGAAAACGAGGTTGCACGGCTAGAGACCGTTCTAAGTCAGCTCCGCGCCGACGTCGAGGCTCTGGAGGCTCGCGTCACGGAAGTGACCGTGGCGCGCGCTGAAGCAGAGAATAACTCGTCACGTCTGCAGGCTGAACTGAGAGAGATGGAGGGCGAAGTCGTCCGGGCCCAGACCGAGCTGACAATGGCCAAGGCGGAGCTGGACGGTGCATATGGGTCGCGAGCCCAGCGAGCGGCCGACATCGCCGCGAATCCTGCCATCCAGAAGGAGTTTGACGAGCTGAACACGCGCAATCTGGAGCTGGCCGAAGAGCTTGCAGCCCTCAAGGCGGGCAAGCCGGGTGGTGATCTTCAGCACCGGGTGGACTTGCTGGAGAGAGAGCTCCGAGATACAGTAGATGATTACGAAGTAATGACCAAGGCCAGCATCGAGTTCGAAAAAGAACGCGAGCAATTCGAGGGAGTCATCGATACCCTGCGCGACCGTTGTGAACAACTGGAGACGCAGCTCAATGAGGAACGAATCAACTGGATGGGCAGCGGACGCGATGGCCATGAGACCACTTCTACCATGGTGCTCAAGAATGAGTTCAAGAAGATGATGCGAGACACGCGGTCCGAGAACCTGAAGATACGCAAGGTAATTTACTGGGAAAATCTTCTCCTTCAATGTGCCTCTAGCAGCTGACAACATCACACATAGGCGGAACACGACGAACGCCGTCGGCTGGAGGCTCAAATCCGAAATCTGAACAAGGATCTTGCGAACTTGACTGGCAAGCCGCCCTTGGGTCAGCCTGTCGTCACAGCCTGATGATCACGAGACTTCTCTATGTTTCTTTTTCTCTTTGCTTCATGTTCGATCGATCGCTTTCAGCGGGTTCATCGGGCTTGTTGTTCATATTCCTTTCCCCGTACATAATTTAGGCCCCCCTTCTAATCTCTGCCTGTATATCCAACCCGATCTTGATGTACTGTACTAATTTCCGGCCATTTCTCGGTACTTGATTTGTCTGTGTACATAGATTAGAGTCTATCAGCGAGCCTTGCATACATAAGCATACATGAGTTGATTGTGATACTGTGATGGTCAGCCTTTCCTCTATTCATTTATTCTGCTCCTGTCGCGCCTTCCTCTTATGAACGGGAAGGTGCAATAGCCCAGATCAAGTTTGGATCTCTTCCAGCTTCGATCAACTTCTCAGCGTCATGCTCTCGTTCTTTTATCGGACCTAATCAGACGAATGCCTCCCTTACTTTCTTTGCAGTATGGTTCCCCAGGATCAAGAGCAGGGGCCTCCCAATGATTTGCCTGGCAACGACGAGGTCTTCTCTTCCGGACGAGGAGCTGCTGTTAGAATGGCGCGCTACTCCCATCTGGAATTCGCGGACTCTATTCCTAGTGAGGAGAGTTACATTTTCGACGCCATCAGGGCTTACTCCAGCTCGGATGAGGTGTCGCAACGACAGGGCTCAGCTAGACAAATACATCGAGATCTAGATAGCAGGCTAGTAGCCCACACAGCGACCTTCCCTCCTCCAACGGCGCAGGAGACGGGGCGTCCACGTCAACCGCAACAACCGCAACAACAAGCATGCCGACAACCTCGATATCTCAGGGGAAAGGAAGCTTCGTCTCCGGGCTGGCATCCTTACACTGCCAACAACAGTCGCGTTGTGTCCGTCAACGAAGGCCGAGCCATAGTCGCAGCGCCCCTGGACGAGTCGCTGAGACCGAACCTCTTCGACGTCCTGCACCTTCCCAAACCCACCACCAGCCTCAATGAAACGGACGAGGCTTCCAAGTCATCCTACTGGCTTGAGCAGGACTGTCCCGCCAATCCTGTATATCCTGCGTTTCCACCGCCCCTAAGGTCCCCCACTCCGCCTGGCCTCCCGACTTTCGGCACCCCCGAAGCTGTGAACTACTCTTCTCAGTTCCAGGTTCGCTCGGCCACAGGGGGTGATTATCAGAATCCGCAGGCAGCGAGTGGCTCGTCGAGTAGGTTCTATGGTGGTGGTGCCTCTGGGCGCACGAGAACGGCGTCGTATGGCGACAAGATCCGAAGGATGTTCAGCTTCACCTCTTCCACTCCTCCGCAGCCGCAACGGCAAGTACCGACTGTGGCACGAGCGGAGGACGGCACGGCGGTGCAGGGCCGTTTCCCTTACCGGCAGAGCGGGCATGGTGTCGGTGTAGTCAGGCGAATGGAGGATCATACTTTCCACCAGAGGGCGCTTTCGCCTGCTATGGAAGAGAACACCCACGACCTCAGTAGCCCCACTCAAGACAGGAAACCTAAGAGAGAGCAGAGCAATAGTCCCCAGCGAGAAGTTCCCTGGCGCATGACCCCGGCATATGTAGGCCCAGTTGCAAGTCATCACTCGGCCCGCGGTCGCTTCTCTTCAGTGTCTCGCCCGCCTGCCCATGACAGCCTGCAAAGGCCTGGCTCGGCGAATACCGGCTATACAACGAGCAGGGTGGAATCGTTCTATACATGCGCATCTCAATTACTCAAGCCTGCGCCGTCGAGACAGCATATGAGCACTGTGGATGATCAGGCGTGCGAGATAGCGCCACAAGAGCCGGTTGCATGCTCGCTTTTCCCTACAGAATCACCCACAACGTCCGCCCCACCAGATCACTGCGCTCTAGCCTACAATCCGTCTGGCTCGTGGCTGAAGCTGCTATCAACAGGTAATTTCTGTCTCTCCTGTTGCTTGGGCGTCGGACATGATCCAGAATCTGCCGTCTACTCCAATACATCTTCGCGTGAGACATATGAGACTGCCCGGAGCCATACTTCGAATGAAATTGCCGTGGAGCCAAATCGAGAGGACGAGGCAGCTGAAGCACCAAATCCACCGCCGCGTCCAAGACAATGGTTCTCGGAAGCATGGAAGTCCGTTCACGAATATGCCTTGCGGAATGTCGGTACCATCGGCCGGCTTCTGGATTGATATCCGTCGATTGGATGCTACGGGAGGAGGATGCTCAAACGCAGTTGCTTTTTCAGGGATAAGTGCAGATATCCGTAGAGGAGGCTGCATATTATGTCCACCTTGCTAGTGGAAATTGACTCCGTGGTGTAGTTCAAATGGCTGTCCAGGCTAGTTTTAATGCGATGCAGTGTGTGCAGTATGTGAGACAACGTACATATTTCTAAAAAGGCGCAATACCAACCGCTATCATAACCTCATGTCATGTTGACAGGAAAGAACCATGGAAAAAATCACAAGACTAAAAAGGAAGAAGTAAGAAATATGTGTAATGCAAACCCATTGATCGAGGTTAACGTCATAAAATAAATGAGCCTCAGGTCAGAACTCCAACTCCAACTCCATCGCTCCAATAATGCCCCGCGAATGCTTTAAATAGATGATGGATGATTCAACACGAAAAGAAAAAAAATAAAATAAAAACGGACATAAGTGACCACGCTATGAGTGGAATACGTGCCGAACAATCAAGGAAGAGAAACCCCCCTCCGACCGTTCTCAGTCTGAAACACCCCCGAATTGAAGCGATAGCGAGAAGGGGAGAGTTGAATGACAAGAATAGAAGCTTGGCGCGTGAAAGATGAGACAGTAAGTACTAGATGTACTGTACTTGCCGAGTCAGAGCTAGACCAGACCAGACCAGACCTAGCTAGACCTAGACCCAGGCCCAGACCCAAGCCCGGATCCAAACCCAAGTGTACGATGTGTGTGTTGCGAAGACAGCCGCGGAATTTCTTTGTGTCTGGGAAAGCACCAAGTTGAGGTACGGTGTTCCTTCAAACCATCCCATGCCCACGCCCATGCCCATGCCCATGCCCCAACCAGACCCGCACCCACTGACAGAATCATGTCGACTGTCGACCCCTTCGCGAGACGAGAAGAAGGCTGAATCAGAGACACATGAAGAACCGGCACGCCTCGCGCAGCTCCTCGTCGTCGCCGACAAAGTCCCAGCCGACGATGCGCGGGTCCTGACTCGAGCAGATGATCTTGTGGGCGTCGAATTGGAGCTTGAAGACGCGCGAGGTGGGGACGGCGCTTGCGTCGCGCGGGTGGTGGCGCGGGCGGGGGTGGGGGTGGGGTTGTTGTTGTTGTTGTTGTTGTTGTTGTTGTTGTTGTTGTTGTTGTTGTTGTTGCTGTTGTTGTTGGTGTGCTGGTCCTAAAGGATGGGGAGGTTGGTGGAGGGCTGGGTTGATGATGCCGTTCATGTTCATGGGGGGCTGGGGCTGGGCCCGGCTGGCGGCGGGTGGGGTTGGGGTTGGGCCTGGTTGCGGTTGCTGCTGGGCTTGGCCGGCGAGGCGGGCTGTTATGGCTTGTAGGGTTTGGAGGGCTCCTCCTCCTCCTGCTGCTTGGGGTGCTGAGGCCGAGACTGTGGTGGGAAGGGGGGTTTGTTGGTTCTGTGCTGCTGCTGCGCCGGGGGTTTGGAGGTGTTGTTGCTGCTGGGCAAAAGCGTTCGATCGAGCGGTAGCAGCGCGGGCGGCCGGGTCGGAGACCACGTAGGCGGCGCTGGTAGCTGCGTCCTCCTGACGCAGGCGCTGGCCGACCACCCAGCGGCCTTCCTTGCATTTCTTCCAGATGATGATGGACTCGTCGTAGGAGCCGGAGACGATGCGAGCCCACCGGCTGCCGCCGCCGCCGGGGGGGATCTTCGCGCCCAGGGCCTTGATGTCCCGCGGGTCGCGGGAGCCGGTGGTGTTCTGCGTGTAGCCGGCGCGGCGGAGGGCGCGGGGTCCGAGGTCGACGCTGGCCCCCGAGCGCTGCGCGTCGCGGAATGCGTTGTCCACGGCGAGGGCTTCGAGGCGGAGAGTCTCCTCCGCGCCGGGCGGGTCGCCGAACCCGGCTTGGACGGTCCGGACCAGGTTGCCGTGGCCGTGGAGGCAGGCAACTTCGGCGCCGGAGGCGTGGTCGAAGATCCGGACGGTGTCGTCGTTGCTCCCGCTGATGATCCGGCGGTTGTCGACCTGCACGCAGGCGATGCCCTTCTCGTGGCCGATGACGGTCTTCTTGCAGGCGCCGTTGCGGAGGTTCCAGACCTTGATCAGTCGATCTCCCGAGGCGGAGACGATCTCGTCCTCGTTGAGCTGGATGGCATTCACGGCGGCAGTGTGTCCGTCTATGGTCATCAGGAGGGAGAAAGGGGCGAGACTCTTGATGTGGCCGTTGGCAAGTTCGGCTTCCAGCACCGGGGAGGGCATCTCCGCCGTATCGATTATGTAGGACGGATAGGTTACGCCGGTGCCGAAGAACATGCTAGGGTAGTCCTTGTCGGCTGGGGAGAGCTGGTGTCGGCTCCAGACCTTGATGAGCGTATCCTTGGAGCAGGTTACAATGTACCGCTCGTCAAAGCGAAGATTCAATACGGAGTCGTCATGGGCGGCTGTGATCTCATGGAGCTTTTCGCCGGTGGAGAATCGCCAGATGATGACGCTTTTATCGCTGCTGCCCGAGATGATGATATCCTCTGAAGGACGAGGGTCAAACTGTAGGCAGAGTACCGACTTTGTATGGCCCAGCAGCGGTGGGTGCCACAGGCGCTTCGTATCTAGATCCCAGACTCTTAGGGTTTTATCCCGACTACCACTGACCAACCATTTGCCGGTGAATTGGATCGCGTAGACGCACTCTTGGTGGGCCTCTTCCATGTGTGCCGGATGTGGCAGTTGGAAGTTTGTGAAACGGCCTTTAGCCCAGTTCTCCTCCAATTTTCTTCGTAGCATGTAGAGGTGAAGCCAGTTGACTTTGGCCGTGCCATTGGGCATCCGAATAAGAAGCGATGAGTTCGGACGGCGCGTATCTGCCGACAATCCATTTCCACCGAGTTTGAGCTGAGTCGATCCGAAGTGAGACTCGCGCCGTCGGCTTGGGCTTGTCGTTTGCTCTTCCGGAGAGAACAATGTGCTCCTCTCGGTGGATACATCCCCCATGGGAAGGTCGCCTTCATTATCTGCCTCCTCCTCCGCCGCATGCCTTTGCCCGTTTTCCGGCCTCGTTTTCCGACCGAGCGATCCGGTTGTCCGTGAGTTCAACCAGCTGGGTGGTACTCGCTTCTTCTGCTTCGGCTCCCCACTATCCGGGTCGGTATGCCTCGAGCGGGATTTCCGTAACTGTGGAGATGGAAGTCCCGAGTGTTCCTGCTCAAACGTGCGAACAGCGTCCATATCCACCTTCCAGCCTTCGTTGATGTAGAGGTCTTTCCACAGGCGCGAGTCTGAAATGCGATTGCGCCAGGCACGGGAGGCCAGGGAAGCCATCAACAGCGTTTGTGGGTCGAGGTAGGAAAAGATCTCGGAGGTGATCTCGGGCGGGAGTTTCAACACCGGATCCATGTGCAGGCGCGGCGCCAGGCGCTCGATCACGGAGGCCACGGTGGATGCGCGCATGGTGCGAAGAAGGTTAAAGGCCAGCTCTGCATTATGATATTATGGCTGATTAGTATGGGAAGGTGATCGCCACGGCCCCAGTACGGTGGTTAGACATCCTGCGGGTCGGGGAACGGGGAAGAGACCGTTGCTAAACTTACCAGCTCTTTCGGTCTCGCTGTGCGTGAGAACCCACTCTTGGAGCGTCATCCACTCATCCGAGGCGGGAATCGCCAGGTCCTTCTTCTCGACTTGAGTTTTCGTCTCATCGGAGTAACCCTCGTCGAGCTTGAAGGGCGTCGACAGCGAGGGGGTGTCGGCGGCGGCGAAGTCGGAGGTGTGGTTGACGGCAGGCTGGAGCGGAGGAAGATGAGGGCTAGAAGCGGACCCCGAGGACTTGCGAGCCATGAGGACACACTACCTTGCAGGGATTCCTCGCAGTGTCTGATTGTCCCGTTTCGGTTGCAGCAGAGAGAGAAAATTCTGCATCCGACTTTGTTTCAAGTAAATCGATAGGCTGGACACCAGCTGGTAGTTGCGAAAGGAGCTAAATCGGGTATTGCAAACACCACATGGAAAGGGATGGAGGGGGGCCGGGAAGAGAGAGTGAAGGTGTGAAAAGAGAACCCCCTGAGTTCGGAAGTAGTTCGGGGAGGAGAGAAGGGGTTTAGTGGATAGGTTCGAAGATGATGGTGTATTTCGAAGTTGTTGAAGTGATGTAAGTACTGTAGTAGTAAAGGATGAGAGGAGAGGAAGAGAGAGACTGAGACTGAGACTGAGACTAAGCCGGTAGAGTCAGGCAGTAACTGGAAAGTGACCTCGTCACGTCAGATTGACTCGATTGGGTTACGGTGCGGGTTGCCGAAGATCCACTCCGCGTTTACTGCACATTGGCTGGCTTGGAAGTACATCCTTCCTTCAATTTGAGTATAACGACAGTATAACTACAATGAACACTGTAGGTTGTACCTGTTTCATCTTACTGAGGCTAACCGTTACCCCTTTAGAGACTGTAAGGAGAACGGACGGGATGCAAAACAAATAGCCCTGTAAGGAACACGGGATGTGAGATGGAAGCACATGAAGATCCATCACAGTCATCATTCATCATTCGTGTTGATTCAAATCAAATAACAATTGTAATCAGTTAGTAAGACAGAATAGAATGCCATTCACAACTGTCAGGTTTGGTATGTCTTGGGTGGTATCACCCTGATAGTTGGTCAGCGTCGAGCCATGCTCGAGTATGTGAAGATGATACATGATACCCTTGTTCAATCCCAAACTGTTGGTGTATGAGAGAAGGGTTTCTTCAAGCAGCAATCCATCCTTTGGCTTCATGCTTTTCAATCCGCCTGGTTGGAACGATCAGAAGATCCTTCTAGTCTATACCTAGAATAAAGGCGCGTAGGAAATGCAGGCGGATGATTCCCTGCGGAGATCATCCATCATCGACACATACAACGTTTACTTCTACACTTCATCTTTCTGTTATTCTTTCTTTCTTTCTTTCTACCCTTCCCTCCTTCAAGTATTTTGCCCCCTCCTCCCTCCCTCTTTTTCTCTGTGTCAATCTTCTGTCAATCTCTCACACACCTCTATTCTCCCGGTCTTTTCCTCCCCCTTTCTTCTACAATCTCCAGCTATCGATCAATCGACTTGATCTCCTGACGCGCGCAGGGACTGTCCGTCCCTACTACCACTGCAGGTAATTGACTGGCCTGGAATTTTCACCTTCTTCCGCTCACTTGCCCACTACAATCCATCCGTGTCTTTGCCTCTCCTTTTGCCTCTCTTCCATCTCATACTCTCTCTCTCTCTCTCTCTCTCTCTCTCTCTCTCGAGTCTCTACCTCCACACCTAAACCTATCAGTCTCCCTCCTTTTTTCATTCTTCCGCCGCGGGATTCTTTTCCATCCTCTCCCCCCTTCTTCCTCTTTCTCATCTCTAACCCTCTCTCCCTCTCTAGCTTGTTACTCTTCTGTTTCTTTCCCTTCCTTTCTTTAGATTGAATTTGTCATTGACCTCGTGCATTGGATTTGTGTTTCTTTGCCTCCCGCCGCGGCTGTAACACTGATACCACTACTACTACTCGACCCCAACTTCAGCTCGCTTGGTTGAGGGGCAAACCGACTGACTGATCCATTCCGCCTTCCCTTCTCCGTCTCTTCTCCCCTCTCTCTCTTCTCGGCTTCCCAAAGTCCCCCGCCCCCCCCCATTGTAACCACAATCAGCAGCACAACTCTTGTCTCCCTCCCTCCCTTTCTTCCCACTCCCTCCCCCTCCAAAAGTCAACTTGCGCTTGCCTGGCTGCAGCGGCAAACCCCACACCCACCCTCTCTCTTTTTGAATTGTTCATCCAACAATATCATTTTCCCCTTTGGCTTACCTTCTTGGCCTTCGATCTTTACTAATCCGCATTTACTCGATCAAGAAGACAAAAAGAAAAAAGAAAAAGAAAAAGAAGAATTGAAAAAGGAGGGGCGCTTTCTTCAGCAAGGGCCGGAGATTTAAACCTGGCACCCTTCGCCGCGCTAAAGAAAGAAACCCCAAACTATTAAAAGACTACAAGGGGAGATTTTATTCTGTCGTGGTCGCCTCCCCGCGCGACTTTTTTTTCATAACCTCTTCACCTCTTCCAAAAGGTACTTATCTATCCTCGATCGGCTCCTCACGAGTCTCCGGCGAGACAGAGTCGAGACACGGAAGACCAGCTTGCGGATAAACTAACTGACTCACTTAGGGATAGTGAACCGTACCACTATCTCCACTCTTAAGTTTCCCTAGTTGCTCGCTTGTTCCCATTCATCCCGCATCGGTCCACCGGCTCGCCTTCATTGATCCATGCTCCTCTTGCTGTTCCCTGTGCAACCACGTCTGTCGCTCCCGTCCACGCCCGCCTGCCCTTAGTCTGCTGCGCAGATTCGACTTCCCCCTCAACCACCCCCCGAACCCGGTCCTAATCGGCCTCAATACGCGATGGCCGAGACCGTCATCTCAAATGGCGGTCCTATCGCCGAGGACAACATCATCAACCGCCGCGGCGGGGAATCCATATACCAGAGCTGCGTCAATCTCAAGAAGCGTTTAGCAGAGGTGCCCAACTTCGAACCTCATTTGCAAGAGATGGAGGAGGCGGACCTCGTGCAAGGCAACACCGATCCCGTGGCGTCGCTGTGGAATTGTTTGCGGAATGGATACCCCCTCTTGGCCATCTACAACGCTTCTGGCCCGGATGAGAATCTGGAGATTGATCCCGCCAAGGTGCCCGAGGCCAAACGACCCAAGGCCGCCACCTTCAAGTTCCTGCAAGCCTCGCTGCAGGAACTAGCGTTTCCGCAGCAGGATTGCTTCCTAATCACCGATTTGTATGGGGAAAATACCACCGGCTTTCTCAAAGTGATCAAGATGGTGAATCGTGTTCTAGACATCCTGGAGATGCAGGGACAGTTGAAGCGACCGTCGGACGAAGCAGCACGCGCTCCGGTGAAAGGCGCCGTGAAGCTGACAAAGCGAGAACACATCCTCAAGGAGTTGCTGGAAACGGAGCGCGACTATGTCCACCACTTGCAGAATCTCCAAGCCTTGAAGAAGGAGTTGGAAGAAACGGGAGCCCTAACAGGAGATCATAGCCATCAAATCTTCCTGAACCTGAATAACCTCCTCGATTTCGCACAGCGATTTTTGATTCGAATCGAGCAGCATTACGCTTTGCCCGAAGAGAGACAGAACTGGGGCGAATTATTTACACAGCATGAAGAAGCATTCAAGCAATACGAGCCCTTTATCGCGAACCAGTTGAGATGTGATGAGGTCTGTCTGAGAGAATGGGATAAGATCCGCGTGGCCCCGCGATCTCTGGACTTGCAACAAATGGTGGCGCAACCCGCAACACTGAACGGCTTCTTCGTCAAACCTTTCCAGCGCCTGACCAAGTACCCTCTGATGCTCAAGGTATGGATCCTTATAGTGGACTACAAATGAACCTTGTCCTTTTTCCTGCCGCTAACCGTCGCACAGGAGCTTGGCAAGCAGATGGAGAACCCCGATCTGCAGAACGACATTCAACGGGCAATTGACGCCATCCAGTCGGTTTTGGACTCGGCCAACGATGCCATTGACAAGGAACACCTGCAGACAGCGGTTAAGGACCTGGATGACCGCGTTGACGATTGGAAGGCACTGAAAATAGAGGCCTTTGGAGATCTGTTGCGATTCGGCACGTTCTCCGTCATCAAAGGTGATAACGGAAAGGATTCCGAAAGAGAGGTCAGTATACACTCGGATCGCCTCGGTCCTACTAGAAGAATGCAGCGTGGATTCAGTCGCTTTGAAGCCTTGAGAGCCACAAGCTGACTTCGGGAATCTCCCTCGCACTATCTAGTATCATATATACCTCTTCGAGCGGATTCTACTATGCTGCAAGGATATCAACCCTAACAAGCAGAAGACAAAGTTGATGGTCGGAAAGGACAAGCCTGCCACGACTGGCAAGGGCAAACCACGCCTCCAGCTCAAAGGCCGCATTTATATGGCAAATGTGACGGATGTCCTGTGTATGCCGAAGCCAGGTATGATTCTATCTTTCTAAACATGCCATCTGTCTTTGTTACACCTCTGGTCATACGCCCAAGGACGTCCAGACTGCAAATATATAGCCATGTGCCATGTTTCTGACTTCTCCTCGCCACAGGATCATATCGAATCCAGATCTTCTGGAAGGGCGATCCAGGTGTCGTCGATAACTTTATCATTCGCTATCAGAACGAGGATGTCATGCGCAAATGGAGCAGGGACATCGAAGCACAGCGAGCAATTCAAGCAGAACAGCGCAGCGCCCGCAATACCAGCACATCCGAGACTGAATTTACGTACATGAAGTCCATGGCCAACATGCCCAATCCCTACCAGCAGGAGTATGACGAAGAGCAGGCTGCAACCAAGGAAGCTGCTTTCTTCTCCGAGTTTCCCATGAGTCGGAACGCCTCAAGCACGAGTCTCCGGACTCGTTCAGCAACAGGCGGCAGTGGCAGCTCTGGTCCAGTTGGTCGTCCGCCCCGCTTTCCTGTGCCTGATCCCAGTCTGTCGGTACATACGCAGTTCCCCGGGGGCAGTATGTCACCAGCTGAGAGGAACGCCAACTCTTATTTCTCCCCGGTTGCCGAAACCCCATCGACCAGGTCCAGTTCGCAGTCTACCGGCTACTTTAGCAGCCGACAGGCCACACCTACCAACAATTGGAGCGAAGACCACCCTCGCTACACGGCCCCTGCCTTGTCTCGAGCTACGTCCAGGGATGGTCCCAACTCCAACCCCTATTTTAATGGCGCGTCGAATGGACGAAGCGCTCAGCGTCCCTCGCTACCTCCCATGTCCGGAGGTTCCGCTCAGGCAGCTAATGGCATGGCACAGCGGATGCGGTCCGCTAGTAGTCCCGATATTCACAATGCCGAGCTCCGTCGGTATATGCAGTCGATGGAGTCTGTTCCTGTCCCACCTATTCCCGCTCATATGGCCAGCATGAAGGCGCCAGTCAACCGAAGCCAGAACAACTCCCCTACCTCCAATACTCAACTTCCCATTCGAAACGCTAATCACCTTTCCAACTCGCACCATGTCTCTCCCACCCATTTCAATGAGCCTCAATATGGTGATCACCGGCCCAACACGTCAGCTACCGATCAGCCAACCTCCCCCTTGAGCTATGAGCCCGACGAGGAGCCACTCATGCCCACGCAGCTCAAGGTGAAGGTCAATTTTGATGACAACTACGTTACGTTGGTTATTGCAAGCAACATCATGTTCCGGTCCCTGATCGACCGAATAGACGCCAAACTGGCTCGATTTACTACCAAATCGATAACGAGCAAATCAGTCCGACTTCGATACCGGGACGAAGATGGAGATTTTGTGACCATTGACAGCGATGAAGCGGTTCAGTTGGCTTTCTTGGAATGGCGGGAGCAGCAGCGTGATATGCTCGCCCGGGGTCAAGTTGGGGAGATCCAACTGTACTGCCAGGCAGTTGAAACCTAGGTGTGCCAGAGCCGAAACAGAGCCGCAGCAATGTCGGATGCTTTGACATGACCAGCTTCTCCTTCACCGCTCTTTGTCTTTCTTGCTTTGTTCTTCCATTTATTCCCCCTTCTCGCCTCTGTTCGTCTTGTGTTTCTCGATTACTGCCAATACCACCTATATTGTATGAGTTGGAAAGAGAAGAGACACCGATTACCAAACCATTCGCCGGTGCTGTCTCCTGGTTGCCCTCCGACCCTCGTCGTTCACTGGATTGGCCTTGAGGCTCTGGGAAGTCTCTGATTCTTGCATGCCATGCGCCTTTCAAGAAACCTTGGTTAGGTTGCTGTTCTGCTTGTTCCATTGCATGGAGTCGTGTCTTAGGAATTGTGCTGGATCATGACATATCGATTTACTGGGAATGTCTTTTCTGCGGCAATGTTGATGACTGTGTTTGATCTGATCTACATGACTGCATGATGTATGTATACTGCTATTTCTTTTCACGCATACTGGCTTGCGGGTTGAAAAGATGAGTTGTACAGTGTTCCTGCATTTTCATTTGAAGCTTGCCTGTTGTGTTTTGTCTGCCGGCTATATTGGTTGCGTTGGGTCGTGTCTGACAGCGGGTTGGATACGACGGTTGGGAAATACGGCCGGAGTGCCTCAATCGTAATGAAATAGACTTGTTTCCTCCCTTCTCCTTTTGATTGAATAACTGGGTTTTTATTTAGCGTAGGGCCTATCACTTTGTGTGACTTTGCGGCTGTTGAGTGAGGCTTGGGCAGGGAGGGGCAAGATCCATCAGAGAAGAGGGGCAAACCACAGGGTGCAATGAGATTTGTCCAAAAGCCACACCCCTCTCTCTCTCCTGAGTTCTTCTCCCTTCGGTTGCTTGTTTGAAATTAATATACGGTTGGGTCTGTCGCTCTCTTCCAGGGCTGAGGGTTGCACAAGACAAGAACCGGGAATTCGGGTCCCATCCGAGTGTTCCACTTTTTATTCCACTCTTTTCCCACTCAGTCATCCACTCGTCGATCGGGACGGGAATCGATGCGGTCTGGACGGGAGGACTCGAAAGAAAGGAGGATGGGATTATTTGTCGTGTTCTTGTATGCTCCTATGCATAGTGGCAATTGAGACATTTATCCTGTTTCAGAATCAAACAGGTGCGCACGACCTCCTGAGCGAGTCCCCGACCATGCGGGATTATTTGAGCATCTGTATCGATTCAGGGGGGCGAGATGATTGACTGAGTGAGTGAGTGATTGACCGTCTCGAGGAGTCGGGCTGCCAATAGTATGACGGCATCCGACGTCGGAAAGGATGATGTGGAGGACGCTGACTAGACCAACTTGCTGGGTAAGTTACATGTAGTTGGTTTAGTTCATGGCGGTGGACTAGTCACTAAATTAGTCGCTGCTTATGGCTTTCAGGATGCTGATGGTTGGGTGGGGTGGGGGGACGATGAAAGTGTGAGAATAGTTGGAGATGCAGTGCAGTGCCTGGTTGTAGTTAGAAAGTTGGATCCCCAACTCCAGTTCCAGTTCCAGTTGGAGGCCTTTCCCTCTCCCTCGAGTCCGTCTCTGCCTCGTCGACCCAAATAACTCAGGCCGCCTTTTTCTAGTTTCTATTTTCTGTTTTCTATTTTCTCTTCTCATCATCTCCTGCATTTCCATTAACAAATTGTTTCTATTGTTGCCTTATATTATATTATCATTCCCTCCCCTCCACCTCTTGTTCGTCCCATTCCTCTTCTTTACCTTCTTCTCTATCCTTTCTAACATTATCTAGGACTTCAAAGCAACCAAGAAGACTGGTGCTTTGATTCTGTTTCTGCTTACACTTTCGTTTCTCTCTGACATCGAAGGTTGAGAAATCGCCACCGACTTTTTCCCTGCGACCCCTGTACCGTACCTTTAGTGCGTACATATAGTCGATAACGCTAGACCCCTCTCCTGCCAAGCGGTCCATCATGTCTTTCTCCGGCCGTCGCGTCAGCATCTTGCGCCCGGGAAACCGTCGGTTTTCTCTGGGCAAGGAATTGTCCGAGAACGGTACGTCAGATTGTTGTTGATTGTTGTTTCCCCCTTCACTCTGCGCCTCGGAATGGTGGAGTCTACGGAGGGGCGAAATTGGAACAAGAGGGGAGGAATTGACACATCGGTGGTAGCGGGGCAGTGTCGACGACAAAGGCTATTCTTCTGAGGAACAATGGTCTTTAAGCTATTTGTTACGTGCATGCCATCTGACAGATCTCGCCCTTGCAGAACTCCGATCGGAAACCCACCGGCAATTCCGCAGCGCCCATGAGGGTCACCGTCCCCATGCCGGTCTCGATGCCTCGCGTGCCTCGACGGGTGTCGTCTGGTGCACAGAACGTGCCACCGAGCACGGTTACGCAGAGGACCCCTCTGCCTGGGCGAACCTGGGCCAGGGTGCCCCCGAGGCCGACGATGAGATCGAAGGCAGTTTCCCCCGTCCTACGAGCATTCCCATCACCTCCGCCGCCCGCGAATACGGCCCGACCGCCGGTATCAAGCCTCTGCGCGCCGCCGTCGCCCGGTTGTACAACGAACACTACCGTCAGGGCAAGGAGAGCCAGTACACCTGGGAGAACGTTTGCATTGTCCCCGGTGGTCGTGCTGGGTTGATCCGTATCGCTGCCATTCTGGGCAACTCTTACCTGTCTTTCCCCATTCCCGATTACTCCGCCTACTCGGAGATGTTGACCTTGTTCAAGAACGTAAGTGTTCGACCACGGCTCCGGCCTGTTAACAGCGATTGGCCAATGGCGTTCTTAGAGTCTGACACATGTGCTCCTTAGATTGCGCCTATTCCCATTCCTCTTGCTCAGGATGACCACTACCACATCCACCCCGATAAGATCGCCGAGGAGATCGCCCGTGGTACCTCCGTTCTCTTGACCTCCAACCCCCGTAACCCCACTGGTCACTTCGTTGACAACGAGGAGCTCGCTCGCATCCAAGACATCTGCAGAGATCGCGCGACACTGATCCTCGATGAGTTCTACGGTGGTTACAACTATACCACCGACTGTGACGGAACCACGATCAGCGGTGCTGAGCACGTAGTGGACGTTAACCAAGATGGTTCGCTAGCTGACCCTTCCTGAGCCTTGAACATGCTCGCTTGCTCTCTTTCGATACTGACTATAACAGATGTGCTGCTGATTGACGGCCTCACCAAGCGTTTCCGTCTTCCGGGATGGCGTATTGCCTGGGTTGTTGGTCCCAAGGAGTTTGTTGATGCTCTGGGCTCTGCCGGTTCCTACCTGGACGGTGGTGCCAATGTGCCCTTCCAGGAGGCCGCCATTCCCATGCTTGAGCCCGAGCTGGTGAGATCCGAGATGAAGGCGTTGCAAAGCCACTTCCGCGAGAAGAGAGATTTCGTTCTTCAGCGGCTGCACGAAATCGGCTTCCGCGTGAAGGATGTCCCGCAGGCCACCTTCTACATCTGGCTTGATCTCACCTCTCTGGAGCCTCCTCTTCCCAAGGAGGCAAACATCTCCGACGGATTGAACTTCTTCAACGCCCTGTTGACCGAGAAGGTCATTGTGGTTCCCGGTATCTTCTTCGACCTGAACCCCGCCAAGAGACGTGATCTCTTCGACAGTCCTTGCCACCACTTCGTTCGTCTGAGCTACGGCCCCAAGATGGATGTCCTGAAGATGGGTCTGGATGGTATCGAGCGCGTCATCCGCCGCGCTCGCGCTCAGTTCGATCCCAAGCCGGAGGACGAGGTCGCGGTGGAGGATGATTGAAGGGCTTGCATAGATTTGGACCGTTCAGCGTTATGTGATTTGTAGAGCAATAGATTGCATGGGGATGTAGATGAATATATACACATTGTTAATGCCGCCGTGTGCCCATGACTTGGAAAGACCCTGTAACTGCCCTAGGAGGGGAAAGTTTAGTGATGTTTATGGTCCATCCTCGAATCACGTGACATTGGCCTCCTTTACCCGGTCGGGCCCCCTTCCGGAATCCGTCATCCCTGACATCTTCCATCCAGCTCGTGCCTGTAACTCGAGCGGCGCAGGGGCTGACGATGCGCGATATGATGTGTGCGCGATTATGGCCCTCAACCTCCAGCGCCTCCTTAACTTGACATTCTTTATCTTCCTTTCGGTGATCCTCTTCTTTCTGATCATCCTGACCCCCGCCGACGCCATCTACCAGTGCTACATCACCCGCCGCCTCACGAACATCTTTATCATCACGGGCGGCTACGTCGTCACATTCATTCTCGCCATCCTCATATATGCGACCCGTCTATATACCAACCGGACCGTTCTGTCCGGAATCCCCAAGGCCTGGATCCCCGTGGAGAAGGAAGATGTGGGCAAGAGCGTGCGACGACTGGTAAAAGAGGGCTTAGCCCACAGCGCGATCATCGCCTACCAAGCCCGGCCGCGGGACCTGGCCGCCGACGGGGATGATTTCGCCAACTACGAGTCGCTGCTGATCGACCGCGACCACCCTCCCTGGGGTCCCATCGAACACCCTGGCTGGTCGTCTCCCTCGTGCGCGGATCTGCCGGACCTCCCGTACCGGACCGTGATCCAGGAACTGCCTCACCTGATCGAAGCGAAAGCCGTCTCCCTCGCTCCCCCGGACCCGATCTTCGCCGGGGTGCATCAGTCCCTTCGCGCCCCGTTCTCCGACGCCGACGAGTCGTTCCCTGATACCCGGGTGGTGGACGTCCTGCGGCGACCGGTCGCCATGGGCCTCCGCGAGTACCTGCAGCACCTGGCGTCGCTGGATGTCATCCAACCGCCGGAGGTGGGCGCGGCGTTCATCGCGCGCTACGAACGGGCGCGCTTCTCGTCGCGGGATCTCCACGAGAACGAGTTTCGGGAGCTGATGCGCGTCTTTGCAGAGCTGCTACGGGGCATGACGCGGCTGAATCCGCGGGTGCTGGCGGAGCTGCAGGCGGAGGACGGGGCCAGCAGTCAGACAGAGAGCGAGTCCATCATCGGGCCCTCGGACGAGGAAGGGGAAACGGAGACCATCGATTCGTTCCAGGACAGTGAGGGGCTGTTGTCCCGCGGGCGCAGTAACAGCCTGCGGCCTTCAAATGCCTCGTCCTGGGATGCCCGGTCCGCCAGACAGCACGGGCGCTGGTCGCCTGTCTGGGCGCGACGGCCGAATACGCGCGGTCGGACCATGGAGCCGCCGCGGACGCCGTCGATGCGCTCGCTTCGGCGACTGCCATCCAACAGCTCGGGTGGCAGCGTCATTCATTTGGTGGAAGCCCGGGGACCGTCGGATCTGCCGTATGCCTTTAATTTTGGGGGGGTCGAGGGGCAGCGTTGAATGGCTGTAGTGTTAATTCCGAGTTCCGAGCCCCTGCGAGTGGGGGGAGGAAGGAGCTAGTTTAGATATGATAAATATATCCGAGGAGCAACGCAACTCATTGGTTTCGTCACTCTCTGATTGGCCTTGTTCCGTCTAACAGTCGGGTCATGGATGGGCTCCCCACATCTTCAATCCGAGCAGCTTCGGCTTTTCGGGCCCAAGCCACGTGACGTCCACCAATCGGAGCATCGGCAAGCGAATCTTAGTCAAGTATTCCATCATCCATGCTTGTGGCTTGGCAAAGTGATTGATAAGATCTGACGTTCCCCTTCCTTGATACTGTAGCTGTTAGAATTTCTGTCCTGTCCCGCGCAACAACCAAAACTCCTACCTTCCCCGCCCATCCCACAAACAACCCGGAAGCATGCAGTCATTCATCCAACGGGGCGCCGCTCTCTTCACGCCGAGTCGCTCGGCCACCCCGGCCGACAGCCCCAAAGCCACCGGCGACGAGAATGCCGCCGTCGCCGCCGAAGAAGAAGTCACGCCCGCCGAGACGCTGTTCCCCAAGGTCGACCCGGCCGTTGACGGCGAGGACTGCCTGCACGACTGCGCCTCGTGCTCGGTGAAGTACCCGGCCAAGTTCGACGTGGACCAGGAGGACAACATGTACGGGAACATCAGCGAGTGGGCGACGCACGTGCTGGTCGCGACGGGCAAGACGGACTGGGTGCGCGACGTGGCGGACGAGCCCGGGAGCGTGATGGAGGCGATCGAGAAGGGGGGGCTTATTCCGAGCAATGGGGTGCGTATCCTTTCTTGAACCAGAATCCCAATGCGTCTACCCGCACGCGACACCCTCAAGAGCCCACTCAATGTTAACCGGATATCTGGGGATAGAAACTCAAACTCTCCGCCTCCAACATGCCCGTCCCGGACGAATACCACTACCACGAACCTGGCCAGCAACCCACCACCGTTCTCCTCCTGCCCAGCTTCACCGTCATCGACCACGTCACGCCCGCCCTGGCGCCGGATTTGATTGAGCATTTCGTCAACCGCGGCCCGACCACCACCACCCCGCTGACCACCCCGCTGCCCACCCCCTCCGACATTTCCGAACTCACCCCCCTCCGCGCCCGCCCCTGCCCGCACTCCGCCATCATCCTCCTCTGCTCGCACCGCACCCGTGACGCCCGCTGCGGCCAGTCCGCCCCGCTGCTCCGCAAGGAATTCGAGCGCCACCTGCGCCATCTGAATCTGTACCGCGACCTGGACGACGAGCGGCCCGGCGGCGTCGGCATCTACTTCATCAACCACGTCGGCGGGCACAAGTACGCTGCGAACGTGATCATCTATCGGCGGCGGGAGTGGGGGTGGCATTTAGCCGGTAGCGACACCACGTCTTCTGCTGACGCGGACCCTGGTGCTGCACAGGCTGGAGCAGCAGCGGGAGCTGAGGGCGCCGCCCAGGGCATCTGGCTGGCGCGGGTCAGGCCGCAGGACTGCGAGAATATCATCCGGTATACGGTGTTGCAGGGGAAGGTGGTCAAGCCGGCGGAGCAGTTGCGGGGCGGGTTTGATCGGGGGACGGGGAAGACGAGTTGGTAGGGTTTTTGCCTTTCTTTTTCCAGGGAAAAGGTGGGGGGGGGGGGGGGGGGGGGTTTTTTTTTTTTTTTTTTTTTTCTTCTACGCCTGGTATGGGGTTTTGTTGAGGGCTGGTTGTTATATAAAATGCTTGGGTTGCATATATACACACACATACATACAGATATATATAAATTTTCATGCTTAGATGGATCTTGGGATGGGGCTTGGGGTAGAGAGAGGTTGGTAGAGACACCACACCCAAGGAGGGAGCCGGGGAGGGGAGGAGACAGAATAGATGTCATTGAATTATTGAAGGTATATTTGGACTGTTAAATTGGTAGGATTTTCAAGGCATATATCTGTTGCAGTGAGCTGGAAGGGGTACCGAGTTATAGAATTATTCTGAAATCAGTCAGAATATAACAATAATAATAAGTCACAGCCCCTTATATATATCTTTGTCCTTTGTATCGAAGTCTACTCGACAGCAAGAATTGTGTGCCTTGCTATATATAGATATACAAAAGTGTAGATGTAAGATTCTACCCACCGGGAATCCTACAACTAGATATATCCCTGAACCTACCACAGAGCAACAGCGACAGGATCCCTATCTTTCCAATCTCTAGCTCTGGTTCTACATTCGTTGTCGAGGTTAGATTGTGTGTGATAATGATGATGATGCAATACAAGGCATGATCAGGAGGGCATGAATGAGAGTTTCGATGATTGAGTAAGGTTATTAGGCCTTACGGCTCATCATCATACTCCATGAACACCCAATTAAGATTTAAATTCAGATGAAGTAGTGATCTTCACGCCCTCCTACTGCAGTATACCCATAACCCCCAAGACACAGCATACAAGGACAAGTTAGGATGATAGAAAATAAGAGGAGGGGCTGGCTTCGAAAAATGGTATCATAAAGTGGAAATAATGACAAGCCCCGAGAATCTGCTCGCTATTCTTGTTCTTTCCTTGTCATGCTATACAGGCCAATTCCAGAGCTGCAGATCGCTATCTATGGACACGAATCAAAACCCAGGAGGTTAAACGTGAGACGTATGGCAGAGGGAGATACAGACGGAGAGAGAAATCACTTCCCCTCCGCCCGCTCCACCAACCGATCCTCCAGCCCCATGGGCTCCCACACCTCCTTGGCCTTCTTGTTCTGCACCCAGACCACATCGCCCTGCACGAACGCGACCACGCCGCCTTTGCCCGTGGCGCTGGCCGTGATCCGGAACAGCGGCTGGCCATTCTGCGGGTGCGCCTCGCGGAGCGGGAGCATGATGAGCCCCTGTTCCATGCACCATCCTTCCAGGATATCCTTGAAGGCGACCTCTTCGATGATCTTGGGTTTGGGTCGGGGCGCGGGAGTGGTTGTCGTAGTGGGGCGTGGGTCGTGGGTGGTCTTCTTTGGTTCGGCCGTGGTCGTTGGAGGCGGGAGTTCGGCGGCGGCACGGTCGCCCAGCTGGGAGGCGAGGTCCATGGTCTGCAGGGCCTTGTTCCACTCCTCGTCGACGATGGTCAGTTCGTTGAGGGACGCGGGGATCTGAGTGCGCCACCAGGTGAACCACTCGGCGACTTCCTCATAGTTTGGGTCGTTGGTGAGCCAGATGTAGAGGATCTGGTGGAATTTGGGGAAGAACTCGGCCGTGAGGAGGAGGGCCATGACGTTGGGCGGGAAGAAGGGCTGCCACTGGAGGACATGCTCCAAAGCTGTGAGGTCCTGGTCCTGCGGGTTGACCTGGAAGTCTTCGCGGAGGTGGCGCCCCAGGCGCGGGAGGAGGTGGTTGCGGAGGCACGAGTCGAACTCGGAGCCCAAGGCGTCCCGCCAGAGCTCGATCCCGCTGATCAGGCCCTTGCCCAGGTCCCATGTGTCGAGCACGGCCCGGAATTTACGCTTCGCATCGGAGAGCAGGCCCGTCGCTTGGCGGGGGTTGGTGTGCCGGTCGTCCAGGTATTGGAGCCACGTGAAGAGCCACCAAGGGAACCGGGAGGATGAGGATGCGTGATGGTGGTGTCGCCGGCTGCTGCTGCTGCTGCTGCTTCGGGGTTTCCATTCCTTGAGTCCGCTGGTGAGCTTGGGAACGACGAGTTGGTCGAGGACGTTGGAGTAGATGAAGGGTGGGAGGAGTTCTTTCCAGGCGACGATCAGGGATGTTGCAGGGGCGGGCTCGTAGACGTCCCATTCGTTGAGGAGGGCGGAGCGCACGCGCGGCAGCCAGAGAGTGTAGATCATGGTTTCGTAGGGAGAGGTGGATGAGCGTTGGGTGTGTTCGCCCCGGATGTCGCGAAGGAGTAAAGGCTGGAGACGGCGGAAGTTGGCTACAAGGAACGTGGGCTCCTTGAGAGGTTCCCATTCCTCCATGGCTTGCCGGAAGAGAGGGTGGATCGCGGCCACTGCAGTCTCTGGTAATCGGTACTCGTCGATCTCGTTGCGGAATTTCATCTCTATCGACTCGAGTTTGTCGGTCAATTCGTCGAACTTGGCCCGAGTTTCCTCCTTCTCGGAGACCTCCAGTGCTCCGATGGCCACAACCAACTCGGTGAGCTGATCTGCCTTGAGCTGGTTTGTGTCCAACTGCTCCACAATCTGAGTTTCCTCCATTTCGATGTATTTTTTCCTCTCCGTCAGTCCTTTCCACTCATCCGCGAAGGCCTCAAGGTCGTTGCGTGCCCGTTGTGCAATCTTCCAGGCCTCTCCCTCGCCTTGATTGACGAACGCCTGCGGGGTCATCAGACCGGCGGTCGAGGTGATCACTCGCTGCTCCTTCCCAGTCGCATCGATCAATGACTTCAGCACATTAGGAACCTCCAGGCCCTCCATATCCTGCTCGATTTCGCGTGCGGTCCGGAATTTGGGCTTGGCTCGAGCGACTGGGGTGCTCGTTCCACTGCGGCCATCGCGTTTGCGCTCCTCTTTCTTCTTCCTTTGCTTCCTTTTGCGTTCTTCATCTGAGCTCTCCCCAACGGTTTCACCGCGCAGTGTTGCCGCCCGTTTTTCCTCCTCTCGAGCTTGTTTAGTCTTCTCGCGGACCGCACCCAGACCCGCGCCCATGGGGCGAGCCTGCGCCTCGATCGGATTGATGATACCCTGTCCAGAAGAACCCAGACCTTGCCCCTCCTTGTATCCCATCTTGGCCATCATGCGCGCGGCGAAGGAGTTACCCCCCGCCGTGCCTTTGCCTCCATTGTTGCTTGCACCTTTCGTCGCAGCCTGCGCCATGTTGTTCCAGGGGTTGCGGCGCCCGCTACCTAGCCCGCCATGTGCGGGAGGTGATTCGGATCGAGACGCTGCTCGTTTGAAGCCGCGAAAACCCATAGTAGGGCGGTAGTTCTCTTCTTCGTCGGAGCTCATATCGGCAACTTTGCGTTTTTGGCCGGCAACGGGCGAAGATTCGGAGGAAGACATGATCGGGACCTGGGAGAGGTCGGTCGCAGAATGTAGACTAGATCTACCCTGAGCTTGCGACCTAACCGATAAGAGTCGCAGTCATTACCGACGGGGAAATGGGAAAGAGACGCGATGAAAGGCGACCTCTCGGCCAAGGTATGGGACTGGAAGCAAGTGCCGGACCACTCCAGAATTGGTGGATCCCAAATCGGGCCAGGTCGGGGCGGGGAAATGCCTTCTCCGAAAGCAACAATGACGTTAGGAACTTCTTCCGCCCTCCTCCTCACTGCGGAGTTCTCTTTTCTTTTCTCTTTTCTTCTTCTTTCTCCAACTGTTGTTCATTCCTCACTTCTCCTCTCAACTCATCTGTCGAATCCACAATCAATCATGGCTGCTTCTCTCGTTCGCAACACTGCCCGCTCTGTCCTTCGCAACGGAGCTTCGGCTACCAGAGCTGCCGGCAGCTTGACCTTTGCCCGCGGCAAGGCTACTTTGCCTGACCTGGCTTGTAAGGACTCCTTGGCCCTCGGATATCCGAACTCAGTGCAAGAGTGAAGCGTTTTCGCTTTACTATTCCGAGGACAAAACCCAGCGTGCGACGAAACTGACCCTCGACAGACGACTACGGTGCTCTGGAGCCCTCCATCTCGGGCAAGATCATGGAGCTCCACCACAAGAACCACCACCAGACCTACGTCAACAGCTACAACACCGCCATTGAGCAGCTCCAGGAGGCTCAGCACAAGGGCGATATCGCCGCTCAGATCGCCCTGAAGCCCTTGATCAACTTCCACGGTGGTGGTCACATCAACCACACCCTCTTCTGGGAGAACCTGGCTCCCAAGAGCGCTGGTGGTGGTGAGCCCCCTGCTGGTGCTCTGTCCAAGGCCATCGACGAGAGCTTCGGCAGCTTGGACGAGTTCAAGACCAAGATGAACGGCGCTCTCGCCGGTATCCAGGGCAGCGGCTGGGCCTGGCTCGTCAAGGACAAGCAGACTGGCAACATCGGCATTAAGACCTATGCTGTAAGTATACATCTACTGGAAGCGATCGGTTAGTGAAGGAGACTGACTCGAGGACAGAATCAGGACGCCGTCGTCGGTCAGTTCCAGCCCCTGCTGGGTATTGATGCTTGGGAGCACGCCTACTAGTAAGTTTATTCGGATCACTAAGGCTGAAGCACCTCGATTAATTCGTCCGCAGCCTCCAATACCAGAACCGCAAGGCCGAGTACTTCGGGGCTATCTGGGACGTCATCAACTGGAAGGCCGTTGAGAAGCGCTTCTCGGCGTAAGTGTAATGCAAGTAGTGATTGTATTCTAGCGCGGCTTGATGAGCGTTCTCACGATCTGTTTTGTATAACGTAATCTGGATACTCGGGACTTGTCAGGCTGTTTAATCTACGGTCCTAATGCACGAAGTTATTCTGAATATTCTGAATAGCTGCTACATAATTCCGTCGACATACTAGCTAGCCATAGTGGCTTAGGGGGTCCAGGCCCGGCAGTGGGCGGAAGGGAGCAGCGCCGCAGCTTCCGGGCCCGATCCGTCGATTTTCTAATCTTATCGCATCGACAGCCCGCTTTTGTCTCATCTCAACCTTCCCCTGCATCGTCCTCCTTTCCTTGCTTCTTTCTCCTTCTTACTCCCTGTCACTCACATTGACAATGTCAGCCGAGAGCCCCGGCGAGAAGAAAAATGGCATCCGGGCCTTCTTTGCCCACGCCCTCCGGCCCAAGAAATCCCGCCAGGTTCTCCGCAAGGGCAATAGCGCCTCAACGCCGGATCTACGAGAGGCAGCCGGCCTGCACCGACCCAGCACCACGAGCGAAGATGTGCCACCACTGCCTTCCCTCGCGCCATTGGAGGCCCATCGGCTGAAATACCGGGGGCTCAACGCCAACAAAGACTCTCAGCTCGGTGAAAACCGCGACCATACCGCCATCCTCCACACAATCGGCGACCAGGACTTCAACCGCTACGACCCCTATGGCCTCGAAGGCGAATATGACAACCGGTCCCCCGGCGAGCCGCACATCGCCAGTCTACCCTCACAATTCTGGGTACACTTCGCAACAAACTATCTCACCCCGGCAGACACGGCCAGCTTGGCCTTCTCCAGCAAAACCCTTCACCAACGCCTCGAACCGCTGGACCCGTTCCACGCCCTCTCCCTCCCCTCCAACCACACCCAGCGCATCAACTTCCTGACCACCCAAGACCGCCACCTCCCCGACCACCTCCTCTGCATCCCCTGCGCCCGCTTCCACCGTCGAACGCAACCGGGCCACGAGAAGCTCCAACCCGCCGACACCCTTAACCCACTCTTCAACTGCCCGGAAGCGCGCAACCCGCTCAACCCGCCGCCGCGGCACCGCATCACCCACAACCGCACCCTCCCCTACACCTTCGTGCAGCTCGCGATGCGAGCGCACCGCTTCAGCCCGGAGTACGGCATCCCGTTCGCAGCGCTGTCGCGGCGCTGGCGCCGCACGGAGTGGTCGCACCAGACGCGGTTCCAGGTCCACAACAACCACCTCCTGATGCGGGTGACATCTACCCGGTTCGCGGACCCGGGGCTGCCGCCGTCCACCGTGCGGCTCCTGCTCTACTCGCGCGAGGACTACGTGCCCTACTTCTCCGTCTGCGCCCACTGGCGCGACGGCAACCTGATGGCCGCCTGCAAGTGCGCGCTCTCGCACATCCCCGTGCCGCGCGAGACGGCCGCCCTGCAAGGGCTCGAGCACCGCGCCAAGGACCTCATGCACCGCCGCGTCTACAACCCCAACGCCCTCACCACCCTCTGCGGCAAGTGCCGCCCCATGCGCCGCTGCCCCGAGTGTCCCTCCGAGTACCTTATCGAGGTCAAGCTGACTGAGGACCGGTCCGAGGGCGCGCACAACCTGCGGTTCCGGCATGCCATCGTCGTCACCCGCTGGTGTGATCTGGGCGATGGCACGGCGCCCTCGCGGTCCCGCGAGTGGGCCGCGTGCTGCGGGGTCGATGGGTCCGCCGGGGATCAGGGGAAGACTCATCAAAGTCCAGGGAGGATTCTGGCCGAGGGCCCAGCGGGGGAGGGGGCTGTTGACGGTGATGGGGACAGCCTTGCAGATAGCAATATCAACGAGGGGGGCAGCAGTGGCATCAGTGGCAGAGTCTACGACTCCTTCAAGGAGATCGGCAAGCGGTCCATCTCCGGCACCTTTGAGAGTATGATCACCGATGATACCCTTCCGGGCCAGCGGATCATTTCAATGAACCCGTCCGGCAAGAAGTTGGGCGAGGAGGGGAATTCCTGGTATTGAATCTTCTGTTTCGTCTCACTATCCGTCTCACTGTAACGACTCCCCTCCTCTGTGAGGGTTTGTGGTGGTTGGCCGGTGGTGGATCAGGCAGGGTGTTTTTGTGGTCTTAAGTCTGGGATAGGGCGTATGCGTCTCCGGGGTATGGAGTTGGTGTGATTGCTTGGTTGGTTTGGAGTACTTGCATTGTTCTCGCAAGGGTGCGATATCGTTATAGACTGGCCTTAATTAGGGCGACAATTTGATAGGCCTAGCCTTTACCATAGTTTATCATGGATGTCTGGTGGAATAGCCTAATCTAAACTACTAAGATCGCCCTCGCAGTAGTTAGATGCCATACTAATGCAGGGTCTCGGATTCATTCAGGGGAAAGTATCTACACATACCTATACAGCCCTACGGTCCAAATAGAGCTAACGAAACAGTATCAGTGTCATCAAGACGTCATTCCTATTAGAATCTATCTAAAATAAAGCAAAACAATGACATGGAGTATGTATAGATCAGGGGAGGAATGGTGGCCATCATCAAGTCCCAAGGGGGGAAAAAAACAAGATTGTGATATACCAGCCATGTTGTGTGGTGTGTGTCGGTCAAAGATGCCGGTATGGAAGATCGGGTATCCCCAGCGCAAAGTAGAAACCTCCCGCCATCAAGAGAGAGAAAAAACAATATTCTGAGAAGGTGTCCTCCCACCTCCCATTTTCCTCTTTAAATCCAGAACCCAGTGTAAGCCCGTAAACCCCGGAGATAACATCAAACCAAAGATGAAACAAAGAAAAACCGCTGAAACGCAAATACACACCCAAAACGAATAATCACATATCATGGGACGCTTTGGTCTTTATCGGGAAAATCGTGTGCTCAACCAAGGTTTATTTAGTGTTTGAGGGCTTGTTGTTCTTTCTGCTCGGATTCTTCTTCGCCTTCGTCTTCGTCATTCTCTTCGTTCGTGTCAAGCCAACCGCGGGACATCTCGACCGCCTTGGTCCATTGTCGGTACATCTTCCGGCTGTGGGCGGGGGTAACGTGGGGCACGAAGGTGGTGCGGTTGGCACGGTCCATGTCCTTCAGTTCGCTGAAGTCCTTCCAAACGTCGATGGCGAAGCCGGCGGCGATGGCGGCGCCCAGCGCCGTGGTTTCGTGCATTGCCGGTCGTTCGATGGGGATTTGGATAATATCGGCTTGGGTCTGGGGTAAAAAGACATATCAGTGATCTGTCTCGCGAGATAGAGAAGGCAAAGGGTGCAACATACCTGCATGCAAATGTCGGAATTACTCATACCACCATCAACGGCCAACTCCGTCAATTTGTGTCCACTATCCAGCTCCATGGCATCCAAGATGGCCTTCGTTTGGAAACAGGCGGCCTCCATGGTCGCCCGGGCAATGTGTCCACGTTGAGTGTGCTGGGTGATACCAACTGGGGGACAGTTAGTACCGTTACGTCATAAGCATGTCTAGAAAAGTTGAAACTTACAGATGGTACCCTTAGCATCGTCGATCCAGTAGGGAGCAAACAGACCACTGAAGGCAGTAACGAACACGCAGCCACCGCTGTCAGGCACACTCGCTGCGACCTCACTCACTTTGCGCGAATCACGGAAGAAACCCATGTTGTTCATCAGGAAGGAGATACCACTTCCGGCGACAGCGACACTACCTTCCAAAGCGTAGACCGGTTTCCGGTTCTTGCCCAGTTGGAAGCCCACGGTGGCCAGCAAGCCGTGTTTCGAAATGACAGGCTTCTCTCCGACATTGTAGAGAAGGAAACATCCAGTACCATAAGTGTTCTTGGCCGAGCCTGGAGTGAACGCACAGTGACCGACCAGGGCGGAAGATTGATCACCCAGACAGCTGGTGATGGGAACGCCGTCCAGCGGCCCCGACCGGACCCACCCGAACCCTTCGGGGTCGGACGAGGGGATAATCTTGGGGAGGCGGATCTTATTCCGATCCAGCTCGAAGAACTCCAGCAGGCGATCATCATAATCGAGGGTCTCCAGGTTCATGAACATGGTTCGCGAGGCATTGGAGACGTCGGTCACTAAGCGGCCACCTTCCGGACCACCGTTCAGGTTATACAAGAGCCATGTGTCGACCGTACCGAATGCAAGGCGGCCCTCATCGTAGGCCTTCTTCACTTCGGGAAGGTTGCGGAGCATCCACATCAGCGTTACGGAAGAGGGGTAAGTGGAGAGCGGAAGACCGCAAATCTTCGACAAGTCCTCGGCACCCTTCTTGGCCTTGAGTTCTCGCACCAAGCCAGTGGTGCGGGTATCCGGCCAGGCAATCGCGTTGTGTAGTGGCTCACCGGTCTCCCAGTCCCAGCAAAGTGCCGTCTCACGTTGACTGGTGATGCCGATCGCCTCGATTTCGTCCCGGGAGTGGCCCAAGGCGAGGAAAGTCTTCATTGCTTCTTCGATACAGGTGTAGACCGAATCGACGAGTTCGAAAGGATCTTGTTCGTGCCATCTGGAGAGTAAAAATGATCCGTTAGTCCGGCGGGGAACAGCGACATCAAGCGATACAAGTGTATGGTGCAGTACTCACCCTGAGCGCTCGTGGATTTGACGGAATTCCATCTGGTACTTGGCCACGGGAACACCCGTGCAGTCGAAAATGATAAAGCGGGAACTCGTAGTACCCTGGTCGATAGCACCGATAAAGCGGTCCTTGAGGTTATCGCCGCGACGCTGCTCGTTCTGCAACAGGGAGCGATTGCCATCATGCGACTGGTGAGTGTGAAGGTCGGCATAATTCTGCTGGCGATCTTGTTGTTCCTCGACGAGAGCGTCGAGGTCTGACATATCAAAGGGGTTCCTCATCTTGGATTTGCGGGCTTTGGTTGGTGGTGGTTGTGGTGCAGACGATGCTGGTTTAGGCACGTCTCTAGTAATAGGAGTAGTGGTGATGGTGGCGGTGGCGGTGGCAGTCACGGAAGGGGATTGATGAGAATGAGGAGGAGGGGAACGATGAGGCGGAGGCGGAGGATTGGTGGTAAATGATTGCCCGTCAGGTTTCCGATGGAAGTAGGAGAAAAGTGACCAGGTAGGCAAAGCCTGGAGAAGGGAGGAAGTGATTGGAGAAATGGTGGCGGTATTGAAAGTAGAATCGAGGGGAAAACAGGATTACGTCCCTAGTCCGCTTCTTAAGACAGACGAGGGGGAAAGGCCCAGTGGAGCTGGGCGGGGGCGTGAGAAAGCGTTAGGGCTGGAACTACGACAAGTAAGAGCAGCCGGACTGTCCAGCAAGTGGCGGCTGTTGTACGGATGAATTGCGCAGCGTGAGAGTGAGAGTGCGAGTGAGCGCGGCGGACGGATTGGTGACGTAGAAGTGATTTAGGGTGAAATCAGGTGGGGAACCCGGAGCACAGGATCTGGAGAAGCAAAGGGAAAAAAATTGGAGGGAGAAGCAGCTGCGCAACCTGAGAGGAAGGGAGACTTGGTTGGGTTCGGGGAGAGACGGGGAAAGAGGGGTATGATATCACTCGTTATGGAGGAGGAAGAAAGCTGAGAAAACTGGGTGTGCTTTATAGAGGGGGGGAATACGTAGTGGCAAGGCGGATTCCTATCAAGTACGTATGATGAATAATGAGTAAGAGTTGAATACTCCGTACTTGTAGTCAAGTTGTTCAGCGAAGAGAGGAGATTGAAATTGAATAGGAAGAGAGGAGAGGGGGAAATAAATCTGGTCCAGAGACAGGAGCTGGAGAAGACTCTCTCTTTATCCAAGTAGGTGGAACCTTTTCAATTGTTGTTAATTCAATTTCTTTAATTTTTTTTATTTTCCTCAAAATTTCCTAAATAAAACAATAATTCGATTAAGTACAGTACATAGATAGTGGTAGGTAACGTTAGTAGTAGTGGTGGTGGTGGTGGTGGTGGTGGTGGTAGCAGTAGTAGTAGTCGTAACAGCAACAAGTAGCTCCCCCCCCCCTCCCCCCCTGGCTGCTCTAGACTATCTACCGACTGCTGCACTGCTCCGTACAGACTCCAGAGATCCTGTCTGCTGCATCCCGTTGGGAGCTTGTTCCGGGGGAATCTTCCTGGAGTCCTGGGCCCATCGAGTCTTGTCCGGAGTCGGGAAGGAAGGAAAGGCAGGCAGAAAGAGTCTGTTCCAGAGTCTAGTCCCGCGAGGACTCAGTCAGAACTTCGCTGGAGAGCAGATACTAGACCCCAAACTGGCAATCTGCTGAATCCCCGTTCGTTCCATCCATGGCGGAGAAGTGGGGGCGTGGGGGAGACGAGGGCAATCCCTTCCTTCCAACTCTCCTTCTGGCCCTTCATCTTTTTTTTTTCTTTTTTTTTTCTGATCAGACGACCATCTGTCCGTCGTCAGCATTGACATCCGCCCCTCTTTCATCGAAAAAGGGTCGAACAAACTGTGCTTCTCTTGCCCCCGGCTTTCCTCCCTTCCCCCTTACACCCCCATGGCAAAGTGTTCTCCAGGTGCTGGTTGAAATCGGGAAGGTTAACCCCTGTCAATTCTTATCGCCAGTATATCAAGTTTAACCAGGTAGACGGTACGTATCTTCTGACTAGACCGTTGTTAACCTGAATTCACTGGCAGCCTAAACTACTGTAGCGTCACAGGCTGTCACAGTTCCGTTCAATCCGGTTTCCATCAAATTTGAGATGACTTGAAATACGTCTGTTTAGCGCTGAGCTGTAAAGCCTTTGCATATACTAAGTATTTACCGACGGGTATACCGTATAACTTCCTTTCCCCCATCGGCAAGATATCCGAGCTTCGCAGGCCGAGCTGGGACTTCCTCATTCTTGTTCTGGTCTGCACTACCGCATTGGGAGGCAAGCCCAGGGAAACCAAATCTCTAAGAATAGTCACCAGACTTCCACATGACATCCCAGAAGACCCATCAAAATTCCATGGTTTTCTCTTCCCTCCACCCGCATAAATTAGCTGGCGTCTGTGCCTACCGTATCGGGAATCCCCTGCAAGAACCACCTGAAACTCTTAACAATCCATCAATGATCGATTCTTCCATGGAAACAAGCAATTCGCAATGAGATGGGGAGATACGAATGCCACCAGTCACGACATTGATTGAGATGGGCTAATTCTCGCGGAAAAATTGCAAGCGCAAGGACCAGGGCCTGGCGTTGGGGGATGGAAACGATCGGTCATCGAAGGATAAACCAGACTAGCCATGCATCGCGCATCCACATGCCTGCCTGACTTGACATCCAGATGTATGTATGTACATAGTGGTTGAGTACATCTGTACTACTGAGATACTATGTAGATCTACAACTGGCATTCTTGAGGCCCAATTGTGACCCGCCGCACCCCTGA